TGTATGGCCAGTAGAACTTTTGCAAGGAAAGAACCTTAAAGTTGCTATATAAAATGAGTTGCTAATATTTGTCAGTGAGTCAACAAGTATTTGTTATGTACTTATTACGGACCAGGAACCGTACTAAGTGCTGGGGATTTAAAGAGAACAGTCTCTTCCATTTTAATTTGTTGTTGTTAAGTTGTTTTAGTTGTGTTCACGTTTTGTGACCCCATTTGGGGTTTTCTTAGCCAAGATACTGGAGCAGTTTGCCATTTCCTTTTCCACCTCATTTTACAGATGAGGAACTGAGGCAGGCAGTAAGTGACTTGTCTAGGGTCACACAGCTAGTAAATGTCTCAAGTTAAGATGTGAATTCTCGAGCACGAGCTTTTATGAGTTCAGGCCAGGCACTCTCTCCACTGCAACACCTAGTCGCCCTTCTCATTGTAATAGAGGAGAACAGTAACTAGGTACATACAAGATATATGCAAGGTAGGTAGGTGGCACAGTGGCTAGAGTGCCGGGAGTCATCTTCCTGAGTTCAAATCTGGCCAGATATTTAGTAGCTGTGTGACTGTGCAAATCACTTAACCCTGTTTGCCTCAGTTTTCTCATCTGTAAAATGAGCTGGAGAAAGAAATGGCAAACCATGCTGAGAGAACCCCAAATGAGGCCTCACAAAGAGTTGGTACATGACTGAAATGACTGAACAACAATAACAACAGAGTAGATGGAAAATGATATCATATGAGAAGGCACTAGCAGCTGGAGAGACCAGGAAAAGTCCCCTGCAGGGATTTGAGCTGTGTCTTAAAGGAAGTTGGGGAAATTAAGAGGCAGAGGGAATGATGCAGGGAACTTTTGAGGAGCAGTTTGTGCAAAGCCATAGAGGCAGATGATGGAGTGTTATGTTTGAGGAACAACAAGTAAGCCATTGTATCTGAACTATAGAATATCACAAGGGAAACAAACTGTAAGAAAACTGGAAAGAGAGGAGGAGCCAGGTCATTAAGGTCATAAATGCCAGAGGAATTTATATTTGATCCTAGAAGTAATAGAGGGTGTGTGTGTGTGTGTGTGTGCGTGTGCGTGTGCGCGCGTGTTAGTAGGAAGATGAGTTCTGTTTTAGAGCTTGTGATGCCTGCCTCAAAGATGCATTTAGAGTATCACTGTGGAAATAATTTCACTTATAGTTTTGGAGTTTATTTTGTCTATGTCAAAATATAGTAGTAGGATATTTGTGTCCTTTTTTTTTGTCTTCTTTATTTTAACTTACATATAACTTATATCCTATTCTCATTTGAATATCTTTTTCAATTTAACACTACTTATAACTTGTAACTTAACCAGAGCTGTTTTATTACTAATATGGCACTCACTTTAGTTGATGTTTATTTTAATTGGCCAGAAATTATTCTTGGTGTAGATAACTAGAGTTAGACTTGTGACAACTAGATATTTATTTAAATTAAATAAAAAAAATTTTAAAGTGTGTTATAGGCTGTAGGCTTAAGAAAATTAGATTGAGGATCCTGCATTATGCTTATGTACTATATTGTTAGGCCTAATTTGGGAGTCTCTAAAATTTTGGTGAAGTTATAAATAGTTATACTATATAATTTCACTGATCAGAGGTATTCCTTTAAGTGAGACTTTAGGAACCTTTTTCATACCAAATTTCAAGAAGAATATGAAAAGATAGAGAAGAACCTTGCTGGGTTATTGTGAGGGGGACACTTTGCAAACCTTAAAATGCTATTTATATAAATGTGAGAATTTGTTATGATATTGTCAAGCTCTTAAAGCATATGGCAGTGTTTAAGAAAATGCCATGTTCAAGAAAAGATGTTTCAGTCATTAGCAGACTGGTACTGTTACTTCAGGTGGCACACCTAATATCAAATTATTTTAAGATTTTGTAATTAATACCACTTTCAGGACATGATATTAAGTTTTGCATCTTATTTGCACATTCCAGAAAGGTTTCCCCTCCCCAAAAGTAATTTCTCTTAGGTAAATTAGTATAGTTTAGCATTTAAATTTATTTTAGGGATAGGAATAGGCTAATGATTTTGTTTTGGAATGTAATTAGATATCTATTTTATCTTTCATGTTTAATTTATTAGTACTACAGTGAGGTTATTAGTACAGATGAAATACATTAGTAGTGCAGAAAGGTTTAGCTTTCAACTTACTTTAAAACATGAAACTAATACAAACAATTCAGAGGAAGACCCCTCCCCTCCCTCATTTCTTTTCTGGGCTTTTATTTGTTTAGAGTTGCTAAGTTATGTTGAGGATGAAGCATTATGATTGTTTAAAATTCTAACATGATGATTTTAAAGTCCTTTTTTTTTTTTAGTGAAAACCATACATTCCCCTCAAATTAATATCTTAGTAAATTTGTTAATAGTCAAAACTTTATTTGTGTTATTTTAAATTTCACATTGTACTCATAGGAAGAATATCCAATAAGTGTGAAAGATAGGGGGTAGCATTGTTAATAATTTTGTCCTTTGATAAATATACTTTTGGATAATTTTTATTGAAAGTTTGATCACTAAAAATCTAGGGACAGATCTTGTTAAGTGATTAAGTTGTTTTCTGATACTAAATTAGGTTTTGGATACACCAAATAAGTACAATTCTAAGATTATATTTATTACATCAGTAGTACAAAATTTTATCTTATGTAGTACAAAATTTTATCTTAGGTGACTTAATCAATGAGTGTTATAGAATACCTAATTAATTTCCAGGGAATAGTTTGGTTTCCTGGCATTATCTATTTGTTGATTATTTGGAAAAACTTCTTAATTAGAGCAGTCTAAAAGTAGAATGTCATCTCAAGAGGTGGTAGGTTGCTCGTTCTTTAAGTAGAATCTAGATGAGTACTTGTCAGGGGTGTGTGTGTGTGTGTGTGTGTGTGTGTGTGTGTGTGTGTGTATTTAAATTTAATTTGATTTTTTTTTTATTACATTTAAAGCTCTAAACTGTCTCACTCCCCCACCCTGTGCTAGAGAAGGCCACCATTTGACACAGATATATATGTAAAACTGTACTATGCATACTTCTATTTATCAGTTCTTTTTCAGGAGGTGGATAGCTCCTTCCTTCATAAATCCTTTGTAGTTAATTTGAATATTTGTAAAACTCTGAATAGATTAGTCATTCAGTTATTCTTTGAACAATATTGTTGTTACTTGTATCTAACATTCTCTTGGTTCTGCTCATTTCACTCTTCATTATTTCATGCATGTCTTAACATGTTTTTCTGAAATCTACCTGCTCATCCTTTCTTAGAGCACAGCAATTAGTATTCTGTTCTATCACAATCATATACCACAACTTATTTAGCCGTTCCCCAACTGGTGGTCATCCCTTCAATTTCCAGTTCTTTGCCACCACAAGGAGAGCTGCTATAAATATTTTAGAACATATAGATTCTTTTCCTTTTTCCCTGATCACGTTGGGAAACAGACCTAATAGTGGCATTACTAGGTCAGAAGATATGCACAGTTTTATAACTCTTTGGTCATAATTCCAGATTGCTCTTCAGAATTGTTGGATAAGTTTACAGTTCCACCAGCAGTTTATTAGTGTTCCATTTTTTTCCACATCCCCACCAACCTTTGCATTTTCCCTGTCTGTCATTTTTAGCCAGGCTGATAGGCATGAGATGATATCTCAGAGTTGTTTTAATTTTGATTTCTCTAATCAGTAGTGATTTAGAGCATTTTTTCATATGATTATATATAGCTTTGGTTTCTTCTGAGAACTACCTGTTCACATCATCTTAGTTGTTTTATTGTTTAGGTATTTCAGTTGTGTCCTACTCTGTGACCTCATTTGGAGTTTTCTTGACAAAAATACTGGAGTGGTTTGCCATTTCCTTCTCCAGCTCATTTTACAGATGAGGAACTGAGGCAAATAGGGTTAAGTGACTTGCCCAGGGTCACAGGACTAGTTAGTGTCTGAGGCCAGATATGAATTCAGGTATTCCTCACTTCAGCCCTGGAACTCTATCCATTGCACCACCTAGCTGCCCATATCATATCATAACTTGTGACCATTTATCAATTGGGGAATGACTCATATTCTTATAAATTTGACGAAGTTCTCTATGTATTTGAGATGAGAACTTTATTAGAGAAACTATCTATAAAATTTTGCCCCAACTTTTCTTCTTTCCTTCTAATCTTGGCTACGTTGGTTTTATTTGTACAAAACCTTTTAAATTCAATGTAATAAAAATTATCCATTTGTTAGGCATATTATAGTGGGGATTTTTGAGGCCTCTAGATGGCCTCTGAGGGCCCTTCCAATTTCCAAATTCTGTGATTCTTTTGTAGTAAATTATAAAGCATTTTATTTATGTATATATTAAGCTGATTTTCAGGTACATTTGTTTCTGAAATAATGATGAACATGCACGTATTAAATGTTTTAGTATTTTATTTTTCTTTTAAAATAAGTTTTTTCTTATATTTAAAAATTATTTATTTTTAACATTCTTTTTAAAAAAAATTTTTGAGTTCCAAATTCTCTCCCTCCCTTGAGTTCCTTCCTTCCCATCCCTTTGAGAATGCAAGCAATATTATATCAATTATACATGTGAAATCACACAAAACATATTTCCACATTAGCCATGTCTCAAAAAAAGCAAAAATAAAGTAAAAAAAATTATACTTCAATTTGCACTCAGAGTTCATCTTAAAAATAGATTATTATTGTTATATTTTTTCTTCACATTAATTCTCTTCCCCTTCCCAGAGAGCCGCTCACAACTAGCTTGATTTTGCAAAATATATAAAATTACAGAGGCTCATTCAGTTGGAGAAATAGAGGGTAGGAAGTTATTATAGTTTTTATTTTTGTTTATTTTTGAGATCAAGAACAGAAGAACACATTGACAGAATTCAATTCACTGAATTTGTTAATCATTTTTACCTTTGAGTTACCTTTTAAAATAGTTACAAATATTTAATGTAATGGTTTTGTTGTACTTCAATTTTTAGGCCCAGAATAAAGAGACAAATGTGTTAGCTGCTGCAAAAGTGATTGACACTAAATCTGAAGAAGAACTTGAAGATTATATGGTTGAGATTGATATTTTAGCATCATGTGATCATCCAAATATAGTCAAGCTGCTAGATGCCTTCTATTATGAAAATAATCTTTGGGTAAGCATTTTGCTGTCTGTTGACCTTTTCCTATTTGAGTAGATAGAAGAAGACTTACAAATTTAGAAATATAATTAATAGATCTTAACCATTCTTTTTAGCTATCATTGATTTGACTTAAGGAAGACTTGGTATAATTATAGGGTCACTAATAGAATAATTATCTAAAATATGTATATTTTCAGGGTTAAGTTTGTATATTTTTTAAAAACTAGAGCTCTTAGTAAACTTTCTTTACCAGTGCAGATAAGAGGTAGGATTTGAACATGTTTTTCTGGGGCTAAGGCTAACAGACTATACCATGGTGCCTCTCACAATTTGTAAATTGCCTGGGTTTCATAATGAGGAATATTTGAAGCTGTACTTTTAACTTGGAATTTTAGGTAAACCTGGCTCATCTTATTATTCTAAATGTGGTCATGGGGAATTTTATTTCTGTTTATGTAGGGAAGCTTAAAACTTCTTGTTTTTGCTTTATATTTCAGGTCTTACTCTGGCATAAGTGTATTAATTATTCTTTTTAAAGTAGTTTTAAAAACTACTTAAAATTCATAAGTTAATCAAAATAATGTATTTTATTCAGAAATTAGAATTTCCATGACTTAAGAAAAGGCAAATCACTAATTATCTAATGTATAATACAGTTTCAAACTTAAGTATTTACTTTGAACTTTCCTCAAAGTTGATAATGATTTCCCATTATTTCTTGCAAAACTTACTAGGAGTGTTGAAACAGTTGCCATGTTTTAATCAGATTGAATTAGTAGTTGGTGAAATGGATGTATATCATGTGTATTTTTGTCTATGTAATTTGTAAATAACAGGCTTGAAACAAGCTGTGTAAGGTTACTTTTGACATAGTAATCATGTACTGTAAGTGAAAAGAGTACTGGGCTAGATGGTCAGGAAAACCAGGTTTTTGTCCTAGCTCTACTAATTCTGCTAACAGTGACTTAGTTGTGGGTCCTTGAGCAAGTCATTTAACTCTCTTTCCTTAAATGTAAAATGAGAAAGAGAGATAGACAAGATGACTTTTTAAGTTTTCCCATTATCTCTATTACTCAGCTCTTGAAAATAGCAGACCAATTCCTGGCTTGGGACCAAGCATTAGTTTATAATTAAGAATGTTGTTTTGAATGCATTATTGGTTTAAATGCAAATTACTTTTAGACATAAGGGCAAACTAATATGGAAAAGACAACAAGTGTAGTCTAGTGGAAAGAGCATAAGGATTAGGCATTACTCATTTGAATGTGCTAGTATGCCACCGTAATATGATGTTTGGTAAATTACTTAATATCTCTGTAACACAGTGTCCTTAACCTCTAAAACTGTGTTTTCTCCACCTGTTCTGTCCACCTCACAGGTTGTGAATAGCATCTATCTTACATGAAAATTATGTAGAGAATGGTTAATTTTAAAGGTTCCCATTCATTTGCATAAAACTAGCAAAATGCCAAAAATTTTAAATAATAGGCATCTATCTGTTAGGCATTCCACAAATTAAGTAAGAGTATATATTTTGTGTGTGTGTAGAAATATTTGAGAGGTAGCATGATGTATAGTGGATAGTTCAAATCCAACCTCAGACATTTATTAGCTGTATGATCCTGGGTAAGTGAGTTAACCTTTGCCTATCTCAGTTTCCTAATCTGTGACATGGGAATGATTATAGCACCCACCTCTTGGGTTGTTGTGAGGACCAAATGAGGTAATTGTAAAGTGCTTAGCATAGTGCCTCGTACGTAGTAAGAGCTATATAAATGTAGTGATGATGATGATGATGACGTTGATGATTTATCAGAAAGGCTTGAATTTCAGTCTTGCCTCTGACATGTGGTACTGTTTGACCATTGACAATTATTTAACCTCCCAGTGCCTCAGGAAACTTGTAAGAGTTGCTGATGTGAATTTGTGGGGAATTTCCACACAGGGAGTTCCATATACTTGTGAAATCATAGGATTATAGAATTAGAGCTCGAATGCATCTCAAAAGCTATTTAGTCCATTTTTATATATAGATGAATATACTTGGAGATGTTGTCTACCTTAGCCAAGGTCAAATAGATCAGGGATATTAAATAGAGTGGGGATTTGGAACCTGGTCCACTGATTACAATACTTCATGTTTTCTACTGGACCATGCTGCCTCAATCCCACCTCCAAAATTCCCATCACCACAGATACTCATATCTTTATTTCGAACTATTATAAAGGGATAGGGATAAGGACAGGACCTGTGACTTCATTGGTATAGGGAATTCCCAGGTAAAGAAACTTCACCTGTATGTACAGATTACCACTTCCTTTTTAACTTAGACTTTTAAGGAGTTACCTAGAGCACTGAGAGGTTAGCTAACTTGTCTAACTGGTCATACAACCAGTATGCCTCAGAGGTAGGGCTTGAACTACGGTCTTTCTGGCTTTGAGGTCAGCTGTCTATCCACTGCACCATTCTAGCTCACTAAAATAATTTTAGCAGCCATGCTATTTGTAATCATTTACCTTTCTAATAGTTGATAAATGTCACTACATATTTAGGTTAGATTTTCACATCATTAATGAATATAGTTTCTGGTATTATATATATTAACATACAAGCATCAAAGTTTACATGTTATAATAATATTAAGAATAACAAATATTTTATCAACCCAAACATGAAAATTCAATTAAAATGCTAGAATTCTATTTTCTTATAAGATAGTAGTACTTGAAAATATTTTAAAAAATGATGTCATTATAACTTTAAACAGAATATTCCTATATTTAAACAGTATATTCCTGTGGTGTTTTCTGTATATACTTTCTTGAAAGCTTAATGGAATCATAATTTTTTAAGAAAAGGAATTTTTTTTGCATTAATAGCAAGATTGCTTTCTCTTCTAAAAGATTGATTTGGCCTTTTTGATGCTAATGGTAATCATATCTAAGTTTATGATATGAAAGTCTTATTCTGAATTTTATTACTAATTTTTCATTTAGTTTGTATTTTTTTATTCAATGAAATTTCAGATCTGTGTTCTTTTATTTACATGCAGATCCTCATTGAATTTTGTGCAGGTGGTGCAGTAGATGCTGTAATGCTTGGTAAGTATAAATTTGTCCTTTTTATTTCTCATTTTTAATTTTTCTCAATAAACATGAAAGCAGTCATAGAAGTTACTGCATGTTGTTTATTTCCTACCACATCAGTAGGTCAGTAAGCATTCATTAAGCATCTGTTATGTGCCAAGTACTCTGCTAAGCATTGGATGGATTGATATAGAAAGACAAAAGACAGTCCTTGCCCTTGAGGAGCTCACAATCTAATAGTGAAGACAACATATAAAAAATTATGTACAAACAAGCTATATACAGGATAAATAGGAAGTAATCAACAGAGGGAAGATATTAGAATTAAGGGAAATTGGGAAAGTCTTCCTGTAGAGGTGGGATTTTAGCTGAGAGTTGAAGGAAGCCAGGAGGCAGATGTGAGAGAGCATTGCAGGTATGAAAATGCCTAGAGTAGGGGTGGAGAACTTGCGGCCTCGAGGCCATATGTGGCCCTCTAGGTTCTCAAGTTCGGCCCTTTGACTGAATCTAAAAGAGGATTTGTTCTGTGAAGTTTGTATTCAATCAAAAGGCTGCACTTGAGGACCTAGAGGGCCACATGTGGCCTCGAGGCCGCAAGTTCCCCACCCCTGGCCTAGAGCCTGGAGATGGAGTATCTTGTTTGAGGAACAGGAGGAAGGACGCTGTCACTGGATCGAAGAGTTCTTGGTGGGTTTTGAGGTCTAAGAAGACTGGAAAGACAAAAGACTGCGTGTGATCATGAAGGGCTTTGAATGCCAAACAGATTTTTATATATGATGCTGTAGATAGGGAACTACTAGAGTTTATTGAGTGGGGAGTTTGTGACGTGGTTGGGCCTGTGATTTAGGAAAATTACTTTGGTGGCTGACAGGAGGATGGACTGGAGTAGCAAGAGACTTATATCAGGTAAACCAAATAGCAGGCTGTTGCAATAGTTCAGGCATGAGGAGATTAGGGCCTGTACCAGGGTAGTAACAGTGGCAGAGGAGAGAATGGGGCATGTTTGAGAGAAGTTGCAAAGGTGAAACTGACAAGCTTTGGCAATTCTGTGATGTGCTTAATACTGGAAACAATATAGGAAATCAGTGACTTACCTGGATTTTATTTTCATATTGTTATTCAGAGAATTTGGTTATTTAAAAATGGAGAAATGATAATAGAATAGACTTCTAAATATTTATTATATTTACATATCACACACATATAAATTTTAAAAACCTGTCACAATGATGAAGGTATGGATTGGAAATAAATAGATAAGTACTGAAAAACACAAAAATGTACTTTGTACTTTTCTCTTATAGAGCTTGAGAGACCATTAACAGAATCCCAGATACAAGTAGTTTGCAAGCAGACTTTAGAGGCATTGAACTATTTGCATGAAAATAAAATTATCCATAGAGATTTAAAAGCAGGCAACATTCTTTTTACATTGGAAGGAGACATTAAATTGGGTAAGTTATTTCATCTAAATATCAGTCAAGTTATATATTATGTGTTTTGTGCTATGAATGCCCTTTCCCTCTTAATTCCCTTTCTTATGTGTGATTTTTAATTTTATTATTCAAATACAACAAGCCACTTAATTTTTCTGGAACTTCATTTTTTTCATGTGTGAAATAAGGGAGTAGACCAGATGAATTGTAAAGCTCCTTTTAGGTTGAAGGAAAAAAAAGCTCTGATTTTCTGATTCTGTTCTATATATACAGTTTTTTGGTTGATGATTTTTTTTTTAACACTGTTTCTTAGACAAAAAAAATGTTCATAAAGTCTTAGTATTTCCAGTTGTTTAGTAAGAGCAAATGATGGGACTGTTTTAGGATTTAAAAAGGCAGAAAAATTCCACCAGCAGTGCATTAGTGTCTCAATTTTTCCACATCCACTACAACATTTGTCATTTTCTTTTTCTGTCGTATTACCCAATTTGATAGGTGTGCAGTGATAACTCACAGTTGCTTTAATTTGCCTTTTATCCATTTTACTTCCCGTGATCTTCTCCTTCTCTTGTTTGGTCATAAATTTTTCCCTTATCCATAAAACTAACAGGTAAATATTCCATGCTCTCCTAACTTGCTTATGATTTCACTATTTATGTCTAAATCATGTACCCATTTTGACCTTATCTTGGTATATAGCGTAAGATATTGGTCTATACCTACTTTCTGCCAAACTGCTTTCCAGTAATTTTTGTCAGATATTGAGTCCTTGCCCTAGTAGCTGGGATTTGGAGGTTTATTTAACAGTAGACCACTTTGTTTGTTTCTATGTGTTAGATACCTAATCTCTACCAAATTATTTTGATGATTTTTGCTTTGTAATATACTTTGATATCTGATATATTGCTAAGCTATCTTCCTTCTCATGTTTTTTATTGCTGCCCTTTAGATTCTTGATCTTATGTTTTTCCAGAAGAGTTTAGTTATTTTTTTTCCTAGTTTTATAAAGTAGTGGTTTGATAATTTGATTCGTGTGGCACTGAATAAGTGAATTAATTTTGTTAGTTTTGTAATTTTTATGTTGACTGAGCCCTGTGAGCCATGAGTATTTTTCCTGTTATTTAGATCTGTCTTTGTAAATAGTGTTTTGCAGTTGTATTCATATAGTTCTTGTGATTATATTGAAAAGGTAGACTGTCTTCCTAGTTTATAATTTTAGAAAGCTTCTTCTGGTTAATGAGAGGTTAAGTGACTTGCTCTTGGTCACTAGGCCAGTATTTGTTAGAGGTGAGCCTTGTGCCCTGGACTTAATGATTTTGAGGATTTCTCTCCCTTCACTATGCCATCCTGACTCTCTTCTTGCATGAATTAGGCCCTTATTAAATGCCTGTTGAATTTGATACCAGCACTGATCCTCAGTTCTCTGGGCCTCAGTGTGAAATGATGGGATAGAACTGGATAACCTCTAAGTTCCTTTTAAGTTTGATATCTCTGTTCTTCTAATCCTAGCTATTCCAATTGATGTTCCAGTTAAATTTCATAATGACATTTCTACAATTTTAGATAGTCAGCTATTGATTACCCAGAAGTGAGTTCCCTTTAGTAGGGAATTTTAAAAATTATATTTTAAAAAATTATATTCTCTCTATACAGATATATATATTTTCAAAAATTATATTAATTTTTAAAATTCATTTACACAAACTTTATTGAGTGCCTCCTTTGTCCAGGTCACTGTGCTAAGTATCCAGGGGAGTTACAGATTTTAAATAAAAGACAGTTCCTGACTTCAGGAAGCTTACAATTTAGTAATTTAGTATGAGACCTGTACACAAATGGTTGTAATACAAAATAGAATATAAGCCTACAGCAGCTGTACAGAGAAAGTGTTAGAAGAATTCAGATAGGAAAGAGGATAAAATCATAGTAAAGTTTATATTGAAAAACAAATGAGCAAAAGTATCTATATACTTAAGTGAAATCCCAATGTATGGTGGACTTAAGCATGAGAAAAAGAATTCTATGAAAACTGTAAGAAAGGTAGGAGAAAATGGAATAATGTTTTTGTCTTAGTTATGGAGGGGAGAGGACTATTCAAAAATATAAGAAATTATTAGGGACAAGGTAGATTTCTTGAAAATTTCAACAAAAACAATATAATTAAATAGAAAAAGAATACATTGGGAAAATATGGCACATATGACATTAAAAACTTCATAACAAGTTTAAGAAACTGTTAAAAATTTACAAAGGAAACTAACTCCCAGTTGATAGTAGATTAAAAAAAGGATATAATGAGGCAATTTTCACTTGAATAATCACTTGAACATTTTTTGTTCAACCTTACTGATAATCAAAGATGCAAATTAAAACAACTTTGAGGTATTATTAACTCACAGTTATCAAATTGGGAAAAATAAAAACAAGGAAACTCGTTGCTGTCAGACTTACTGAGAAACACACATTCATTTGTGGCTGATGGAGTTGTAAACTGGTAGCATGTCATTGGAAGACAGTGCAGTAAAATTTGCAAAACTAATTAAATCTCTTGATCCAGTCACTCCATTTTTGGTAATATGCTCCAGATTGTTTTCAAGAACAAAACAGAAATCACTTGTTGGAAGATTTTCATAGCAGCATCAATTGCAATGGCAAAAAAGCTATAAATAACCTTAACAAAAAAGAAATGGTTAAATAAATTTTGAGGCATTAATGTAATGGAATAATACTATAATATAATTAAACTTGATGAGAATGAGTATAAATAAATCTGGTGAACCAGAAGAACAGAGTGTCCAACATCTGTGAACATGTAAGAGGAAGAATGAATGAAACTGGATGGATAAATAAGGTACTGCCTTAGAGGGAAAGGATTAGATATTATGTTTGTTAACATCAACTTCAGCAATTTATACAAATTTAATTACATTGCTATTTAATATTAAATTTACAAGTTTTGTTTCTTGGGGTGGGAGGTAGTTGGAACAAAGTTGTATAGGGAACTTCCTGTATTAACTTCCTTTGAGGATGCAGTTGAACTAGTGGCCTGTAGCTTATAATCTTAGATAGTTTCTGGGGACACTGAAAAGTTAGTCAAAAAGCTGATATGTGTGTCGAAGTCGGGACTTGAACCCAGTTCTTTTTGACTTCAATGCCTGTCCTATATCTGGTATCCCATACTGCCTCTCAGGTTTAGATAAACTTGTAAACATATAAGTAAAAGTGTATGTTAAAACATTAAAATATTTAATAAAGTTAGCCATAAAATGTAAAGCTTATGACCTTTTCTCTTTTTTTTTCTAGTTTTCCTCAAAACTTTACAGGAGAATGTTGTATTTTATAACAGTTTTTACTGTTTTTATTTGAGCTCTAATTCTCTCACATCTTTTATGACATCAGAATTTATGTACTTAGTCATAAGAAATATGTTGTGAAATGGCTAATCAAGTCACTAAGAATGTGTTGGGGTTTTTAATTCTTACTGGCCAAATGCATTATTTTTATGTTAATAAATTGTAACAATAAAAATTATAGTTAGAGCCCTCTGCTGGTGAAAATAAAGTGGATTTGTCAAGATATTTTTAAAGAATATTTTCAGTAGAATTTTATACTACAATTTACACAAATATTTATTAAGTGCTTAAATGTATGTTGATAGACACTGGGGACAGAAACAAAATAGTTTCTTTCCTCAAGGAGCTTACATTCTACAGAGGGCAAATAACATGTATTTAGTTAATTAAAAAAATTTAAAATAATTTTGAAAGACTGGTGGGGAGCACTGAGGGAATCAAGAAGGACTCCTGTAGGAGGCAGCACTTGAGATTTGCCTTGAAAAGAGAGCTAGGGATTCCAGGATCAGAGGAAGTAAGAACATTCTAGGCCTAGAGGACAGCTTGTGCAAAATCACAGAAATAGGTGGTGAAATGACTTACTAGAAACATGGCTAGGACATAGAGAGTGTAAAGTCATATGAAATCTATCTAGAAAGTTGTGTGGGAGCCAGATTGTAAGGGACTTTAGATATTGGTTGGAGAGAATTATAAATTCTTTAAAAACTGGCATTGTTATTTTAAATTTCTTTTTCCTCAGTAACTAAAATTTTACATTCCAAAGGAATATGTAATATAGAAGTTATATAGTTTAGAATGTAAAACTTAAAACCCCACATCACAAAGACTATTTAATATGCCATTGAGTGACAAAAGGCAGATCACTTAAATTTTCTATGTTCTGGTTCCTTCATCCATGAAACACAAATAGTTCTGCTTTTGCTTATAATTTCAGTGAGCTAAAATTGTTCTTTGAGCTGCTTGGAGAAAATTGTGATACAACATGATTATGATATTTAGACAAGTATTTATAAGAATGATTTTAAAGGGACTGGCAGAGGACTTTATGAAAATATTTTCATATAAAACTATGCTATTTGCTGCATTTATTATTTCTTTTGCTAAGTGCCAAATAATTAAGGTATATTTTGTACCCTATAGCAACTAAATTATTGATATTTTTACATGTTAATTGTTTAGCCTTCCAGTTATGAGAATTATCTATAGCATGCTGAAAGTTAAATTTTTACTCCTAAATATATACAGTTTTTTAGTTTTTACCGGCTGTGACAGTTGTCTAATCTCACAGTTTATATAATGCAACGAGAAGAGTTTAAGTGTTAAAGCTTATTAGTTATACAAATTTAAAGGAGAAGTTATTTAGCTCTTTTCCATTTTAATAAAGAAGTTAGCAATACATATGTTAATTTGTATGAAACTGCTTCAATATAATTTTGATTTTTCAAGCTATAAGAAAAATATTTATTTCTGTTATTTTGAAGTACCCAGTAGCACAAGTTGGTATATTTTGATGTGTGATGTGTTAAATTTTTTTAACTTTATCTTGAACCATTTTCAGTTTTGAAGAGAGAAGAATTTGTTTAATCGAGATATACAAAGAAAGTATTGGAGAAATATGTTTTCTGATGAGATATTTTCTTTATAATTATGTTTTAGATAGGAAGAGAAGGGGACTAGAGATTATTGAGAAAAAAGTTAATTATGTATCATTTATATTTAGGATATGTTCTAAAAGCTATCCACAGGGTAACCTTATTAAAGTCTTGAAATGCCTTTTCTTTTTAATCTATGGAATACAATGAATTATACTGTAATATCTTAAAATCAGTTAGTAACATTTTTGTGTGGATATTTATTTCAAGCGGATTTTGGTGTATCGGCTAAAAACACAAGGACTATACAAAGAAGAGATTCTTTTATTGGCACACCATATTGGTATGTATTCAGTTCTGTGAACTTACAATATTGTGTAATAAATAACTAGTTACTTCTAATATTGGTCACATAGAACAACCTGTACTTACTACATGATTTGTAGTCATTGTTCTTGAGTTATACTATTAAAGTTAAATTTTGTCTGTCCTGATAGGATGGCTCCGGAAGTGGTTATGTGTGAGACATCTAAAGATAGACCCTATGATTATAAAGCTGACGTTTGGTCCTTGGGCATCACTTTGATAGAAATGGCTCAGATAGAACCTCCTCATCATGAGCTAAATCCAATGAGAGTACTGTTGAAAATTGCAAAGTCTGAACCTCCTACGCTGGCGCAACCCTCAAAATGGTAAAATGTTTTAAATGTAACTTCATAAAATGTGTAATTTTGAGTTCAGTTCTTCCACAGTTTGAAAGGATATTTAGAGTAAAGTTCATGGGTCAGAGTTTGTGTAAATTAGAAAATAGTTGTGATTTCAACTATGTTTCTAACTCCTTAGATATAAAATCAGTTGTGTGGAAGTGTATATTCTCTTTAAAATGTGGAAGAATTGAGCCCTGTTTAAAAATTTTAGTTTTTGTGCTATGAGAAAGTGAAACACAGATGTACTGGACACTTTTAGTGGATTTTGTTGAGTGAGTAGAGAAAAATTTTCAAGTGATGAGGTTTTGGTTTTGTGTATTTTTATACCACTTTTCCTTTATAATAACCTCTCCACTCTCACAGAACGCTTCCTTTTTATCAGTGAAAAACAATTAAGCAAAACAAATTATCTCAGTAACTATATTTGATGGCATGTGAAACATTCCACAGAATTAGTAGTAGAAAATTTTACAAGATGTAGTCCAACCTGGCTCCATCCTAATACTCATTACTTTTCCTCACACACTCTGTGAGCCAGCCATATTGGCCTACTTGCTGTTCCCCATACATGACAATTCATCTTCCATTTCCATGCCTTTGTACTGACTTTTCCCCCCATGGCTGGAAAATGTCTCTCCACTTTCACCTGTTGAAATCCCTGGTTTCCTTTTGAAGCTTAACTGTTACACGTCTTTCTTCATGAGGCCTTCCCTGGCCCTTCTAGCTGCTGGTACCTTCCCCTGCAAAATTTGGTGTGTGTGTGTGTGTGTGTACACATGCATACACAGTACCCCCATGTTTACATACACACACCTGCACAAATACATGCATGTGTAACATACACACAGATCTGTATATTGTGTATACGTGTGTGTATATTTCTCATTTATACCTGTATAGGTACAAGTTGCCATATGTTTACACATACATATATATCTATATTCACATAATACATGTACATAAACATGCACATACATCCCCTTTGAAGGCAAGGGACTACTTTCACTTTTGTCTTTGTATCTCCAGTGCCTACCATACTACCTGATTCATAGCAGATACTTAATAAATACTTGCTTAGCAGATTCATGGTATAATAGTATTCCTGTCTTCCCACAGTCATTCCAACATTGAATGTTTCTATCTTCTATCAAGTTTGTCAGTTTGGATGTGAAGTGAAACCTCAGAATTGATTAGTTTTTATTTCTCTTATTACTAGTGATTTGAAGAATTTTTTTCATATTGCTCTTGGTCATTTATATTTCCTTTTTTGAAAACCGACCACTTATCTTTTGGGGAATTGCTTTTAAACTAGCATAGGAGATAAGGTCTTCGATGTAGAACTGGAAAGGCGATCAGAAGCCGTTTAGTTCAGATCCCTCATTTTACAGATTAGGAAGCTAAGACCCAGGGAAGTTCAGGGATGCTCAAGGGCACACAAATAGTAACCACTAGAAATGGGATTAGAAACTAGGTCTCCTGATTTAAGAACAATGCTCTTTCTAGTCTACTTCTTATATTTATGACATTCCTATTTATGTGTTAGATATCAAGCTTTATGAGACAGTATTTGTAGTAGATGGAAGGCTGGCCTTGGAGTCGAGAAGACCTGAACTTAAGTCCTGCGTCTGACGTCTGTTGACTATGTGATAGATCCCTTTACCTGTTAGTGCCCCGTGCAACTTTCTGAGACTCCTTATAAGTTACAGGTGAATTGCACATCTTCATCAGTAAAAGGAGTTTCCCCACACTGATAAAATCAAAGGTCTAGCTCTCCCTCTCCTTCACTCCCAACAGAATTTTATGTAAAAGATTTGGTACAGATATTTTCCCTACTTGACAGTTTCTGTTAATTTGGATTAATTTGCTTATGCAAACTTCTTTAATGTCAAAGTCATCTTTTTGTCTTTTGTGCGTTATTCTATCACTTGTTTAGTTATGAATTCTTCCCCTAACCATAGGTGTGAAAAGTATTGGATAATTTCTTTATAATGACCTTTTATATTTAAGTGACTAAAACATTTGAATCTTTTTGTAGTACCTGGAGTAATGATTCTCTTCTAAGCCTATTTTCTGTCAAACAACTTTTCAGTTTTTCCCCTTAGTTCTTATCAAATAGAAGTTCCCTTTTCTCAGGAGTTATCAAACATTGATCTACTTTTTTTTTGTTTGTATCTAAGTCTTGCTTGTTTATTGCTTTCCACTGATCTGTTTTTCTCTTTTGTTTTTTAATGGATACCAAAATATTAATGGCTACTGACTTGTAATGTAATTTGAAATCTGGTAATGCTAGGCCCTCTTCATTCTTTTATTTTTTCATTCTCTTTCTTGAAATTCATGATTTTTGGTTTTTCCAAATATATTTTTATTATTTTTTGTAGTTCTATTAAAGTGAACCTTTGTTAGAAGGCTAAGTATGTAAATTGATTTAGGTAATAGAATTTTAAAAAATTAACCCTCTTGGGTAGAATTGCATATTTATATACACTGAAATTTCACTGTATTTTGATTGAGGGTTTGGTAGGTTACTAAGGAATAAAATATCAAGTCATTGTTTAAATTCCTTTTGAAGGTCTTCAAACTTTAAGGACTTCCTAAAAAAATGTTTGGAAAAGAATGTGGATGCCAGGTGGAATACTTCCCAGCTTCTCCAGGTAGGATAAAAAGTTTGGGATGAAACAGCAAATTTTATTTTCACTTTTCTGTGGGGGGAATATAATTTCAGATTCTTTGAATATACTCTGGGTGAACTGGAGAAATTTAAGCATCCATAATACTATTTCACATTTTCTTTTGTTACAGGTGCTATATAGTTAGTGCTATGATGATCCTTATCACAGTTCATTTTTATTGAGCATATAATTGTACAGTGCTGGAGAACTGTAGATATGGGCATTCTGTCCCTGATTGGTTCAGTGTTCAGTTTAATGCATCAGCGCTGAGATTTTTTGACTTGGTTCTAATCTCGTTTAGTCTTTCAGAACTTTTAGGTCCTTTGTTTACAAAATTATAACACTGTTACTACTTGACTTACAGTGTTGTGAGAATCAAATGAGATAATAATTGTAAAGTACTTAGCACAGAGCTTGGCACATAGTAGGTACTATATGAATGCTTATTCTCTTCCCCCTTGTGTTTTTTGTTTTTTAATTTTTTGGCTTTTTTTTTTTTGATGAGGCAGTTGGGGTTAAGTGACTTGCCCAGGGTCACACAGCTAGTAAGTATCAAGTGTCTGAGGTCGGATTGGAATTCAGGTCCTCCTGACTCCAAGACCAGAGCTTTATCCACTGCGCCACCTAGCTGCCCCCCTTTTTTTTTTTTTTTTTTTGTTTTGTTTTGTTTTTTTATTCTCTTCCTCCTTGTGAGGAAAGCACTTGGCAGACCTTAAAGTACCACACAATTCTAAGCTGTTGTTATTATTTAAATTAGGATTTTTTTTTTTTTGGTATTGAAAGTAGTTTGAGCTTTATACATGTCTTCATAATTAGATCATAAAGTTCTTGAAGGTAGTGACTGAGTATTTAACTTCTTGATATTAACCATTGTGTTTATCGCAATAATAGGTAAACAGTAGATGTAAGTTGAAAATGCTGTTGGGTGATAACATGCATCTGATTTGCTTTGACAGGATTTTCTTAAGGACTTTATATACAAATATTTTTTGTAACATTAAAAGCACATCAGTACTGTTTTTTCCTCACACTTGTGGTTGATTTCATCAGTACAGAATGCTTCCTAATGAGGAAACTCCCTTTACCAGTGCAGTTCAGTAATCTGCTGCTGGAGGGTTTCCTGGGGGCACTGAGATGTTAAGGGACCTTACCTAGTATCAGACAACCAGCATGTACGTGCCAGTCAGGACTTGAACAGAGGTTTTGACTCTCTACTAGCTCTCCATCCATGATGCCATGCTGCCTTTCTCATCTGTGCTAATAATAAATAAAGGGATAGGGAGTGAACCTGTGATCCTCTGGTAAGGAAACTCCCTTATCAGTACAAGTCTACACATTCTCTACAATTTATAGTCTTAAGAGAGTTGCGTAGGGCACTAAAAGGTTAAGTTACCTTTCCTAGGGTCACATAGCCAGTGTGTGGATCAAAGGAGGCTCTTGAGCCCAGCTCTTCTTGGCTCTGTGAAGGACATCCCGGCCTGTTTCTCAACTGGTAGATGAAGTGATGAAACCATACAAAGAAATTCAAACAATGAACTTTCCAAATTCTATGTGAGAAATTTTTCTTCGCTGGTATCTTTGAATTTTAGATGGCATTTTTATATGGATTGGATATATTTTGTTTCCTAGGAGGAATAGTGATTGACATTTTAAGAACTTGTGGTAAATATACTAATTTTAGAATTATAATTATTATAGTTTTTTTAGGGTTCTTTAAGGATATTGAAAGGATGGGAGTATCTCTTTAGAATGATCTTGTATATTATAGTAAAAAATAATTATACAAGTTAGCTTTTGCAGTGGCTAGAACAGTACCTTTTGTACTTTATAGGCACCAAATTTATGTAATTAATAAAAATTTAATCCACAGACTAATTATAGGAAAAAGTTGATATTTTCGGTCATACCAAATTTTTGTGTAAGTGCAACATTTTAATTTTTCTTCTAGTAATATTTTCTTTGAAGAATAGATGAAAAAGTTGCCAGTATGTTTAGGTTTTTTAAACAGAACCCTATCAAATAAATGTCTTAGACATGTTAATGAAATTGTAAAACTCTTACTAATGCGGGGCGAGGATTCTGGAAAGATGGTGGAGTAGGTCTGAAAGTTCCAAGCTCTCCAGATTTCCCCCACAAACAAGACAAAACAGTGCATTAGGGTGAACATAGAGCAGTAAAGACAAACAGGAGTTGGGGCAGAACAGTGGTCCTCCTGAGACAACCTGAAGAAAAATCCTAGGACCCAGATTTGGTCCCTTTGAAATGTAAACACCTCCAGGCTAGTTCTGCTGAATCAGCCTGGGGCTAGCTGGGTTGGGAGGTAACCTCCCAGCCACAGAATTTTCACCTTCTGGTCAAGTGTGGGGAGACCAGAGTCTGAACTGGGGAAGATTGAGGAAACCTCTGCTCATAAGTGATGTCAGATCCAGCTGTGCTGCTGAGTTGCAGCCCTGGGCAAGAAGGAACCAGCACATGCCCAGTGAGTGCAGAAGCAGTGGGGTGCTGGCTATGGGCACTTAGAGGAGGGCAGAGTTCTTGGTTTTGGTTCCAGGCCAGAGGGGAGAACTGAAGGAGGATCTGAGGCCAGAGACACCATTCTGCATACCCCAAGACTAGAGGTAATTACAATAACTGCTATAAATTTTAAAAAAGAAAGAGAGAGAGAAGACAAAGGAGAAAGAACCCAACCACAGAAAGTTACTATGGTGTTAGAGAAGACTGGGGTTTGTCTTCAGAGGGAGATACTGAAGCAAAAGAAGCCTCTCCCACCCTAAGAGTAACATCAAATGGTCTCCTGCCCAAAAAGAATTCTTCGAAGAATATAAAAAAGACTTTAAAAACAAAATGAGAGAGATTGAGGAAAAATTAAAAAAGAAAATAAGAACAATCCAAGAAAAACAAGATTATGAAAAGAAAGTCAACCAACTATAAAAGGAGATCCAGAATTTTTTTTGGGTGAGGCAATTGGGGTTAAGTGACTTGCCCAGAGTCACACAGCTAATAAGTGTTATATATCTGAGGTGGAATTTGAACTTGGGTCCTCGACTCCAGGGCCGGTGCTCTATCCATTGTGCCACCTAGCTGCCCAGGAGATTCAGAATTTTAAGGAAGAAAATGACTCCTCGAAAATTAGATTTGGGCAAAGGGAAGCCAGCAAAGTTACAAGAGACCAAGAAATAACAAAACAAAATACAAAGAATGAAAAAATAGAAGAGAAAATGAAACATCTCATAAGAAAAACAACTGACATAGAGAACAGATCAGGAAGAGAAAACATAACAATAATCAGACTACCTGAAAGCTATGGTCATAAAAAGAGTCTTGACACAATAAAACAAATAATTAAAGAAAATTGTCCTGAAGTGTTAGAATGGAAAGTGGAAGTAGGAAGAAAACCATCAGTTACCACCTGAAAAAGATCCTACGAGGAAAATGTACAGGAATATTATAGTTAGGCTCCGAAACCCCCAGCTCAAGGAGAAAATATTATGAACAGCAAGAAAAAAACAGTTCGAATATGGTGGAGGCACAATCAGAAAAACATAAAACCTAGCAGTAGCTATCCTAAAATACTGCAGGGTTAGATATATTGAGTGGGGTTGCAGCCAAAAATATTATACCCAGCAAAGTTAAGCATAATCCTGAAGAAAAAAAATGGACATTTGATGACTTGCCAGACTTTCAGGCTTTTTTTTGCAAAAAGACCTGAAATCAATAGAAAATTTGACATACAAGATCCAAGAGAAATGTAAGGTAAACATCAAAGACTAGTTACAAGGGACTCAAATAATGACACACTGTTACTTTTTTACATGAGGAAATGTAAATTGTATGTTTGGGATTGTTATTAGTAATTGGGTAGATTGGAAGACGGATTGGGGTAGAGTTGAGTATGATGCAATATTAAAAAGTAAACCATCTAGGAAAAGGTAAAAAATAATTTTCTTATATAAATGAGGAAGAACTGACACAGAGGAATTAGATGGGGGAGGAGGGCTGGTAGTTCAGGAACCCTATTCTCATCAGGAAATGGGTTAAAGAGGGAACACTACCTAATATCTCGAAGGGTATAAAAGTCTTCCAAATTCAGAAAGCAACAAAAGTCTAAGTGGATAAGGAGGGCGGAGGGATTTTTAGAGGTAGAAAGTAGGGAACAGGACAAAGGGGGTATAGAAGAGTGTTTAGATTAATGGGGGGAGATGGAAAGAGGATAAGGGAGGAATCTTGGGGAGTTTTAAGTGTTAATAAGGAGGGCAAGGGAACTGGTAGAATTAAAGTAAGAGGATTCAGGTGGAATAGGAAATACGAGATACAAACAAAATAAAGATCAGGAGTAGAATTCATCAGGGAAGAAAAATCAGGGGTAGTAATCATGTACTATGTCAGTCATATTAATATTATTTTAGACTATTTAAAATAAATTAGACAGTATAAGTTTGGAATATTGCTGTGGTATAGGAAATGACGAGTTGGTAGACTTAGAAAAATATGAAAAGACTTGGACTTAAGAAGGAAGATGTTATCCATCCTACAAGAAACAGAGGACAAATAAGTATAGTACGGTCTTACATAGATGCATATGAATGTGTGTCTATATATGACTATGATTATAGATATCTAAGTATATATATGTGTAAGTATATGTATGTATATGTTTGTGTGTATATGTATATATATGCATGTGTATATATAAGTATGTATTTAGATGTACATATGTATATATATGTGTGTATATGCATATGTGTGTGTGTATATATAAATATATCCATGCTTAATTGTAGCCTCGAGGTGGAGAGTGGGAGGTAGGGGGAATAAAAAAAACAAAGTAAAAAGTACACAGCAGAAGACAAAAGAAAACTTACAAGGAAGCAAAGAAAAGGTGGATAGCTCTGTATACAATGTGTAGTATTTATTATGTATGCTTTCTTAAAATGGAAATATATTGCTGTGTATTTTGAATCCTTTCTTATGTTTTACTGCACACATGGCAGTGTTTTTTTTTCTTATTTTGTATTTAAGTTTTAGTATTTAAGTTTATGATATGTTTTTCTTTTCTTAGTATGTATTTGAATTTTAGAAAGAAAAAAAGAAAAAAATCTTAGTAATGCTATCAGTGTACTTTTGATGGTATTATATAATCCAGCCAAATTGTTTAACTATGCCAATAGAATCATAAAATTAAAGACTTTTAGAGTTAGAAGGAACCTTTGAGGTCATTTAAGCTGAACTTCTCATTTTGTAGATAATACTGAAGCCTTGAGAGATTATGCAACTTGCCTTAGGGTATCACAGCTAGTTCATGACAAAACCAGATTAATAATATCCTGAGTTGATATTTACTTTATATGCAAGCACTTCATCGTGAGTTGTGTTTTTTTTTTTTTTTAATGACTAACAGCATCCTTTTGTTACTGTGACTTCCAACAAACCCATCCGAGAATTGATTGCAGAAGCAAAGGCTGAAGTAACAGAAGAAGTTGAAGATGGCAAAGAAGATGACGATGATGAAGAAACAGAGAATTCTCTGGTCAGTCTAATAATGTAAAATTCCATTTAGGTAGAATTTTGATTGAGGAATTTTCCATCATGCTAAATATCAACTATAGTTTTTATTACAAAATATCATTTTAAAGTCAATTTTAAGCCAATATTGTATAGATGAAAAATCTTGTTTGAAATTTATTTTATCAGGTAATGAGTAAAAACTTTTAAGGTATTTGTTGCAGCAGTAGGTAGTACATAGCAATGCACTATTAAATTTACCTACTAAATTACTAAAGTTAGAATTTTTCTAGTAACTTGGTACTTAGAGGCATGTGTGATAAGGATATCTAACAGCCAAGTGTTTTAAAAAATGATTTAAAATGTAAACTTGATCAGGATTCCCAAGGGTAATGATCTTTTTACTGTGGTTTGTTGTTAACTAGCTCTGACTATTCCTTATTGGTTGAAGTAAAGTTAGAGAAGAGTAAACTTTGGTATGCAGTGGAGGCATTTTTAGAGCAGATGTTGTTGTTTATTTTCTCATATACTGTAGCTGACCAACACCAGAGCAGGGAATGAGCAGTAGAATATTACTTTGAAGTATTATTGTTTCCCACTATGGACCTGGGTGTGGTAATAGGAGATACCAGTGATTCCATAAAATTAATTTTATGATGGAGTCACTTTTCCTCTGGATATTAAATCACCAGTGTATTATGCTTTCAAAACTTCTTTTTTTGCTGTACATATAATATCTAGGAAAAGAATACTAACCATCTTTTACCTGTTAATATCTTTTAGCCTATACCTGCTAATAAGCGTGCCTCCTCTGACCTCAGTATTGCCAGTTCTGAAGAAGATAAACTCTCACAGAATGCTTGTGTTCTGGAATCTGTATCAGAAAAAACAGAGAATAGCTGTATTGGAGACAGAGCTCAAAGCAGTGTTATTAATGAGAAAACCGTCATTGGTGAGCCTGAAAAAATTGTTGAGAGTATTGACTACGTTGCTGATGATCACCTTGAAAATAATATTGAGCTAAAAAATGGGACAGGATTAGTTGAAGAGAATAAGACAGAAGAGAAGAAACTCAAGGTAGAAGAGACATCGGAAGTGGAAGACCGTGTGAGCGAAGGAAATGCAGTGGTGGAAAAAAAAGACAGTGATCTACTTACAACCTCAGAAATAGGTGCTGCTCTGAAACCTGAGGAAGAAAAGGATCAGAAAAAGCAGCAATTATCTAAAAATGAAATAATAAAAACAAATGAAATTAAAGATACTGCTGATCATACAGCAGAAGTGGTTTCTGAAGAGACTGGAGAAAAAGAAAATATAAGAGAGGCAGACATTCAGGAAACTGAAAATGAAGTTAGGCTTAAAGCAGAAGTGCAGGATAAAATAGAGGAGACTGAAGTCACCAAAGGTGAGGTGGATGACATAGATACAGTGGAAACAGGTGAAGTACTAGATCTAGACCAGAGGACAGCTGGAAGCAATGCCAGGGAAGCTCAGAGTAATGACAAAAATGACGTGACTGAATTAAGTGAAAAACGAAAGCAAATTAAGCCTGATGTTGAGCCTGAGATTAGTGATATTGAGGAAACTCAGGTACAGAGGATAGTTGAAACAAATATTACAGATCAGATATCTGTGGAAGGTAAAAGTGAAAGTATATGTGTTGTGAACAGAGGTGAGGAACATTTAATCAGTACTTCAGGGGACATATTGGTTATTGGTGAGAAACCAATGACAAATGAAACTGAAGAAATTAAGGAAACAAGTAACACTGAAGAAATACAAGTCCAAAACACAGTGATTCATACTGGCGAAAAGTCAGTAGGAAGTAAAACTCAGGATTCTCATCAGCCTCTGCTAGACATAGAACAAACAGAATTTCCAAGTGAAATACCAATTAAAATTGAACCTCAAGTTATTGTAGCTTCACAACCCAGTGAACCTCAACCTGTCCCCATACCCAGTATTAATATTAACTCTGAAGAGACAGAAGATAAAGGGGAAACAGGTACACTATCCCAAGTTGAAACTTCACTACATTTAGAACCTGAGAATCAAAAGGAAAATGATACTGATTCAGGCACTGGTTCCACGGCTGATAATAGCAGCATTGATTTGAATTTATCTATCTCTAGCTTCCTAAGCAAAAACAAAGACACTGGATCAATATCTTTACAAGTAAGTAAATTCAGTTATTTATTTAGTAGATATTTGGTCTCTTGTGACCAAGATGGCAATTCAATTTGTTCTTAATTTAGAACTGATAGTTTTAAAATATTTTATTGCTATCCTTTTGTTTCCACATTATCTTCTTTTCTAGCTATATCTCTTTCTTGTCATCTGTCCATTTCCAATAATAAAGAGTAAAAAAGAAAAAGGGAATAAAAAAACACTTCAATAAAACTAAATAGCACATCAGTTGAGTCTGACTGTATATCCAGTGTTTTGTACCCATAGTTTCGCAGCTCTGCGAAGAAAGGAGAAAGGTGCATCTTCTTATTAGAACGGATGTCTTTGTTTTTCAGTAGTTTCAGTCATGTTTGACTCTTTATGACCCCATTTAGGATATTTTTTGGCAAAAATCCTGGATTGGTTTGCCATTTCCTTCTCCAGCTCGTTTTACAAATGAGGAAAATGAAGCAAATAGAATTAAGTGATTTTCCTAGTGTCATACCAACTAATGAGTGCCTGAAGCTGGATTTGAACTCAGATCTTCCTGACTCCAGGCCTGGTGTTCTATCCACTGTGCCATCTAGATGTCTTAGCAAATAGCAATGAACTAGTATACATAGTCTTATATGTACTATAAACTTTAAGATAAAAATAAATTGAAAGAATTGAAGGAGATTCTAGCTAAGTCTTAATGTTTGGTGGCCAAAACTTAGCTGACAATTAAAAAAAGAAACAAACCAGCCTTTCTCAGCCCAAGGCTCTGAGACTCACATATAACACGGACTTGCGTGCTCATTTTCCACAGTTGTGTGTTCTTTCTTCCCTCTGACACCACCTCTGGCTGAGTTTACCCTTATCTCATCTACTTCAGTAACTTAGTGATCATAGTTCTTCTCTTACCTTTGGCATTGTCTCTTAGTCTAGTGCTTGTTTCCTGGCATCCAGGGCCCCTTGGGCTGCAGGAGGTGGATGAGGAGATGGAGAGCCTGCTCTTTCTCTACATATACATACATACATACATAGTTTCCTTCTCAGTCTCTTAAGGTTTCTAATGGAAAGTGGGAAGTCAGGGATATGGGAGCAGATGAGGTTTATCATTTATAACTAACAATTTAGAAATATTCCAGGGAATGTTGTTCCTTGCCCACCAAATATATACTACTCATTGCTTATTACATAATTATTAAACAGTGATGAATTCTATCATTCAGGAAACAAGAAGACATAAGAAAACATTGAAGAAAACACGAAAATTTGTTGTTGATGGTGTAGAAGTGAGTGTGACAACTTCAAAAATAGTTACAGATAGTGATTCAAAAACTGAAGAATTGAGGTTTCTTCGGTGAGTAGAAAATGTTGCTGTTAATGCACAAATAGTTTTGTGTATTCTTTGTGAATTCCAAAATTTTTTTAACTGCAACAAATTTTGAGTAGAGATACAAGGGGTCAGTCTTATTTTTTCAATTTGAGAAAGCTATAAATAAATGATGCTTAATTTATTAGGTTCTTATCATAACCTTATATAAAAATTCAGTTTTACCCTTTATTTCGTGTCCTTATCATTCCCCATCATCATTATGTTTTGACCAGACGTCAGGAGCTTCGGGAATTAAGATTTCTACAGAAAGAGGAACAAAGAGCTCAGCAGCAGCTCAACAACAAGTTACAGCAACAGCGGGAACAAATTTTCAGGCGTTTTGAACAAGAAATGATGGTGAGCCTTTGAATTTTGCACCTGCTTTTTAAAAAGATAATTCAGTGATTCTAAAAAAATGCCCTATTGACAGAACAGATTTAGCTTTCTAGTCTTTTTGTCATTTTCTGTGATTACATATTATAACTTATGCTACATTTGTAGTACATTCGTTCTCCCTCTTTCTCCTTTTTCTGCCCCATCATTGTGATGAATCTGAACTTTCCATCTCATTTAACTTGGTTTGTTGTCTCTGGCATCCTGATTTTGACTTCTACTCAGGATCGTTTTGCATGTGACTAAGTCACAGTCATACTTTATCATATGCAAGCCAGTGCCTCTAGAGAAGTTTCAGTGTTATAATGCTAGGTTTCAGTGTGATAAAACAAGATTTTACTGTTAATCTAGAGAAAACCCCACTGAGAAGTACAAGATTAATTTCCATTGTGCATATTTAATTTTTGTGTCTTCTCTGTAGTTGCAAAAATTATTAGTGTTGTATGATAGAATTCAGTTTTTAAATGCTGAATATCTGTATTAGTTTGGAGGTAGAAAGAAACGTTTTCATTTGGACCATTATAGATTTTTAAAAAATATCTTTTAATCAGTTTTTATGATCTAATCCTTTGCTGAAACTCTGTGATAGAAGTCCTGTGTTTTCCATTTGTTCTTATCTTCAGAGAAGGATTTAAATCCTTGTAAAGATTTGCTTTTTTTTCCGCATCATAATATCAGGATAAAGTAAAAATATTTTCTTATTGCTCTCACCTAACATTTATAATCTTTTTTGAAATATGCTGAGGGTAAAGGGGTTTTGAGGGAGTGAAGTAAGCACCAGAGATTTTACATTTTTAAAGCCCAAGACACTTTTTTTGGTGTTAAGTGTATTTTCATTTACTGGAGTTTTTTTATATTAGTTGAAAATTCCTGACAAAAAATTAGTGCTCAATTATGTGATTTATATCACTTAGTATTTTATTTTCATAATTTTACAAATGAACTATAGTTCTCTCTTCTAATCTCCATTTCCTTGAGAAGAAATTTTTACTATAATGCCTTTTCCATTTACTTCTTTGTACCTAATTCCAAAATTACTCATGTGATTTGCAGGAATATTTCTTTAACAGTTGTAACTTTATCATAATTTTTAGTTCAAAGAATAAAATGCAAGATATTTCAGGGGACTTGATTTGGAGTAGAAGCCTCTGTTTATTTTGAGAATTTGAGTTCAGAAGTAAATTGGAGAGGGATAGTGATTGTATTATTTTAGAACAGACTTAAGTTAAATGTCTTTTGTTTATCAAAATTTCTATTAACTTTGAGAATTTACATTTCTCCAACTTTCCTTTAATGCTTGTCATTGGCCTTTTTTTATAGTACAGTGTTATTTTAGTTATTTTAGTTTGTATTAATCATGTACACCTTAGAGAAGAGTTTCATAATAAATTACAGAGTTAAGTGAAGCATGTATGTAGGACCTTGGCAATCAAACTGTTTAGTGTCACAAAGTTGTAGCCAAAGTTGCTGTTTGGGCTTTGGCCTGATTACCCATGTCTTCTCGGTGACATGTTCAAATCAGCAAAGTTGTTATTTCAAAAAAGAAGTGGTTAAAAACTGTTATAATTATCCTTGGAATTGTTTTGCAGAGTAAGAAGCGACAATATGACCAAGAGATTGAAAATCTAGAAAAACAACAGAAACAGACAATAGAACGCCTAGAACAAGAACATACAAATCGCTTGCGAGATGAAGCCAAACGTATTAAAGGAGAACAAGAGAAGGAACTGTCCAAATTTCAGAACATGTTGAAAAACCGAAAAAAAGAGGTAAAAGTGCAGATGTTTTGATTTGCTGAAGCAATTAGTTGGAAGCGTTTCATTTAATAGAATCATGCATAGAATTAGTACAATATTTGAAAACTTTTGAAGAAGTTAGTTTTTAAAGTGGAAATATGAAATATATGACTATGATGACAGTCTTTACAGATTTAATAATGAATATGAATGTTCTTTGTCAACTTAAGTTTTTTTTTCCTTGATTAACTTGATTCCTTTTCTTTCTTGAAAGGAAACATAGAGATGCTAATGTTCTTAGATACTCTCAGATGATTTCATTTTTCATTGAGGTGTTCATTCTGTACTTTCATGTCAGAGGATTCACCTTTACGTAATGTGTGAGGTCTGGTATGTTGACTATTATTAGTTTTGTGGAGTTGGATGAAAAAGCCTTAATTGTTGAACATTTTTACTAAAATATATAGTTGATCTCCTTATTCTTTTCCATAAAATTGTGAAGAAAATTTTCATGCCGCTGAATCTTAAAGACTTGATTTTAAGCTCAACAAAGCCAGAAAGCTTAGGACTAAAACTTTTCTCATGCACTGTGAAAGGAATTAAAATTTTGTCAGTTTTGTGTTTGAGACAGTAGCCCATATCAGAGAAATTGTTTATGTACTAAATGATGTGTGTGTATATGTACTTATACACACTTTTTTTTGGCTACATAATGCCTTTTTACAGAATTCATCTATTCAAGTTAATTAAGCTACTTTAAAATGTAAAATGTTATTATTTTTTCAATTGATGCTTGCTTATTTCACTTAAGCCTATTTATAAAAATCAATATGTTACTCTTACTGTTATGGGGTTTATGAGTTGTTGAAAATGTTTGGATAAACATTCACACAGTCTTTTTTTAACAATGTTATATGTATTTTTTTCTTTTTCTTGTTGCTAAACTTCTTGCATTTGGGGAGTTTCTTCTTTTTATTGGTGATTGGGTCTTGGGGAAAATGGTGGGGAATTTAAAATATACTTTGTTAAATCAAAAGCAATCTCTTTAACAGAACATCAATAGCATGTGGTGATTTGGAGTCTGTTTTCTGTGGGTGCTTTTATATGTGATCATTTAGTTTTCAAAGTGTTATTGAAGATTTATGGTCAGAAGGTGTACACATCTCGAACTCTGAAATGATTACATGAAGGGGTTAAAAGATATGGAATCAGTTAATGATTATTAACCTTCTGGTGTACTGAATCACAACAATCTGTTTCCTAACAATCTGTCAGTTTTTTAAATGGTGCTAATAATTAGTAGTTTTTCGGTTACCCATTTTGTTATGTTTGGCTTAAAAGTATATAACATCAAAATTATTTTTTTAAAAAATAGAATACTGGTTGTTTTTGCACAAAATCATTGTCTGTGCTGCTTTTTAAAGCACTTGATATAAAAATGATGTATTGTACTCTTAAAATTTGATATCTTTTTGGGTATACTAAATGGGTTTATATTAGAAATTATTCCTTTGTAATTCTCAAGCCAGACATGACATTTAGTATTTTTATAAATGGCAGCTTATCTTTCTTATAATTTTCCAAATTGTTTTAATAAACACGTTTCTCGTTTTATGACTATTTCAAGAGAATCAGTTGAAGCTATCACTTTTAGTGTAGCTTCAGTGCTGAAGGTGATAATCTTATCAACTGATTGTCTTTGAAACATGTTTAAGAAAGAAGGTGGTATATAGGAGTAGCTGAGCACTTAGTTAACTTTTATTTGGTGTAAAGTTCCTTTTTGCACTCAGGTGAAGCATGTTCTATCCTTTCCTCCTTTTTTGCCAGACTAACACCTTTGCTAATGCATGTTGAAAGGGAGCTTTGTAACTACCTTGGTAATTGACTTATAGCTTATATGCTCACGTAACTGCTTGCTGTGGAGAAAGTATTATTTCCCCACCTCCTGCATGCTTATACACTGTAGGTTATAAATGAAGTGGAGAAAGCACCCAAAGAGCTGAGAAAAGAGCTCATGAAACGCAGGAAAGAGGAGCTTGCACAAACCCAGCATGCTCAGGTAACAGCAGCAGCTTAATGCTACTAAAAACAGAAAGCAGTGTTATTCTCACAGCTTAATAAACTTGTTTGTGAAGGGATATGTTTTAACTGCCACTAATATTTTGTATTGATTTGTCCCCAGAACATTTTATTGTGCAAATGTTCATGCTGATACTTAAATTTAAGTTGAAATTGTGTTGAATATTTGAAATATCATTAAGAAAAATAAATTCTGGAAATTCCCAGCCGCCAAATAATTACACATATGTAATCTGCATATTAAATATCACAGAAACTTAATTTATAGGCAGTAATTCCTATTTTTCAAAGAATACTCTTATGGCTGTGCAATATATGAAGCTTTGAGTCTTTGAAATTAGATCTATAAAAATGTCATTGTTTCTATACAGTTTTCTCAGAATCCAAGCAAGATTAGGAAGTATATCAAGTACCTATTTTCAGCTTGCCCAAACAAGCGGTTCTTATACTCAGATTATAAATACTAAGTATGCTGTTCTTCTGTTATGCTGAATTATGAAGTGTAAGTAATCTAGTAGTCTAGAAGAGAGACACTACTTTCTTTGCCAAAGGTGAAATCAAGGCCTCTTGCTCTGGATTTTACATAGTAATAAGGCTGGACTGATTTAGATAGATCATTTCTTTCATTTTGACTGCCTGTGTTTAGAAGTAAGGATAGAAAAATTAATCATGGAGTCACAGAATCCTAAAGCTGGAAGGGGCCTCATCAGTCATCATCACTTGATTAAAGCATAAATTCCCTTTCTTTGCCATCTCTGACACACGATTGAGAATAGTCCTAGTTTTCAGTTATCAGGAATATTGAAAGAAAGAAGAGGTGTTGAGAATAGAAAACAATAGATAATCTAATAATCATTTAAATGTGCCTTTGGAATATGGTCTCAGTCATATAGTCATAAGCAGATATTTCTTTCTAAGCTCAGCAATAGGTAGTAGTTATAAAAGTATAAAAATCAAAGAGCTGGAAAGGATTTGAGGGATCAAGATGTTCAACCCCTTCATTTTATAGATGAGGAAACTGAGGTCTAGTGAGGTCAAATAATTTTCTCAAGGCCCTATGAAACCCTTCATTTGTATTGCTGATGCATTTTTAGGGAATTTCCTTATTTAATGTTCTTACCTAGGAGGTGCATTGTATTCTGATTCACAGGGTGTTGCTCAGGTTATGATTCAGTCTTTTCAGTTGTCATCTTGTACACTCTTCAATGCCCAAATGCAGGATGTAAGTCCCAAAAGCCTGAAGGATGGCTTGTTGTTGTTTTTTTTCTTCTCCCTTTTTCTTTGACTCACATGTGCTTTTCACTGATTTCGCTATTGGTTTCTATAGTGAAATCAAGAAAAATTACATTGAATAGTACTTTAAATTAGTAACTGATTTTTCATAATGCTTTGATATGCATTTGATCTTTTATAATCACCTTATATTGGGAAAGTATTTATTATTCCCATTTTAAAGTTGAAGAAACTGAGGCATAGTTAGTCAGTAAACATTAAGCACCTACCATGTGCCAGGCATTCTTCTAAATGCTGGGGATACAAAGAAAACCTGAAATCGTATAATCAGTTGCTGAGCTAAGACTTGCATATAGGTCCCCTGATTCCTAGTTCGTTGTGCTTGATGCTACCCCATTCTGCCTCAGGTTTAACATTTCTTTAATGATTTCTATCTCATAAAAAAAGAAAAAACACATTCATGTTAAAGTTATGAATTCCGCACATGTGAGCAGTTGGGTGCTGTGGTTATTTTTTATTTGTGTGAAGTGACATTTTGTGTTCTGTATTTTAAAAGTATAGGTGTGGTCAGAAAAGCCAGCATAAAATGGCACCTTTAATCCATTTTTCTCCACTTCCTGTTTGTTCAGTTATACAGTAGTCCAAATTATAACTTATCCATATGACATGTAAATTAGCTATGCAATATCATCTAAGCTTTTTTTTCTCACAGCCTCCAGAGAAAATTTACCAATTTGACCCCACAGTATTTGTTTTTGATGTTTGATGTTTGTAACACAAGTGAAAAGAAGGCAGTTTGATTTTTCAGAAACCAAGGCTTATCTTTTGATTATTTTTCAGTTTCAGGACTTTTATTTAGAGTTTTTCAACAGAATAAGCAAAGTATGGATGTTTTTAAGGGAGAGGAAAATTATGAATCCCTGTTACTTTTCTGATCATGACCATATATTTTAGCCATGTACTTCAGTAAAACCACAAAATGTCTGGAAGAAATAGGTAAAATACCTATTATTCAGTGTTCCTTTTTTGCTGAAATTTTTGATTACCAAGTTATATTTTTAATCTATAAGGCTTTTCTTTCATTGTAAAGATAAATACTTTTGTAAGGGTGGGACATATCTTTTGTACTGAGATTACTTAATTTTTAAACCACGGTTTATTTTGCAGTTTTAATGTGTCAGTACTTTGCTTTTCTTCAGTGCTTTTTCTTCTTTAAGTCACTAACTTAGATTCTTTAGCTGCTGTCTTTCTTGTGATTCTCTTTTCTTAATAAATCCACGTGCCCTCAAAAAAAGACCGTAGATTAACCTATCCTGAGGTTCTTTAGAGATCTTTGCAGCTTGTTATATTTTTGGAAATCTCTTGTAATTAGAGGGTTCTTTCTTTTATTGAAGTTATATTATTTTACTTCTCTGAACTATAATCTTCATTTACCTCAATTTTTCTCCAGATGGCCTCATTTCTAGATCCTTTACCATTTTGGTTGCCTTTCCTGGACACTCTAGTTTATCAATTTTCCTTTTAAAATGTGCTTAGAATTGAACACTATATACCAACTGTAGTCTGACTAACACAGAATATAGAGGAACTAACCTATCCTTTGATTTAGACATTATATAATAATGAAGCCTGAGATTAAATACATTAAAATTATTTTTAAGTAGCTGTAATATACTTTTGGGCTTATAGTTAGTTTTTAAGTAAGGTATCTAAGATTTATTTTTGCATAAATTGCTTTTGAGCCATGTTTTTCCCATCATGTACTCGTACAGTCCAATTTTTAACTTAAATTTGGAACTTCGCTTTTATATCTGTTGACTTTGGCCTTTGATTCTAGTGTTTTGTGCCATTCATTATACTAGCTAGCACCTTTCCTACTTTTATGTCATTGGTAATTTTGATAAATTTGCCTTCTATGTGTTTGTCCAAATCACTGACGAAAATGTTGAACAAAAGACCAAAAAGTGATCCTTTTGGCATTTGTACTGGAGAACTCCCTCCAAGCTGACAGTAATTCTGCTAATAAACATATGTATGTGGAGACCTAAATTTGAATAGATGAACAGAGAGATAACTTATTTTTTTGACTATAAATAATTGATCACTTGGGTTTTACCATAATTTTTAAAAGCTAACATTGTTTATTCAGTCAGTCAGCAAACATTTATTAAATAGCTACTATGTGCCAGGCACTGAGCTGATTTACAAGCCTTTTCTTTTTACTGATATGATTATAAATATGGTATTTTATGTTTATGCCAAATTATACAATTGAGGTCACCTAGATAAAAATAACTTATCTGTTAACTTTTACCTATTTAAAAATTATAGGTAATCTTAAGGCATTTTTAAAAAGTTAAATATTTTAAAAATTATTTACCTTAAAGGACAGACTTCTTTATTCTTTTTTTCAGTTCCAAATCTTTTCCCCTGCTCTTTCCACTCCAGTCATTGAGAAGGCAAGAAAAACAAAACTCATTACAAATATTTATAGTCATGGAAAACAAATGTCCACATTAGCCATGTTCCCCTACTTCTTCCCCCCCCCCCCCCAAAAAAAAGAAAGAAAAAAATATGTTTCATTTTGCACTCAGAGCCTTATTAGTTTTCCATCTGAAAGTGAACAGTATGTTTCAAGATGAGTCCTTTGGACTTGTGGTAAACCAATGTGTTGATCAGAGTCTTTCACAGTTGATTGTCTTTGCAGTATTGTAACTGTTTAGATTGTTCTCCTAGTTAAGCTCGCTTCACTTGGCATCAGTTCATATAGGTCTTCTCAGATTATGTGGGAAAAAAATCCCCTTCATCATTTCTTATAGCAAAATATTATTCCATCACCTTCACATATCGTAACTTCTTCAACCATTCCTCAATTGATGGGTACCCACTCAGTTTTCAATTATTGGCCCATATAAAGAAAATTGCCATAAATATTTTTGTACATATAGGTCCTTTTTATTTGATTTCTTTGGAGTATAGACCTAGTTGTGGTACTGCTAGACCATAGGGTATGCCCAGTTTAAAAGCTTTTTGGTCATAGTTCCAACTTACTTTCCAGAATGGTTAGATGAGTAGTTCATAGCTTCGCCAGCAGTGTATTAGAGTACCTGTTTTCCCACATCCATTCCAGCATTTCTCATTTTCCGTTTTTGTCATCTTAGTCAATCCGATGGATGTGAGGTAGTACCTCAGAGTTGTTTTAACTTGCATTTTTCTAATTCTTAGTGATTTAGAGCATTTTCTTTTCATATGGCTATTGATAGTTTTTCTTCCTCTGAAAACTGCCTATTCATATCCTTCATATCAATGTATCAATTGGAAAATGGCTCTAATTCTTGTAAAATTGACTCAGTTCAATATAGTTTAGAACTGAGGCCTTTATTAGAAAACTTGCTGCAAAGATCCCCCCCCAAGTTTTTAATGTGTTTCCTTTAATCTATTTGCATTAGCTGTGTTTGTGCAAAAACTTTTTAATTTTATGCTATCAAAATTAATCCATTTTACCTCCTGTGAACCTCTTTCTTGTTTGATCAGAAACTCTTTTCCTGTCTATAGATCTGAAAGGTAATTTTTTCTGTGCTCCACTAATTTGCTTATGATATCACCTTTTATGTTTAAATCATGTATTCATTGTGAGCTTATTTTGGTATACAGTGTGAAATGTCGGTATATGTCTGGTTTTTACCAATCTGCTTTCCAGTTTTCCCAACAGTTTTTGTTACATATCAAGTTCTTGCCCTAAGAGCTCGGTTTATCTATCATAAGGCATTTTAAAAAATGCTCTTAACAGAATAGCATTAAGTCAATCCCAGGGAGTTAATTCTCTGCCTCAAAATCTCCATGGCAAGACAGATTTCCCCAATGAACTTTAACTCCTCCACCCCAGGCTGGTCTGATTTTGGATGAAACTCAGTGAATCTAGATTCTAGGTCATGCTAGACTCAGACCCTCCTTGATCCAAGGGGCATATCTGATCTGGGGGTTCCTATCTATTTTCATGTGAACAGGTAGGGGTGTGTGTGTGTGTGTGTGTGTGTGTGTGTGTGTGTGTAGAAGGATTTTGACCTATATCTTGGGGGCTAGACCAGAAGTGGTCTGGCTTCTAAGGAAGACATAGAGGTTTGAATGGCTTAATATAACTTTTTGAATTTGCCCCTCTTTTTTTTTGAACATGCTCAAACATAATCATTCATTAGTCAGTCTAACAGGTCTCCAAACTTACATGATATTGTAATTTAGCATAGCCTTCTTGAAGAGACTGAGTCATTTGGAATCCTTCTAAGAGCCAAAGCCTTATAGTAACGATGTGGAGTTGTGTGTTTCGTTTATCAGTTGAGGGCAAGTAACCCTTAATCTTATTCTTTCTTCCTAATTCTTCAGAAATGATGTGGTGGGCCTCAAGTCATCATTCTTGGCACATATCTAAATGGCATATATATCAATAAAAGGCTAATCTCTTAATATAATTAATTTCTCGCTAACCATTGCTTTTTTAGGGAAAAAAGTTTAAAATTAGCCTTTTTTAATTAGATGTATAAACCAACTTTCTAAGAGGTCATTACCTATTTTTTCTTATTTTCTGTAGTATACTTTGGATCATTTCTAGAAGTAAGATGCTAGTGTAATAGTACAGTCTGTGTAATTATTATTGTGATTGTATATTTCTGGTGTGTGCATTGTTCTTAGTTTTGAGTTTAGAATGATATATACATTATAACCATTTTAATTCTATCTGATCATCCAAAAATTGGATAATTAACACATTTTTTAAATGTTGAGCATATTGCTTTTGGTGATTTGTATGATAATGATCTGGACCTCTTGTTAAACATTAATATATACAGATGTATTAGTATGCTCACAAAGTACTTGTTAATAGATTTTTGTATGTATCCGATAGGAACAAGAATTTGTTCAGAAGCAACAACAAGAATTAGATGGATCACTGAAAAAGATCATCCAACAGCAGAAGGCAGAGTTGGCTAACATTGAGCGAGAATGCCTGAATAACAAACAGCAGCTCATGAGAGGTATGTAGAAATATGCAGCTTGTATATGTAAAAGTAGTAGCTGTAACTATATTAAAAACAATTTATGGGGTAGATAGATAACATTGTTCTTGTCAGGGAGAAGAAAGGATAAAAAGGAAAAAAGTAGAGAAGAAAGGAGAACCTTTTTTCTTTTTAGAAACATTGTTAGATTTAGAATTTTTATGCAAATTGAAAACTAAGATGAAAAATTAGCTCCTTTAAAATATCTTTTATTAGCTAGGTACGGCCAGAAACTCTCTTTAGTGGTGTTGGGTTCCTTTAATGTCTTGTACCTTTGGATATACTTCATGACTACATGATGGGATGGAAATTGAAATACTTATTTCTTCTAAACATTTAGCTATTATACTTCTTTCTCATTAATTTACCAAGATGGAATTTTGGAGGGCATTAGTTAACTATTCATAGAAAATTAGAATGGGATGGAAAGCAGTAATAAATTGCTACTAACTACACAATTTTAGTAATTTTTCATTTGTACTTTAAAATATAAATACACATAAACTACTGGAAATAGACTACATATTTTGGGTTAATATTAAAACTAGAAAGCAAGAATATGTTAGAAAAAAAACAACAAAAACACATTTCTGAAAATTATTTCCTCTTCCAGCTCGTGAAGCTGCTATTTGGGAACTTGAGGAACGACACTTACAAGAAAAGCATCAGCTGCTTAAACAACAACTCAAGGATCAGTACTTCATGCAAAGGCATCAACTACTTAAGCGTCATGAAAAGGTGAATGAAAAGATTCTTGTTCCTTTTCTTTTTGCCTTATGGTATTTTTAGGGTTTTTGAATGTTTATATGTAATCAAGGGGGAAAGGGAAGGGAACAAGCATTATTAAGTACTTTCTGTATGCCAGGCACTGTGCTTAAGCGCTTTACAAATATTATCTTATTTGATCCTTACAGTAAACCTGAGAGGTTAGGTAGGTGCTGTTATTTTAACCCCATTTTACAATTGAGGTGACTGCCCAGGGTCACATAGCTAATAAGTGTCTGAGGCCAGATTTAAATTCAGCTTCAAATTCAGCTTAGGGTGGTATTTTTTGGGTAGAGAAGAGGTTGGGGTATTGTGAGGAGATTGCCTTTTTTTTTTTACATTTACGTTGCTATCTTTTGTATTTGCATCACCTTAATTTCCAACTATCACTTTTCCTTCCTGTCTGCCTGTTGAGTCATCCCTTGGAATAACAAAGAGTGAAAAAAGCAAGTCAGCAAAACCAAGTAGAATATCAACTGAATCTGACCAGTGTTCCACACCCATGTGTCCCCCATTTTTTCAAAGGAGGGGAGTGCATTTTTTAATCTCTCTTTCTTTAAATTAATTTTTTTTTTAGTTTTCAACAATCACTTCCATAAGCTTTTGAGTTTCAAATTTTCTCCCCTTTCCTTCCCAAGATGGCGTGCAATCTGATATAGGCTGTACATATACATTTCTGTTAAACCTATTTTCACATTAGTCATGTTGTAAAGAAGAGTTAGAACCAATAGGAGGAACCACAAGAAAGAAGAAACAGAACAAAACAGAAGAAAAACAAAACAAATAGTATGCTTCAATGTGCATTCAAACTCCATAGTTCCTTCTCTGGATGTGGATGGCATTTTCCATCATGAGACTTTTGGAGATGTCTTAGATCCTTGCATTGCTGAGAAGAGCTAAGTCTGTCAAAGTCAGTCATCGCACAGCATGGCTGTTACTGTGTGCAATGTTCTTCTGGTTCTGCTCACTTCACTCAGCATCAGTCCATACAAGTCTTTCCAGGTTTTTCTGAAGTCCACTTGCTCATTGTTTCTCATTAATCTATTTTTTTTGGGGGGGGACCAAGCTTTATCATTATAATTATACAACGTCTAGTTTAGTTTTTTCTTTCTATTTTGATTGTTGTTGTCATTTTTGATTCTGCTTACTTCACACTTCATAACTTCATACAAATTCTTCTCTGAATTCTTCATATTAATCATTTCTTGTGTACCAGCTTAGGGTTTTTTTTTTTTTTTGTTGTTGTTGTTGTTGTTGTTTTTGGCAATTGGGGTTTAAGTGACTTGCCCAAGGTCATACAGCTAGTAAGTGTCAAGTGTTTGGTCTGAGGTCAGATTTGAACTCAGGTCCTCCTGACTTCAGGGCCAGTGTTCTATCCACTGCGTCACCTAGCTGCCCACCCCCCAGCTTAGGTTTTAAAAAGTGAATTTGACTCAAAAGAATTTTCATTTGCTTTTAAATTCACTTTTTAAAATAAATTAAGGAAACCATCTATTTTTAAAAATTATTCATTAAATCATCTATTTTCACAGCACTGGTGGGACAAGGGGGTTAAGAAATGAATAAGATTCTTCCCTTAAGAAGTACAATTTAGGAAGAGCATTTAAATTAAACATGTATTACATGCTGGTATGCAGTTTCAGCCCTCTGGAGCTTGTAGCCTTACTACGGAAGACATAAACACAATACTATTCATGGACGTCTCCCTGTTCTCCCCCATTTTACGTCTCAAACTACTTTGATATATCTTCTGTTATCCTTTCCTCCTTTGCTCCTTACTTTGACCAAGAAGTGGCCTTTTTCTTTGCCAAGAACAATTCCTCTATTTTTGGACTTGATTTCACACCCCTCTCCCCTTTTTTGCCCTCTTTCTCCTTTCCAATCTTTCTGTTAGCTACTTTTCTGCTACCTTGCTACCTGCAAACATGCCCAAGGCTTCCTCATCCTTAAAAAGCCATCACCTAAAGCTACCAAATGATCATCCTTTATCTCCTCTCCTTTTCATAGCCAAACTCTTAAAAAAAGCAAGTGATTTATGCTTATTGCTTCCACTTCTCCTCTTGCTCATTTCTCAACCCTTGCAGTCTGACTTTCTAATTGAAACTACTTTCTTGAAGGTTATCCGTGATCTCTTAATTACTAAATCTGATGGGTCTTTTCTCATTTCTCATCCTTCTTGGCTTCTCTGCAGTGTTTGAAACATTTGACTAGTCTTGTCCGTGGGTTTTTATGACACTGCTTTCTCATAGAACTTGTCATACTTTTCTGACTGTTCCTTCTTGGTCTTCTTTGCTGGATCATTATCCATATTCGGTTTTGATCTCTATGCAGATGACTCCCAGATTTGTATATCCATGTCTAGTCTCTCCCCTGAGCTCCAGTCCTACAATCACATATTGAACATTTTCAACTGGATGTCTGAAAGAAAACTTAAGCTGATGTCCAAGGCAGTAATTATTATATTTATTTCCCTTGCCCTCAGCTTCACAATTTCTGTTGAAGGGCCTACCATCCTTCTACTCGCTGAAGTTTGCAGCCTCTGTGTCATCCTCTCCATCCAATCAATTGTCAAGTCTTTTTGATTCTACTTGCAACAACATCTCATATTTATATCTTTTTCAGTCCTTACATAGTCCTTACCTCTTAGCAGGACTATTACAGCAGGCTTCTCATTAGTTTCTAGTTTCTTTCCTTTCTTATCCATCTTCAGCACAACTGTTAAAATGATATTCAAGGCTTAGCTTAAGTGCTTCCTCATCTTTGAGGACTGTCCTGCTCTCCTGCCCCCTCAGTTGCTGGTGCCCTTTCTCTTCCTGAAATTTTGAATTTACTTTGTATATACTTTGTAATTACTTATCTCCATTCATTTTCTACCTTCGCCTCTAGAATGTTAGATGCTTGAGGGCAAAGGCATGTCTGTCTTTTTATTTTTTACCTCCAACCTCTAGCACACTATGCATTGTACACTTATGAGTTGCACAAAGTGCTATAGAGTGAGTAGCTCGGGGGGGGGGGGGGGGGAAGGGAAGGGAATAAGCATTTTTATAACACCTACAATGTGCCAGACACTGTGCTAAGTACTTTACGAATATTATCTCATTTAATCCTCACAACAACCCTGTGGGGTCGGTGCTGTTATTAATCCCATTTTATAGTTGAGGAAGCTGAGGCAAACAGATTAAAGTGACTTGCACAGGGTCACACAGTAGGTGTCTGAGATTAGAGTTGAACTCAAGTCTTTCTGACTCCAGGCTCAGTGCTCTATCTACTGTACTGTGTAGCTGCCTAAGGGAAGGGATCCCTTCTCCTGGGAATGAATGAGAAGAGGATTCATGGACAAATTGATACTTGTACCAGGAAATTTAAGAATGGTTAGGAATTTGACAGGGATGAGTTCTAGTAAGGAGGGCATTCTAGATGGCTGAGAAAACAGGAAACTGAAGATGTAGAGATAGCATGCATAATCAAATATTTACAGAATGGCAAATGGATTACTTTGGCGGTAGCATAGTGAATAGAGAAATAGTGAGAGATGGGGGCTACAGAGATGGCTTCAGACCATATTTTGGAGCATCTTGAATGCCATGCCAACAACTTTTGAATTTTATCCTGTAGGTGACAAGGAACCATTGAAGATTATGAACAGGAGAGTGACATGTTTTTGTTTCTTTAGGAAAATTAATCTGTTGATAAATTATAAGATGGATTGGAAAAGGAGAGAAATCTTCTATCATTTGTTTGGTATAATTCATTAAACAAAGGAAAATTAAATGGGCACAAATGTAGTTCTGACTATATAATTCTAAGAGCTATTCAGTGGAAATATAAGGAATATCCAGTTTAAATTTTAATATGTTAATAGTAGGATTATAGGTATATTATTTTTATCTATACATGTTTAAGGATATAGCTTCTAAAAGATACTATGTGTATAGTAAGTGCCTGAAATTAAAGTAGCTATATTATATTATTTCTATATCAGTGGATTATATTTAAAACTCTTATAGGAAACTGAACAAATGCAGCGATATAATCAACGGCTCCTTGAAGAGTTAAAAAACAGACAGACCCAAGAAAGAGCAAGACTACCTAAGATCCAGCGCAGTGAAGCCAAGACTCGGATGGCCATGTTCAAGAAGAGTTTGAGAATCAATTCGGCAGGCACTCCAGACCAGGACCGTGACAGAATTAAACAGGCAAGGGACTAAACTGCCTGTAGCCTGATGAGAAAACACAATCAAAATCAGGATAGATTTAAGACAATAATCAGTTTCTTGGGGCTGGTGCTATTCAGAGAAGGATATCCCCAACCTTCCACCTCCCATCCCAGACCTTGAACTAGATTGATCTCCACTGTAACTCTAGGAATTAGGTTGGAACTATACTAACCTGGAGAATAGTGATAAAGCAACTAAGTTGCTTAAATGTAAACTGATACTACTAAAGGAACTTACTACTGCATTTCTCATCCATACACCCACCTAGGCCCCATAGCAATTAGGAGGATGTGGGCCATATAATCATATGATCCCCAAAGCCTTGATGTGTAGGATAAAGCTGTGGAGAGTTATTTCTTGTCTGAATCCTGCTTTACAGTTGAGAAAGCAAAATTTTCATTATTGTTCTCATAGCATGTGGCTGTGGTAAAGGAACCAGTGAATTAGAATAAACTCAGAGTTCTCACTTAGTGAAGACTCACATGTCTTCTCATTTGTTTTCTTTTCATATGGGAATTTATAAGCCATTACATTAAATTTAGTCTTTTATCTTCCAGATATTCTAATCATAGGACTAGGTAAGGAGGAGACTCCATTCTCTTCTCCTCAGGCCTTAAGTGGGAAGAACCAGGAATTTTTAGGTATAGGTTTTCTTTTCCTTCCTGCTTTAGAGGAGGAAGCTTGGATAACCTCTTCAGCTCATTTCTAACACTTAGGCATATTGACAAAATAGATTTTTTTCTTAGTCTGAAAATAAATTACTGTAATAATTTTGGTTACCTTTAGTTTATTGTAACTTTGAAATTTCAACTTAATCTGTTAAGTTAAAATCTTTAAATAGCCATTCAATAAATTATCATCCCCTGTTTTGCCTCCTGGCTTGTTTGTCTGTTAGTTTGCTGCTCAAGAAGAAAAGAGACAGAAAAATGAGAGGATGGCTCAGCATCAAAAGCATGAAAATCAGATGCGGGACCTTCAGTTGCAGTGTGAAGCTAATGTCCGAGAACTACATCAACTACAGGTTAGCTATACAAACCTCAAAACTAAAGGAGCTCATGATATTTAATCACTTATTTGTACAGAGCACCATTTCAGCATCACATTGCCTAACAGTAAAATAACAATTAAAGAATTCTTAAAATTTTAAAATAAGCTTTAATTATCTGACTTTTCTTTTTAGTAGCATTGTATTTTTAATATGTTGTATGTCAAAGAAGACATAACACATACTCAAAATTGAACTGGCCAGAACCATTGTTGTACTTTCAAATACAAATTTCTCTGTATGTCATCTTAATAGTAATTCATTTATTCCTGTGTTCTTGAAAAGAGTGATCAGAAATGTTCTCATAGGGATATAGTTTCTTAAACTTCTAAGGGGCACTTTAGAGAAGATTCTCTTTGATTCTGATCTTGAGCTTACAGCCGTCATATCACATTACCTGAGATTTATAGTTCTTGCAATGTGTTATGCCTATTGTAGGCATCCAATAAACATTTGTTGAGTGAGTTGAATTGGTTTACAGTGGTTACTAATCTTACTTAGCATTTGGTATTGGTGGTAAAACATATACAAAACTATGTTCTAAATTCTTAGGTTTGTAAGGAAGTTTCCTAATAGAAAAAAGAAAGAACAAGAAGTAGAATTTATTCATTCCATGTTACCTCCATAAAAAGTAAATAACTGATTTGGCTTTTAAGCCAGAAAAACTTTAATTTAGGCCAGGTTTCATTTTCTGAATCTTGATAAACATTTTAAAAGAAATTTAAACGTCTGTCAGTGTATGGTGTCCAATCTTACATCAGTAATCAATTTTTGAAAACACAATTGTGTAAAATAACCTATTGGTACAAAAATAATCATAATTTCTCTTTTTGAAGTTATTGCTCAGTGACTAGAATATTCTTGAATAAATGCTGGCATAATAACATGATAGAATATTATTGCACTATAAAAATTGATAAATAACAGGCATGCAAAGAATTTGGAAAAACCTATGTGAAGTAATTGAAAGTGTGATAGGTTGATTACAGTTGCATTTTTTTTAAAGAGGGAAAAGGAAGGAAAGCCAAAAGTAGAGGAACTTCAACTAGACTGGGAAAGGGATGACGAACAAAGCATTTTTTTCCCACTTTTTTATTAATAATTCATTTGGTTCCACTTTACTAAATGTTAAGGATTGTATGTTAAATTTACTTGTTACTCTGTATGTTTATCTGATTATATTTTTAGTGATTACTAAGTTTATAAATTTTTAAAGAAATAATTTTGTTCCCAGAAAAGTTTACTGAGGTGAATGTATTACTTTTACCTATATTTTTTTTCTATATTTTCAGAATGAAAAATGCCATCTATTGGTTGAGCATGAGACTCAGAAACTAAAAGAGTTAGATGAGGAGCATGGGCAGGAATTAAAGGAGTGGAGAGAAAAATTGAGACCCAGGAAAAAGGTAACTTGAAATAAAAGAGATTAAAAGGCATTATCCCAAATAGATACAATTTAGTACAACAAATGTTGAGGTCAAATTGGTAGCAATTTGATTACAGTAGAAAATAAGAATCTGGAAAAGTAGCTCATAAAATTTTTTGTTTACTTTGCTTTATTTTTCCAAGAACTTATCACATTGCTATTTTAAAAACACAATTCAATTTAGCTAGCATATTTGGGTAGGTATTTATTTAGTCTTTATTCAAATGTACTTTCTTAAGAATTTAATAATTTCATGTTACACTAGAATTTTCCATATGTATTCCCTTAGCCAGAAAGTGAAACATAGGAAAACTCCAAAGACATTGAGTCTTCCATCATTACTTAATTAGAACAGCCTTGAAATAAATGTATTTATAATTTTGTAGTTGGAAGGTGGTTTTCTGTGGTGATCAGATTTGTTACTACTTTCGGGCTATGATGTTACATAAAATTAGGTGGATTGGAGATAGGCATGTAGGGGAAACCTGTTAATATCAAAGGATGGCTATTGGCCAATTCCATACTCTTCAGAGCCAATTCAGGAATAGGGTCAGACTTAGGTTTGCCAATGTGAGTAAATAGTTGCTTGCTATTATTCTGGGCTCCTAATTCAGAGCAGGAAAGCAATAATACTCTGTATTCTCTAGAGATTCCAGAGTGACAGATGTTCCTTTTGTTCTCCACCTGAGGCAATGGTGGACATCAGCAGAAGACTCAAACACTTGGAGGGATGGGCATAGAAATGTTCTGGGCCTGAGACAATCTTCATTATTGTTTAGATCAAACTTTTTTTTAAGATCACATTAAATGACAACTTATCTTTTCTCTGCTCCTCTCCTTATCCTCTCATTCCACCTCTTTCGCTCTCCTCCCCCTTACCCCGATCCCACTCCAGACACTAGAAGAAGAGTTTGCAAGGAAGCTTCAAGAACAAGAAGTGTTCTTTAAAATGACTGGGGAGTCTGAATGCCTTAACCCTTCAACCCAGAGTCGCATCTCCAAATTCTATCCAGTTCCTAGCCTGCACTCCACTGGGTCGTAACTCCAGAAAGTGTGATTGGGTTGGTCTTTGTTTTTTTAGTTTGCTTCTCTTCATCTTTTGCCACACCAAAATCTACAGCTTACACCAGAGAGTTCATGAAGACAATCATCTGCGTCACTGTTTAAATGGGCTTTTTTGGTTTGCTTTATTCAGAGTATAATGGCAGAGGTAGAGAAGGTAACTAGGGCACTCACTGATTGTTCTGTGTTATACAGTGTGGGGTCTTTAGTTATTTGTTAAGGTGTTTTTTTATATTAAACTAAAAAACATCTTTATTATTTAGACATTAAAGTACTCATAAAAGTATTAGAGAAATAATGTTTAAAGTTACAAAAAAGCTGTAATACAAAACATTGTTAATTAATATCTTTTTAACTGAACTTAGTTCTCAATGGTGACTGAATTCCGCAGTTGAAATTCTACTGTGTAGCGTTTGGAGTTTCTTGTGATGAAATAGCTTTCATAAAAAAAAGGACACATAAATTACTCAGTATGTTTGATAAAAGAATTTATTATGTTTTTATCCTTAAATTCAGTAACACCCTTTTGAAAGAGAAAAATTTTTCAGCAATTTGTCTGAAATAACTATTACAGGCATTCAGTCTAATAAGTGAAGGTGCTTTCATTAATATAGTGCCTGAAATATGTAAATTTGTTCACTTCTAAAACAGGAATTTCTTTTCTGATTGGGGGAAGAGAGAGAACTAAATACCTGTAGCATTAAAGTTTCCATTTTAAAAACCTTGCTGCTACTACTATATGTCAGAAATTCTCACTCGAAAATATTTTGCACTAAAATACATAAAGGTGAAAAAACCCTACTAAGAGTTCATTATTCTTACAAATTTGGAAGTTCTACAAACTGAAATGAGTATAGATTTACTAGTCACAGTTTAGTTTAATGGGGACAGCCCACGTTCTTTAATATGCTTGTACTAATTAAAATGGCTTCTCTCCCATCTCAACAAAATCTTCATTTAAAACTCTCAGAGACTCAGAGACCCTGAATTATATTTATAAACATAGTGATCAAAAGTAATCAAAAAAGAAATATTTGAAGACTTTCAGTACTCAAAAAGATGTAAGTTAAATATTTAGAGCAATATTTTTAGGATTGCATTTTTTTGTGTTTTGAAATTTGGTTGCTTACATGTTACAATTTTATTTTGTTTTAAGTTGATAGATGTATTAAATTATTTACTTTGATTTGCAGTGGGTGAAGTCAAACTTTTATCATGTAATTTGTGATATGTGTAGCTATTAAAGAATTATTCAAAGTTAGTTCTTTTGAGGGTTAGAATTTGAAGTATGAGTCATATCATGACAGTATTATAAACTGTATTATGGTATGTGAAAGACAAGTATGTGATGATACTTGCTTTCTGTCATTTGAAACCCACTATCTTGGTACCCAGTTTTAAAAGATCTATTTTCTAGCCTACTGGTTTGTGTTAAATAGGAGGCTGGTGGAACTCCTAAGAGTGTAATTTCCTTTAAACACTGTTGAGTTAAGGAAAAGAAATGTAAATAACAATTTCATTCTTTTGCAATTGATTGAAAAACTTTGGATGCTGAAGCTTACTCTGTCAGTTGTTTAAATGATTGAAAAATGCATGTTAAATTTTAATTTTGTAATTAATGTTTTTGTTAAGCATAATTTACTTGGACTACTTTATAGCTAGCCTTAATTTCTGGCCAAGTTTTTTTTTTTAAGTATATATATACATACATATATATATATATATATATAGATAAATATAAAAATATGTCATGTACTGGTTGTAAATTCACACACCATCTTCACTCAAATGTGTTATTGTATGCAGAACTCTCTTAAATAGCTTATTCTCAAATGCTGAGATGAAAAATGTTCTGGAAGGCCTTTTAAAGCTACATCTTTATAAAAATAATATTCATTAAGAAAATGGAAATGGTTTATATTGTTATCATAAAAATATTATTACAGTATCATGATGCCCAATGGATTCAATGATTTATTTGAATTGGGGATGGTAAGAGGTAGAGGAGGAAAATAGATGTGTTCCCATACCACTTTTTCCTCGGAAAATATCAGTTCACTGGCCTTTTGTATTCACTCTTTTTTCAGCAGAGGACATTGGTGTTCTCATTCTTTAATTGATAGTCCATATCCTGAGTATTCTGGGAACATAACTACTTTCCTCTGAATATTTGATAACCTTCTACTCCCTTGAAGTCTCATGTTCATATTACTGAAAAAGGAGATCAGGCCAAGATTATGTTGGTTGGTTGACACCTTAGGTAAGTTTGATTGTTAGAAAGCACTATCCTGATTGTAATGCCCTTGTTTTGCATCTCCCTTTCAACTAGATTCAGTGTTCCGGAATGGAACTCTGCCTTAAAGAATGACTGACCATTTTCCAAAAGAGTAGGGAAAGAATGAGAATAACATGTTGGAATGAAAAGTTAATTTCAAAGTGAAAACTGATAAAGATCCTTTTAAAAATGTTATGTTGTTTAAAATTATAATTGAACACCTATCTGCCCACCTATTGTTAGGCTTCAGTCATGAAGGTTCATTTTTTCATTCATGTAAAAGAGGAATTTTTTTTCCTTCGAGGAAAGGAGTTCTTTGAAGCCTCGTTGTGTAGTCATAACCATTCTTGGCTTGTTTCCTATGATGCTGTGGCAGAACATGCAACAAAACCCATTAAAGAGAGTCTTAATGTGTATATCTGAAACAGCCTTCAATTTTCCTGTGTGTTATAGATACACACTCCTAATGTTCTCAGACAGGTATAACTCAGAAAGCTAGTTGTGCCACGTTTCTGTTTCCTAGCCCTTTTGATCCTTAGCTGGGATGCAGATTGCTAAATTAAATTATGCTCATGTGAATTTGTGAATAAGCTTTTTCTTACCCTTTTCTGTGAGTCCTGGGGAGGCCACAGGGTGGGTAAACAGAAAATTCAGCTTACTTCCATTCAGCTGATGATGATGATCTCCCTGTAACTTGTGACAGGTTAAGTTGAATTTTAATTAAACAAAAACCAGAACCACAGCTACCTCTAAGAAGTAGTGTTTTCCTCAAGCACAAAAATGCTCAGGCATACTAGGCCCGTTTCATTGTAGGGTCTCCAATTTTATAAGCATCAGCAAGTTTTAGAACTGCCTTTTATAATCTCCCAAACCCACTTTAGCTAATAGCTCTCTCCCAGACCATACAATGCTTAGTAGAGAAGGTTCTTCTGAAAGAGCCAAATACAGTCAAATTATTAGGTAGACAAAGGATATGCTTAAAGGAAAATCTAGAACTGAAAGGGGAAGTTAGTTCTAGTTCTAAGGGTGGAAATCAGCTCTTTTTAGGAAAAAGGTATTTTACAGGAAATGGAATGATATCTTATCAAAAGCCTTTCTGATGAAGGCCGAACAACCTAACATCTGTCCTGTTACCATGGTTGCAGTGGTTTTTGCTCTAGCTTTAAAGTTCTGCTCCTGAGCTTGAGGCAGAATATTCTGTCAGTTTCAATGTAGGCTGCTGCTGTAGGTGATGCTATTCTGACTTGCAATGTCATGGCTCCACAAGTTTTTCAGAAAGAGCTCTTGTTTCAGTTTGTGCCTCTTGTCTACTGGAGAGCAAATGTCTTCGCAGTAGTGGGATTGACACACTAAAATAAAGTCATTTCTTAAACTATTTGGGGGAAGTAGTGTTTTGTTAAGAATCTTGTTGAATGGATTGTCCTGTTTAAGACTGGCTGTTTTGTTCTTTTTCGTAACTATTGATGAACTTATGGTCCACCAAGTTTTTTCTCTTCTGCCCATTGGCTTTCCTGTGCATCATGCCTCTGGCCTTTCGTGGCTAACACTGAGCCTTCTCTGTGTCTGTTATGCATATGTGTGCATAAGCATGTGCATTCTCTCTCTCTCTCTTCTCTCTCTCCTCTCTCTCCTCTCTCTCTCTGTCTCCTCTCTTCTCTCTCTCTCTCTCTCTCACACACACAGACACACACAGACACACACACAGAAGCTGCATGACTTAAGTGGGGATATCAGTGTCACAGATTTGCAGATTGTTAGAGCTAGAACTAAGAGATCTTAGAGATAGTCTAGTCCTAGACCTTTCACTTGAGGCCTGTAGAGGTAAAGTCAGTAGTCAGTAAACACATATTTTATTTTTGGTGAGGAAGTTGGGGTTAAGTGACTTGCCCAAGGTCACATAGCTAGTACGTGTCAAGTGTTTGGTCTGAGGCTGGATTTGAACTCAGGTCCTCCTGACTTCAGGGCTGGTGCTCTATCCACTGCGCCACCTAGCTGCCCCGTCAGTAAACATTTATTATGTGCCAAGCACTGTGCTATGCCACTTGGAACAGGTCATAGAATGAATACATGGCAGAGCTGGCACTTGAACCAAGAGCTGCTGCCTCCTAGTCCAGTGTTCTTTTCTATTGTGCTATGTAATTCAAAGGACCTTTTTTAAAAATAGGAAACTTCAAAAGGAGAAAAAAAAGTCATATCTATGTGGAGTTTTTATGTTTAAAAAGTATTTATTTTCCATTTTCAGGATCAAGAGAGCTATCTTTTTATGTTTAACTACATTTTATTGATGTCTTTTGTTTTTTGCATCACTTTCATTTCTGAATATACATCTCTCCCCTCTTCTATCCAGAGTCATCCTATATATAGCAAAGGATAAGAAATAAGAAAAAAGCAGTTCAGTAAAACTAACTTATACATCAACCCAATTCAATAGTATATGCAAATTTCTTACACCTATAGTGTCCTACCTTTGCAGTGAAGGGGGATTCCCCACATGTTTTAAACATAGGATGATTAAACCCACTTTTGCAAAAGTAATCATATGTACGTCATATGATTGCTCATGGGAAAAAAAATCCATCACTTTGAATAACACCATTTATCTTTAGTTTTGAAGATCAGTTAAAGGAACTTAAGAGTTTTTTGCTCGTAAAGAAAAAGACTTGGGTAGAGAAAGGATGTGAGTCAATGACTATAGTAATCTACTATTTGATAAACCCAAAGACCCCAACTTCTGGGATAAGAACTCACTATTTGACAAAAACTGCTGGGAAAACTGGAAAAGAGAATGGTAGAAACTAGGCATAGACCAAAATCTCACACCATATACCAAAATAAAGTCAAAATGGGTTCAGGATTTAGATATAAAGGCTGATACCATCAGCATATGGGGAAACCAAGGAATAGTTTACTTATCAGATTTATGGAGAACAAAAGAATTGGTGACAAACAGGAGGTAGAGAACATTACGAAATGCAAAATGGATAATTTTGATTACATTAAATTGAAAAGTTTTTGCACAAAGCCAATGCAACCAAGATTAGAAGGAAAGTAGAAAATTGGGAAAGAATTTTTACAACCATTGTCTCTGATAAGGTCCTCATTTCTAAAAATATATAGAGAATTAAGTCAAATTTATTAAGAATACAAGTCATTCCCCAGTTGATAAATGGTCAAAGGATATGAACAGGCAGTTCTCAGATGAAGAAATTAAAGCCATCTATAGTCATATGAAACAATGCTCTAAATCATTATTGATTAGAGAAATGCAGATCAAAACAACATCACACCTATCAGATTGGCCAACATGACAAAGCAGGAGAATGACAAATGTTGGAGAAGATGTGGGAAAATTGGAACTCTAATGCATTGTTGGTGGAGTTGTGAAATGATCCAACCATTTTGGAGAGCAATTTGGAGCTATGCCCAAAGGGCTATAAAAATGTGCATACCCTTTGATCCAGCAGTAGCACTTCGAGGTCTATATCCCAGAGAGATCATAAAAATGGGAAAAGGACCCACATGTACAAAAATATTTATAACAGCTTTTTTTGCAGTGGGGAAGAATTGGAAATTGAGAGGATGCCCATCAGCTGGGGAATGGCTGAACAAGTTGTGGTATATGAATGTAATGGAATACTATTGTGCTATAAGAAATAACGAACAGGCAGACTTCAGAAAAACCTGGAAAGAAAGGACGTGATAGCTGCCTTCATGTATTTGAAAGGTTGTCATGTGGAAAAGGGCTGCCTTGTTCTGCTTGTCCCCAAAGGGCAGAAATGGGAGTAAAGGTTTAAAATTTCAAAAAGGCAAATTGAGGCTTGAGTGAAGAGAAACTTCATAACAAAGCAATATAAAAGTATAATGGATTTCTCCAAGGGTGGAAAGAGTTTGCTTGAAGCCTTCAAGTAAAGACTATGGGACTACATGTTGGGAGAGTCTTTTTGAGGTATAGTTTGGACTATGGGGCTACTGGGTTTATTTTTAACTGGGAATACGTGATGGTTTACAACTGTTACTGGAGGCATGACTATTCTTGTAGAGTTTAGGAGCTCTACCCCTAGTTGAATACCAGTGATTTCTTGATGGGAATAAAACTTCAGCTTAGTAAATGTCATTTGGTTTACATTCTAATGCTCAGTATAATAGAAGAGACAGTGTTAGATATGGGTTCATGATTGAGGTGTGAATTTTGGTTCTTTCAGATTATTTGTGGTATGCCCAGATAGGAGAAGGGTTCCAAGTGATCATAGATAAAAGTGTAGTTTTAAAGATCATGAAATGTAATGCTATGGAAGGTGCAGTTAAAATTATTTCTAAATAACTAACCTCTCTGGGCCTCCGTTTCCTCATCTGTAAAATGAGGAGATTGAACTAGATGATTTCCAAATTTCTAAATCTAGGATCCTTTCAAATCCTTTCAATGATTTACTGAGCATGAACTACAAGCAAGGGCTTTTGCAGGTTTGAACTTCTGTCTTGAGCAAACTTTGAACTGAACTGTAGGTGCTTAGCACAACACTATGGCATATTCCATTGTAACAAATCAAGTAGTTAGAACAAATATTAGCAGTCTGATAAAACAAGGTAGAAGTTGTCAAGTCCTTAGTTGTAGCACTTGGTAACAGTCATGTTAGAAAAGGAAATTGACTTAGTATTTTGGTAAAGCTCACAAAAATTTTGTGATATTTTGAAAAGCAGAAGTGTATCATATCTAGAAATAAAGCTTTCTTTCACAGTAAAACCCAAGTTGTTAGAAGTTTTTGTATGTTCTCAGAGCCTTTTAAGACTAATTTGTAATAGTATCCAACTTGTATATCTTGGTCAAAGTTAACATGATATAAGGTAGATCAGCTAGCTATTTGGTGTACTGAATTGTCTTATGGAACATAACTGCAAAATGGATCTTAGTAATATTGCTTTTCCAGGAGATTCTTAAATGAGTCTCTGAGACACACAGGCAGACTATATAGTATATAAACCATTTAGCTTATCAGAGAAAGATACCGTATATTTATATTTAACCTGGTGATGTGAAGGGAAGAATCAGCACAGCAGCTGGCAGGTTGATGCTCTTAAGTGAGAACAAGTATAAAAGCTAATATATCCATATATATATATATATTACATATATATACACACATATACAGATATATATATACACACACATATATACATACATATATATTAGCATCCATTTTGATTTTAATTTTAGTGAGGCTTTTGATGGCTGTGTATTTCTCTTGAACTAAACCTGCCCTAATTCCTTTTCAGCTACTTGTCCCAAAGTAAATTAACACAGTAATCACAAAGAATCCTATTGCTCTCATCATGTACATGCTAATTCCCAAGTTGTTACGCCTCCCTGGCAACTTTCACATTATTTGTGGTATTCCTGGATAGGAGGTTCCGAGTGATTATAGATAAAAGTCTAGTTTTAAAGACTACAGATTAATTGTAATAGTATGGAAGGTGCAGTTAAAGTTATTCCTAAATACTGTGTTTGGGCTCAGTCAACACATAGAACAATATCTGTGTTTCACTTTTCCTGTTCACCAGTAAGATTCAGCAAATAGATTTTATACAATTAATAAACTTTAATTGGAAATTAACAATTGAAACAACTTCAACTTGACCACTTACAGATGTTTTAAAAATTTAAAAAGTGCTTAAATTCATCTGATCCTGACAGTCCCCCTCCTTCCCACCCATATGCATCCCCCCATAGTCAGAAGTAGGCATTTCAGAACTGAAGCAATTTGTCCAGTATCTAGTACCTCCAATCCCCAACCCCCATGAGCTCTTTGGCCACCTCTCTTTGTAGTTTATTAATAGCCTAACAGCCATTAGAAATGAAGATAGACATTTGGTGCCTGGTGACACTCAAATAGATGTTACTTTTTCTTGTTCAAGTAAAAACATGATGTATTCAAAAGAAATAATAAAAATTGGAAACCCAGCTTTACTGTGTATCTCCTCCTAGAGGAGAATTGAATTGTGGCTTTCTAGTCTTCCCAGTAACTTAAATGGATCAGTTTTCCATAGTCAGCTCTCTTCTCTATGACTGGGGAGAACATATAGAAATGCACGTAGGGAACAGCTAAAAAACCACCTTGGACGTGTTAACTGGGACAAAGCAGTGAAGCCACCCACCACCAAGAACTACTTCAAGGAAGAAAACTCCCTGTCTTTTGAGCTCAATTTAAAACCAGTTAAAAGTTATGTCACAGCAAAGGTAAAGAATTCCTGGAATAATGACTGAAAGTCATAGGAAAATTTGAGTCCATGACTTCCCTTGGTATGTGGGATGTGTTGTAAACACCCAAGTGGCTATGAAATGTGAGCCCAGTACTAAGAGCAGATAAGTCCCAAAAATGGTACTTAAGGTTTATCCAGCCTGAGGAATTATCCATGTGCTGTTACATGAGAGCCAAAACCAGCATCAGTGAGGCAATTTCAGATTATGAGACTATTATATTTCTTGACCCAAACTATTTGGTTTTTTGACTAAGATGTGCTAAAAGGAAGCCAGTAGACTTTCAGCCCACCCTTGCTTCAGGAATGAGTTCAGCATGCTTTAATACGGAGTGCATGTATCCTCATGGCTTGACAGCAATGCTCCTCCTCCTCCTCCTGCCAACATAGACTTGTTCACCTGAAAGTTAGGAAGAGAAAAACACATGGGAAGATTAGCTTAGGAGCACTGCATGTTTGTCGTCGTCACACCCACAAGGATGGTTAAACTTTTTTGGACCGGATTTGTGATTTCATTGTTTTAGGGAGTTCAGGTAAGTGAGGAACTGCAGGCAGGCACCAGAAGATAGTTAAGATCTTAGTTGACTGAGGGTTTTGAAATGTTGAATGACTTTCCCAGGGTGACACAGCCTGTAAGTGTCAGGGAAGACTTAAGCCCAGATCTTCCTAACTGATGCTAGTTTTGTAGCCGTTAACACCACATTGCTTCATCAGGCTCCTTTTAAGAATAGCGGTTGTGTTGTGAGTATTATTCTTTTTTCAAAATAGGGGATTTTCTTTGCTGCGTTGGGTCAGTCTCCTTGATTTTCGGACATGAAACTTTTCTTAATTCTCCCAGATGAAAAAACTCCCTCCTCAGATTTTCTTATGGAACTTCCTATTTCCCCTTTGTCCATCACTACCTACTAGGCATCATATTTGAGTGCACACACATCCCCTTTATTTATGCTGTAAGGCCCTTTTGTCACAGTACCTAAAACATTATTATTCACATAGAAAGTGCTTAATGTTCATTGAATTGTACACTCCCTCTGCAAGAGACTTCCTTGCCAGGAAACCTTTTTGAAACTTGCTGTTGAAATTTCAAACCCATTCCTAATTCAGCTTTGAATAAAGTTCTCTTTAATCAGAAAGATGCATTTGTTAAATGACTTTCCCAGGATCACATAGGCAGTAAGTGTCAGGGAAGGTCAAATGTACCAAAGTTAGATTCTGGCGGGGTTTGTTCAGGGTAAAATAAACCATCTTAAAAGGAAAAAATAACAAATATTGATAAAAGAGCTTTGCCTTTCACTATCCAAAAGTCCCATTTCCTCAGATAGAATTTACCTTTGTCTCCCTTGTCTCCTTTTTGTCCTCTGGGGCCTGGAGGTCCAGGTCTACCAGGATTGCCAGCTGGTCCTCTCTCACCTGGAGGGATAAATGAATCCTAGTATCCTGTGCTGGAGTGGCCAAGGGCAAGTAACTGAGGCAGGGGTAAATCCTTAAGAGTAATTTCACAGTTAACTGAAGTTGTCCTCGTGTAGTAATCATGAGCAGTTAATGCAAAGATGTCTACCTTGGATTAGTGGGACCTTTTTTGTCTCATAATGGTGAAAAAGGTTTACCAAATTTCCAGGATAGCCACTGGAAGTGGTAGCTATTTTGCTTCCCCCCCCCCCCCCCCACAGGGCAAGTGAGTGGCTGCTACCACTGTTGATACTTACCTTTGGGTCCTGGAAAGCCTGTATCTCCCTTTGGTCCTGGAATTGTCCCATGGGCTACAACAAGGAAATAGGAGTAAGGCTCAGATGGGGTCTACTACTGCCCTCTGCTCAGAGATATCTACAGGAATGGTTTCCCTCAGCATGAGCAAGGAGATTTGTGTTGGAGGATTTTAGTAAAAGCATTAAATGTAGATTTGGTAACATTTTAGCTCAAAGAGAAGTAGATAGGTGGGTGAGGAAGATTTAAAGCATCCCCCCTCAAAAACCCCTTGTGTTTGCTTAGCCCCTGAAGCTCTGGTTGGGGAAATGGAAAAGAAAAATGGTATATTGTACAGGCACTAGTTTTCATGGCTACAGCGAGGTAAAGAACAAAGCAAAACAAGCCAGTCTCAAGTCAGTGTTCTTGTCTATTGCCTGAAGCCTTCTGCAGAGGAGACACTGGGCCACAATGAAGTAGTAGTGCTTGGGGGGGAGAAAGCTTGCAGATCTTTCTGATTTCAGGTACTTTTTTTTGTTTTGCAGAAGGTAGAGAGAGGGAGAGCATTATTGACTTCTCAGCAGTCTTGGGTGGAGGTGGGGAATCTGCACCCAGAGAAATCCTGGGCTGTATTATTAGGGGAGCCCTTACTTCGGAAGAAGTCCATGAGGTCCTCAGTCACATTGCTGTAGGTCGAAAATACCTTGCTGATACCAGGAGGGCCCTGGGGCCCGGGCTGGCCTGGTGGTCCTTGTACAGTATAAGCCATACCTTGTAGCAGACCCTGACCTGCAAAACAAATCCTTGGGCTCATGAAAGAATATCTGGGGGTCCCTCAGAAGATATTCATACCATTTTGTAGGCAGGGAACGGCCTGAGGACTGAAATGAACATTTCATATCCCCTCCCTCCCAACATTTGGACTCCAAAGGCACAAGACTTATTTACTTGCCCTTGGAAACCCCAAAGCCTGGAGAAGCTAAACCTGGTTCCTTAAACTCCCTGAGAACATGAACTGAGCCTTCTGTTTTCTGCAGTAAGAAGCTCTGACCCCCAGGCTTTTTGTTTCCAGAGTCAGAGAATTAGAGAATCGCAGAAATTAGAACTAGTAGAGAAGTAGAGTGATATCCAAACCCCTCCCCTCATTTTACCGATGGGGTACCTGGGCCCAGAAAGGGACATGACTTGCCCAAGACCACACAGGTACTACAGGAAGCAGGAGAGTTGGACTTCAAACTTTGGTTCTCTGAGGCCAAATCCAGAGGCATGGCTAGGGATTCAGTCAGAAAAATGACCCCCACTTACAGGGATCCTGGACCTTCCTTGTCTCTGGTGAATTGGAAGGAGCTGCTGATGGACTGGCTGTTAAATGTCTGGGGCCATAGCCCATCTCCAAATGTCTGGGGCCTTGGGAAGTCAAGGGAGATACTAAGAGTATTCAGGTTCTGAGGATGGGGGTTCTTACTCACGCTGCAAACTCTCTGACACACGCACAGCCAGTTCATTGTAATCCAGGTCCCCGGTGACGCCTGCACCCAAAACTCCGCCTTCAGTGCCATATGTGCCACCGCCTCCTGCTGCTGCCCCATAGCCTCTACCGGTGCCTACATCTGTACCATAGGGGCCGCCATCTTCCAAGTTTGCACCATAGGCTCCTCCTCCACCGTTGGATCCTCCTACTCCCATTGAGGAGCTGTAGGAGGTGCTCCGACTGACAGAAGAGCCGTAAGAGTTGCTGCTTCCTCGGTTGTAGAAACCATCAGCTTCCCTTAGCTGACCATCTCCCGGAGGGCCCTGAGGCCCTGGGGGGCCAGGAGGTCCCATGATGAAGCTTCGGACATCAGGACCTGGGAACAGAACACGATAGTAGTAGCAGCTTCCAACTCAGGGAGAAAGAAAAAAGTATAGGCTGTCAAAGGACTTTCTCCAAAGATCTCAAGGCATGTTTCCAATTGTTTCCTGTCAAGGAGATCACTTTTGGAGGGACATCGACAGATGGTAGCTCTTTTTCATGTGAAACTAGGTTGTGGGGTAGGGGTGGGGAGAGAGAGGAGTCTTATTTGCCTCAGATTTACTTTGGGAATGGAACCCTGGACTCAGTACAGTTTCCTACGTGAATAATGGAAGTTTAGCTGTGGTGGGAAACTGACTTCTAGAGGAGTTGTGGGAATGGGGCTGGATGGAGGAGAGGGGTAGAGGACCTACTTGTGAGGTAGCTAATCAGCTCACTCCGGAAGCTATCACTGTTCTCAGCTGCATAGGTTGCCAAAGCTGCTGAAACCCCAGGCGGTCCACGAGGGCCTGGAGGACCAGGGGGGCCAGGAGGACCAGAGACTGAAGAGAGGCCTGCACCTGTAGATGGAGTACAGGAGAGGGAAGTTAGGAAGATGTCCTGATGAGAAGGAGCCTTTCCTTGAGTGGTTTATGGGCTCTGCTCAACTCAAATCCCTGGGAGAGAAAGGACAAAGCCCAATGAAATGGAGAGGAGGAAGGGACAATCAGGAACCCAGGTGGATGATGGTGGCAGGAAGGGGATCATATATGATTTAGGGACAGAAACAACTTCTGTGTCTCTCTTCAAGGCATCAACTGAAATTGCCTGAACCAACCTGCCCTTTCCTGTGTACCACTTCCTGCCCCCCCCAGGTTCCTCCAACTCACATTGGGCTCCCCCTCCCCCTTAAATCCTTTGGCCACTCAGGGTCTCTGGAAGTTTAGCATTTACTCATCCACCATCTCATGTTGCTCTTTGTGTGTGTGGTTTTTTCTCTTTAACAACTTTTAAATTTCTGGAGAGCAGTCTCTCTACTTCTCAATGGCTCCCAAAGTGTACCTGAGTACAGTGTTTGGTGCACAGACATTCAAAAAATGTTTGAGAATTGGTTGGTTGGTGTCTTCATAAAATGATGAAGTTGATAAAGTTGAGGGAGATCTTGTTAGAGGCTAGTGTGGGGCCTTAAAAAGAACACTGGGCTTCAAGTTGAAAGATCTGAAAGAATCATTCCTCCACCACTAATCAGTTATGTTATCCTGGGTAGATCGCTTACCAGCGGTGGGGAACATGCAACCTCGAGACCACATGTGGCTCTCTAGGACCTCAAGTGCGGCCCTTTGACTGAATCCAAACTTCACAGAACAAATCACCTAAATAAAAGGATTTGTTCTGTAAAACTTGGACTCAGTGAAAAGGCCAAACCAAGGACCTAGAAGGTCACGTGTGATCTTGAGGCCGCAGATTCACCACCCCTGATTAGCCTTTCTAAAACCAATTTTCTCCTCTAAAAATTGGAGATGTTAAAACTTGTGCTAACTCATAAGATTGTTGTAAGGATCAGATTAAATAATATGTATGAAGGTGCATTATGACTGAAGTATTCTAGAAATGTAAGCCTCTATCCCCTATATTCTAACACTGCCCTTAATCCCCCCCCCCCAACTCCCATACTGATGCCCTTACTCTGCAGGTAAGATGAAAGTTCCTCCATACTGAGACTGGACCAGGAGCTGCCTGAAGGCCCTGGGGGTCCAGGGGGTCCAGGGGGTCCAACAATGCCACTAAATTCAGACCCTGAAATGAAAAGGAAGAATAGGGAGTCATGATCTAGGGCAGGGGTGTTTCTGAAGTTTGGATTCAGTCAAAGGGCTGAACCTAGAGAGCCATGTGTGGCTTCGAGGCCACAAGTTCCCCACCCCTGAGAGGGTGCCATCTTCCATCCTGTGTCAGAATGATCCTGTGTTCCAAGTTTAAGCTTACCTCGGAGCAGAGACAGTAGCTCCTGGTAGGATGTTCCTGGCAGGCCTGGGGGACCAGGGGGACCAGGGAGTCCAACACTAATCCCAGAGCCTAGGAAAAGGAAACCAGAGACGTGGTGAACTGATCAGACAACAAGAGGGAAACAGGACAGACATAGGAATGCAAATGTAAAAGAGGAGAGGGTCACCAAGTAATTGTCAAAGGAAAACTGGAAAGACAATACTAATTTCAGCACATTCTATAGTACTGTAGAGTTTGCAAAGCACTTTTCTTATAACCCTATGAGGTAGGTAGTACACATATTATTCTCATTTTACCCATGAGGAAACTGAGGCTCATAGGCTTATAGGGGTTAAGAGAGATTCCCACAGCTAGTGACTGACTTATTAGAGCCAATATTCAAACTCAGGCATTCTGGCCCCAAGACTGGTGCTAATGGAAACATGATACTATACTGTCTCTCAAGGATAAGAAAGACAAAAGAGAGAGTAAAGCAGAGATTCTTAAACATTTTTTTGTGTCATGGACCCCTTTAGCCGTCTGGTGAAGCTTATGGATCCCTTCTCAGAATAATATCTTTTAAATGAACCTGTGATCCTAAATTGTTTCCCAAACCTCATCCCTGACTCTGCTGCAGAATTTGGGCATGATTGTTGAATTGTCATGAGACCATGGTCCTGTCCTTTTCTGAATGTCTATCTATATCTTCCATTCAGTCCCAGCATGGAGCAGAGTAATGGGCCCAGGCTGTTCCTAGAGATGCTCAGGGTGGAAATCACTCCCATTTCTTTCTTTAGCCCCTCCTCTGGCTCCCTAAGGACAGAAGACTCACTTCTCATGTAGCTTAGGATGCGACTGGTCAGCTCTTCATAGTCCAGAGACTGTAGGGACCCCTCCCCACCGGCTCCTGGTGGCCCAGGAGGTCCTCGAGGACCCATCAGATATTGCCGGAGGTACTGGCGTACTTCTTCTCCTAAAACAAATTCCAGATGAAGACATATCAGAGTGGAGCCTCCTATTTGTGAAATGAAATGAGATTGGCCAGCCCAGCAACCGCAACCCCCCACAGGTACAATAGCGAATAGATCTGCCCATTTGCCAGACTCACAAACTGAGACCAGGGTCCAAGACTAGAACTACAGTGTTCTCAATTCCCAGGATTCCATTTCAAGGGGCAGCATCCCTGGGACCATATTTGTCCAGGTACTTGGAGAGAAGCTTTGTCCCATTTGCTAGGTATCATGGGGATTGATCACCACCTTTCTAAACAGGTTTTCTAATTCGGCTGAGAAAGGCCACGAGTTGGTGACGTCTCTGAGACTTGCTTACCACACATTGTTAGCCAATTGTTGCCACAGCAAAGACTGTTTAGGCCCTTTCTGAGGATACCTCCTTTGGTATAGACAAGGTCTCTAGTCACAGTTAATGAGCAAGGGCAGGAGACAGTAGTACTAAGGGACCACAATGGTCAGCCAGTCAGTCAATAAACAGTAAGTGCTTACTAGGTGCCAGGTACTGCACTAAGCACTGAGTGGTTTCACTCCCCATCCTGGTCTAAGTACTCACTTTGCAGCACAAGCAGGATGTCTTCAGAGGAAATAGAGGAAAAGGAGCCCAAATTGTACCCAGAAGCTGTGAGGAAGATATTTTTAAAAAATTTTAGTGGAATGAAATTTTATTTTAAACTGTACCATATACAAATTGCTTACAAAGTGTAGTCAACTGGATAGACCTGCTTTTGTCAACTGGATAGACCTGCTTTAAAGAATAGATAAAAATCCCTGGAGTTTAGCACATCATTTGTACCTAAATGACTGCTGTTAAAGTACTAGAAATCAGTGATTTCTTAAGATGGCTAAATATGATCCTTGCAATTTTACTTTATGGCATTAATTTTTTTCCAGCAAATTGTATTAAGAAATTTATAGCATAAAGGTATAACTTAGTGTCTACAAGACTGCTCATCCTGAGTTAATGAAGTTTTTCTGCGTAAAAAAACCCATCAGATTATGATAGGGGAAGGTAGTCAGGAAATCATAGATGAGACCCCATGAAAGAGCACAGAGTTCTTTGCCAAGCAGGTCAGCCTCCGTGGGATTGGGAGAGGAAGGTACATGGAGATAGAGTGAAGAAATGTATGTGAATATGTAGGTAGGACGCAGGGGACCAGAGACTTACTCCGTAAGTAGTTCATGACTCGGCTCGCCAACTCAGTGTAGTCAAAAGTCTCCCCACCAATGGTGGTGACAGGCCCTGGAGGTCCTGGAGGGCCAGGGGGACCCTGAATTCCAGACAGGTGACTTCTGATGCTGTCACCTAAACACCAAGAAACAGAAGTAGGATGGAGCTCATCTCAGTAAGGAAGCATGACTTTCAGGTATTACAGAGATCCCCTTCTTTTCAAAAGGGAGCTCAAAACCCCTGAGGAAATGCACTCTCCTCCTCTTAGCCCTGCTGTTCTCACGGAAGGAGTAGGGCAACAAGGGGGTTGTTCTTTTCCTGTTACCACTGCAGAATCTGAGGTACAGGAAGGGCCCGGCCAGAGATGTGCCCATGGTGGGGGGTGATATACAAGGATAAAGACTAGTTTAAATCTTTCATCTATTCAGTAAGCATGTTTAACCTCTGTGGGTCATGGGGAGATCCTAGTCAGCCCCCTTTCTGTGGGGAGCAGACATTCTAGAGAAATAGGGTTTGAGGAACGGCCATCCAGTAAGAAAGATGTGGCAATAGGAAGTATCAGGTGTGCTCGTAGCATGGGGCGTGACACATTGTTGTTCAGTTGTTTCAGTCATGTCCAACTCTTCATGACCCCATTTAGGGTTTTCTTGGCGAGGATACGGGAGTGGTTTACCATTTCCTTCTTTAGCTAATTTTACAGATGAGGAAACTGAGGCAAACAGGGTTAAGTGACTTGCCCAGGGTCACACAGCTAGGAAGTATCTGAGGCCAGATTTGAACTCATGAAGAGGAGTCTTCCTGACTTCAGGCCTGGAGCTCTATCCACTGTGACGCCTAGCTGCTCCTGCCTGGCACATGGCAGGCTCTTAATAAGTGATTGTTGATGCTGAGTGTGTGTGTGTGTGTGTGTGTGTGTGTGTGTGTGTGTGTGTGTGTGTACACACCAACTCAACAAATATTTACTCAGGACCTAGACCCTGTGCTAGGTGCCATAATATGTGTACATATGATCTTGTGTGTGAGTGTATATGTGTGGTACAGTTGGAAAAGGGCTGAACATAACAATCAAAAGGCCAGGGTTGAAGACCTTGTTCAGCTGCTTTCTAGCTGTGTGACCTTGAGCAAATCCCTATAGCTGCAGGTATACTTTTCTCATATAAAAAAATGGAAGAATATTCATACTATATACTTCACAGGACTATTGTAAAGACAATGCCTTGTAAATTGTAAAGTCCCCTAGGCTTACAGCTCTATGTGTATATGTGTGTGTGTATATATATATATATATATATATAGATAGATAGATAGATAGATAGATATATGTGTGTCTGTGTGTGTGTAAGCTATTATTTGAGAGTATGTGCGTGTGTGTGTGTGTGTACATATATATATATATACACATATATATATATACACATATGTGTATTATATGTATAGATGTCCTAAATTGAGGTTTCTTATTGACCAGCTCATGACTCTGACTTCTTCAAGGTTTGCCAACAGAACATAAGTACAGGCAAGTTCTACCAAGCTAGAAAGGGCTAGTGATGAACTATATATGCCTGTTGTTTGAGGATTGGCCTAATTAAATTCTAAGAGGATCTTCCTTAGAGGGATGGCCATCAGTGCAGAACTTTTTCAACCTCAGCAAGTCATGAAACCATCTATCTTCAGCCCTGAAGGATGGTGGTGGAGAGACCTATACCAAAGATCCAGAAAGCATTGAAGTGGATACCTGTGTATGTGAATTTTTTCTTCTATTGTCTCCCAACTATGCCCACCCACTTAGCACTGTCCAAATCACTGAGAGATTAAGTCTGGAGGACCAGACTCTGGTCCTTGGCAGGTGGCCCTGTTGCCTTGATGGGCTGGACCAGCACTCACTTTGCATGTAATCAGAGATGTACTGTTGAATCTCCCGTCTGGAGCTGCTGATGGAACCAGGAGGTCCAGGAGGGCCAGGGGGACCTGGGGGTCCCCTAGAACTTGATGATCCCCCTATAGGAGACAGAAATGGACTTAGTCTTTCTCTATACTGCGCATAGGGAGATGGGGTGGGCACTACCTTTGATGAGTTTCTGCCTTCCCTTCCCTAAGGGAGATATAAATCAAGATCCACAAAATGACCTGAAGGGGCTTAGGCCTGAATTGCCAGTGGAGCCTACATGTAAGAGGGTCACAGAGATGAGCAGTCCTCCCCTCTTCAAATCCAGTACTTTGAGGGATGACTTCTGGAGTCCCACCTGCTCCTTGAAACCTTCCTTACCTGTTCTAGCCCGTACTGTCTCTCTCTCCTTTGAACTCCTAAAGCCCTCATTCCCTGTACCACTAATTTAGCACTCACTATGTCCTATGTTTAGTATGACCTATGTTTAGTCATCTTTTTATATTTGTGGATCTCATCCCCTAGCCAGATTGTAAAATTCCTGAGGATAGATTCCTTTTTCTTCCCCAGAAGTCTGGGCACAAATGTGCCCAGCCTGTTCTCTCTCTCTCTCTCTCTCTCTCTCTCTCTCTGTCTCTCCCTCTGTTTCTCTCACTCTCTCACACAGTAGATGCTCAGTGAACACTTGTTGAATTAATTTCCTCAAAGAAATGGCCAGTTGGGACCAAGGGAAATGGGAAGGACTTGTCTCTACAACCCTCAATGGGAGTTCCTTCTTGAGAGAACACTTAAGGCAACATCCTCACCTCGAGAGGGGCTTCCAGGGATGCCAGGAGCACCTGGGACACCAGGGTCACCTAGAAGCAAAAAGAGAGAGTGCAGAGTCAGCTGAAAAAGCCTCATCCTCCAGGAGTATGTCTGTAATGAGCCAGCAGCCAGGTCTTGCTCTCTGCCCTTGCCTCCCCTCTATTCACAGGCTTCCTCATTTTTATGTTGTGGTGCCAGCTGTTCTCAGTGCTTATCACCATTCTCTCAAAAGGGAGTTAGCTTCTGAGGACCAAGTTTGCCTCCTCTTCCTTGTCTTTAGCTCAAAGCTGGCTACTCAACAAAGACTCGTGGAATGATTAAGGATCTGAAATAGGGGGCCTGTTGGATGCCCGATGACCTAAAGTCCTACAGATTGTGGGAACATCCCATCCCGATAACTCCTCCTTGCCAACACCTGCCTTTGTCACCTTTGGGTCCTGGAAGTCCCTGAGCACCAGGTGGGCCAGGTGGGCCTTGTAGCGAGACCCCCAGAGTGTCTGAACCTGGAAGTCAAGGATATAATTGTCACAGGTGGTTAGCTGGATTTGGGGGAGAAAAGGGTAAATAGGAGGAAATGGTCCAGCACTAACCTGAGACAGAGAGTCCTGGGAGTCCGGGGTCTCCTGAGAGTCAAAAGGAGGTCAAGATGGTTAGACCTTCTTTTCATACAATCTCCCAGATGGAATCTCCCTCCAATTCCCCTCCTTGGCTGCCCTTTACAAATCCCCACTTAATGCCGTTTTATCCACACACCTAAGTATCCACCTTATGTATGCACTCAGTCTCTTTCAATGAAGTAATTTCCAAGAAGTTCAAGGAGTCCCATAATCTCCCTCCCTTCTTCCCTCTCCCCACCCCCAACCCTGCCATGCCACAGGTAAGATAACAGTCCTTTTCATCCCCATCCTCTCCATTTACCTTGATATCCTCTAGGTCCGGGAGAACCTATTGGAGAGAAAACAGAGAGGTTATGAGATTGGTACATAATACCAGCCAGAGGGATTTAGGGAAGGGTCATTATGGTGAATCTAATATTGAAAGGGCTAGGGATGTTGGGGGAGAAATATGCTGAAAAAAACCAGAGGGTGCTGCTTCCCATTCAGGCATTCAAGCTGCTCAGGTCAGGGCTCTGGAGGAGAAGGGCTTTGAGGGAGCCTTCTTTGTAGCTTATGACATACCTAACCCTCTTTCCCACTGGAGTCCAGAGCAGGAGTATGGGAGGAAATGAAAACAACTTTGCAGCTCAGCTGGCTCACCTGAGCTCCCTGCCCGCATTGCCAAGATATGACTGAAAATGAGCTCAACAAAGTTTTCATTCCTTAGGGCTTTTCCTAACACCAGGTGGGAAGGATAGATGAGTTCACAGACAAAGACAATATACTCACCTTGATCTCCCTTGGGACCAGGAGGTCCAGGTGGACCAGGGGGGCCAGAGAAGAACGTTTCTGTGGAAGAGAGGAACGGGCTATAGGAGGTTCAGGTGATGAGTGTTCCCTGCCGTGGTTGCATGCCATGGAATCTATGCCATGGAATGTGTTCCCAGCCCAAAGCTGCCCTGACACCTCTTTTTAGCTCAATATTAATTTCTATTTGTTGACATGTTGTTCTGTCTCTGCCCCATCCCCCTCCCCCAAGATCTGGTGATCCCCAAGGTTGGGGATGGTATTTTTTATTTTATTTCTCCTCCAAAGTGTATTTTAAAAGTTTGTTCCTTTACTACCCCATAGAGTCTCAAAGTTCACAGCATCTCCTATGAGACACTCATTGTGTTTCCAGTGAGAGATGGCCTTACCTGAGTTTGTAAGGAAACTTCCAGGTGGTCCAGGAGGTCCTGGTAGGCCTTCCCCTGAGCAAGAAAAACCCCCAACCTAGGTCAAGGCTGAAAGCCCACTTTGGGATTCACTCCCATGGGGGCAATTTGCTGATTTTCTATCTAGTGGCATTTAAAGAAAACTGGGTAAGTTTGTACACTCTGATAGGATTGGGTAGGGATGTGCTACAGAGGAAGTCTGGCCGTGTTGAATAGCCATGATTTCATGGATTCTGGATCCTGTTTCACTCTCCTTCCCTACTCAGAGGTATGAGTGCTTACCTGCTGGACCTCGGGGTCCTGGAGGGCCTGTGATGGAGGCTCCTGGAGGAAGAAGCATACAAAGCCAAGGTTTGAAATATGGAGGGGAAAGAGTTATGGGTCCTGAGCATGGCCTTGCTTCAAATTCATGTGACAAATTCATTCATTCCTTTCTTTGGTACTTCGTTTTCTTATCTACAAATTTGAGGATCTGACCATGTGATCTTTTAGATCTCTCCTAGCCCTGACTCTAGGAATCTTCATATTACATGGATTTTGGAAATAGAGTGTTTTGGGCTTCTTCATAATCCTCTCCCAGCCTTTCCAAGGCTCCTGGGATAATCACCTGGTGGTCCTGGTGGTCCTGGTGGTCCAGGGGGGCCTTGCAATTGAGCAGTGTCTACAAAGAGAAGAAACCAGACATAGCTATTGTCTCCCATGGCCCCCTTCCATCACCACATCTCCTCTACCCCACCCAGTAATGTAGTCAGGGTGATGGAGTAAGTTAGGCAATTTTACCAAGCTCTGACCAGTCCCCTGGTATCTTTTTACCTAAAAGGTTTCAGGCATAGGAACTTGGAAGAGAACCCAGGAGTTTGGTCACAAAACCTATGGTTATGCCCAAGAAAGCCTTCTCATTGGCTAATTGCTATTAGGAGTCAGCAGGCAAAATTGAAGACAGGCATGGCCCTCTGAGAGGGGAGGGGGTACTCTTGCTTATACAATTTGGTTATTTTAGTTTCTTTGAGATATATGACAAAGTACTGCAGAACCCTGACTTCTGTTATTTTTCCAGGTGCTCTTAAAGACCTGAGAGGTTCCAAAGCAATCATCCCCTCCCCTAGAGTCACAGCCTTTGATATTAGTAAAAAGCCCTAGGATTTCTTTTGGAGAAGTTAGGCATCTTTTTCTTCTTCTTCCTTCTATTTTTTTTTTTTTGCTTTTTTTGGTGAAGCAATTGGGGTTAAGTGACTTGCCCAGGGTCACACAGTTGGTAAGTGTCATGTATCTGAGGCCAGATTTGAACTCAGGTCCTCCTGACTCCAAGGCCGGAGCTCTATCCACTGTGCCACCTAGCTAGGCATCTTCTTTGTACCTGGGCTGTTTACTGGGGGACTTCCAGATTCAGCTGCCACTGGGGTCCCTGTCTGAACTGCCCACCCTCCTAATAGTTCCTTGCATCTAGGAAGGTCACAGCTCCTACGTCCCCTGTGCCCTGACTCCATCTGACTCTAGGCTTCTTGTCATCCTACTTCAGGCCAACTTTCACACAAACCGAATAGAATAAAGCTACTCACGAGGAGCAGAAGCAGCCCCTGAAGAAGAGCTGCTTCCAATGATCGATTCCCCTGGGATGCCTCTCTCTCCTCGGGGACCTGTTGGCCAGGAAAAAAGGATTGGAATTTTCTTCATCAGCTTGTATTGCTTTCTTTCTTTTGTCTCCGGGGGCATAGTCAAGCCCCAGATCCGGACTGCTGACAGCCCCTGGGTAGGGTGAAATCTGGCAGAGGAAAGGACTGACAGGCTCTCTGGCGGCATGTTTTGTTTCCAGTCTATTCCTCAGTAAAGGGGCCCTTGGGACCTTCTGTGCTTTTGGTGACATATTGTCATAACTGTTGCTAATGAAAAACCAGATATCCGTACTCTCTGGAAGCCCATAATCACTCCTCAGTGTTCCCAGGCATGACATACCTTGCTGTCCTGGGAGACCAGCTGGGCCAGCAGGTCCTGCAGAATAGGAGAAAAATAGACTAAATTATGTTTCTTTAGTTATAGATTGCAGAACCAAAGAAAGGGCCAAGGGCTGAGATGCTGGCCTTCTCAGTATGCCCAAGAGCAATACGACCTAAAGAGTATATGATAAATGTTGGAAATTTACCATGATACAGGGGTTAGGATACCCCTGACTAATGGCTTTTCCTCAGCCTCATTGATGAAATCATAGAATGGGTGGGTATTAGAGCCAATAAAATGTTAATGTGTTAAACAAAATGATATATTTATCCCCTTTAACCCTTTTTCAAAACATGACGTTTTTGGTGATGGAATTGGAGGGTACCTCGCAAAAAATTTGGCCACTCTCCTGGTAGCGTTTAAAAAGTTAGTTTGATGGCTCTTGAGTCAGTTGGGGCATAAAGCAACTTCAAGGAGTGTAAGCAGTGGCAGTCTAGAAGAGAGCGATGCAGGAAGAACCCAGCTTTTGAGAAGATAGCACTCTGCCTTTTCTCTTGGGTCTTGACCAGAAGGCAGTGAGTGCTTGGGGAATGGGAGGATTTCCTTTTCTTCTTCCCTCCCCCATTGACTATGGCATTTTGCATGTGGGCTGCTCACCCGCTGGGAGACACTATACTCAGCATAGAGTGGGCTAAAGAGAAAGTCAGTTGGCAGCAGAGAAAACAGCTAACCAAGAGAGAATTAGCGCTGGCAATCAAGAGCCAAGTTGTGGAGAGGACAGTTGTGGAGCTTAGCTAAGAGACCTGCTCAGTAGAGAAACTGTGCCCAATGGGGAGTGGCATGAAAACAACAAAAAATGTCCTGCCTTGCCAGAGGTGTGAGTCGCCTTGGCCTTGGCCATATGTGTTCTCTGATTCACTGTATTGATTACAGTTGATATTATTGATACAGTATTCACTGCCAGGGAAGTCATCATGACATCCAAAGGCAAGTGAGGTCTGTACCTAATTTCTGGTGAGGCAAAAAAAAATTTACCAACCTGGAAGGCCGGGTGGTCCTGGGGGTCCCAGGGCTCCAGGTGGTCCTGGAGGCCCTGGTACAGTGACTGTCGATGTTCCTTCTGCAAAAAGGTGAGGCAACAAATGAACAGCACTCTGCAAAGCAGATGCTCCAAGCCCCAAACTGCAAAGTGTCAACATGACTCTCATTTTGTAATGTAATGCTCTCCCATAGCATGAGAGCAAGTAGGAAGACAAACCTTGCTCTCTCCCTGGTCCCCGATTCAAAGAACCCACAGTTTCATCTCATCTAACAAAATCGCCTTAGAGCCCAACGTTTCTTGAAATGTATTAACATAGAGAGACATGGACAGACAGACATTGTAAATGAGATTAAGAAACAGAAACCAGGACAACCCTGAGCCCTCCTTACCTGAAGTTACAATCCTGCCTGGAGTACCAGTGTCACCTATGGGAAGGAGAAACGTGCGGGAGCAAAAAGAAGGAAGGATGAGACTGTTGGATTTCTGTATGAATTAATGGATCAGTGAATCGTTCTTATTACACCAGAGGAACTGATCTCCCACCTATGACCTGAACCTTCTTGCTAAAGGCATTATAATGAGCAGAGAGAGCTCGAAGGAGCATGTACTACACTACATTAAATACTAATCTCCCAGCTGATGACTCTGAAGGCCTCCACCATCAATCTTCTTAGGCTTGAAGTGGCTTCTGGAAGAAAGAGTGCTGGGGGCTTAGGACACTGGTTTCATTCTGACAGCTTCCCAATGTGCCTTTAGGGGAAACTAGTGTGTGGCTGGTCATATTCAGATCTTAAACCACCAAACTGTTTTCTTTCCAGATTGGGAATGAGAAGGAGAGGAGGAAATTGGGGTGGGGGAAGATGTACTTTCTTATTGGACATGTTCTTAGTTTCTGAAACTAAAGAGAGGTTACAGGGCAAGAGAAGGCAAGTTTAGAAAGGAGTAGGGAATGGGAAAACTACTCAGCTGATGTTTCTTGGAGGGACTCCATGAAGACTCGGGTGACAGTGGAAAAACACTGGGTTTGGAATCAGAGGACCTAGGTTTTAATTCTGACTTTATTAGCTGTTGGAGGAATTAGGGAAGGTCTCCTGGAAGAGATAACTCTTGAGCTGACTTTTGAAAGGAGTTAGTGATTCTAAGAAGCAGAGGGAGGAGAGAGGGTATCCCAGGGGTGAAGGACACCAGTGTAAAGGGACGGTCTGGAGATGGAATGTAATATCTGAAGAACAGTACAGCAGCCATTTTGGTTGGAAGGCCGAGTACAGGGAGGAGAAGAATGTGTCATAGATCTGGAAAGGTAAGTAACCCTTAAATAGGGAAGAGTTTTAAATGTCAAACAGAAGCCTGTATTTTAGCCTAGTAATCATTAGAGAACCACTGAAACTCCTTGATTGGAGGCATGACCTAGTCGTCACACCTGTGATTTGGGAACATTCTGTTGGTGGCTTTATCTTATAGGTGCCTATTTCTTTTCTTTTCTTTTCTTTTTGCCTTTTTTTTTTTGGTGAGGCAATTGGGGTTAAATGGTTTGTGCAGGGTCACCCAGCTAATAAGTGTCAAATGTCTGAGGCCGGATTTGAACTCAGATCCTCCTGACTCAAAGGCCAGAGCTCTATCCACTTCACCACCTAGCTACCCCGCTTATTTATTTGCATAGTGGAATGTGAGGGAAGGGATTTGAGGGAAAGGACTGGTTTTTGTTTATTTGTTTGTTTGTTTGGTGGTACTTTCAGCTTAGCCCAATTCCTGGCTCAGAGGGAGCACTTAACAAATGCTTGTTGCCTGACTGTCTGCATAGGAGATGGAAGAGGCTTGAGACAGGGGATGCAGTGAAAACGTGGGCTGCTTAGAGAGAGGGGCACTTTTCACTTAGGGTCAGAAAGAATGCTCTGGGTTGGATTCATGAGGATATGGTTTCCATGGTGCTGTCCTAGGTCAGTGCAGGGAGTTTGAGAAAGCTCCCGTCTTGCTGAACTGTGCAATAGGAATCTTAGTCTTATGTCTGTGTGTGTATATATCTATATATCTGTATACATCTATGTCTATGGTGTTGGCACCATGCAGAGCAGGGAAAGGATGGGCTGAGAAGGAAAAGCTTCTTCTTATAGACACTAGGTGTCACTGTTGCTCCAGGTCCTGATGAGAGAGAAAGACCGGGCAAAACCTTGACAACCCCAAGAGGCAGAGAATGAATATTTAATTTGGAGATTCACTAACCTTTAGCCCCTGGTCGGCCTGGGTTCCCAGGAAGTCCTGATGAGATTAAAAAATAAATAAATCAGGAGGATTAATGCTAAATAAATAAATCACAGCATTAATGCCTGTTGGATGAAAGCTCAATGAACAAACACCCAAAGGAGGTCAGGAAGCCCTAGCCCACTTTCCACCTTTGCAAAGGTGGAGTCTCTGTCTCCCTCCCTGGGCTTCTAAGAAGGAAACAATCCAGACTCCAAGAAAGCCTTTGTTCAAAGCCCAGCAAAGGAGTAGGGGGAGAGTCCCTGTGATAATCCCCCTGGGCACCTAGAACCTAGGATGGGGAAGATTACAAGGCATCCCCCAACCTGTAACATTCTCACTAATCTACCTTCACTGTCCTCATGTTATCCCATGACATCCCCTTTCTTTAAACCTTTCTCAAATGGAGTATGTATATTCCCATTTGCCTTTAGTACAAACTAGGCCTTTAGAGCACAACTGCAGACACAAACATCTGTGAACTACTGGCCAGTACAAGGCTAGGGAACAGACTTGTGAATTCACTGGGAAAGGGAGCTCTCGGTGAGGAAAATCCCTTCACCCATGCAGGTGACACCTGCTCTGCAACTTACGATCTTAGAGCAGGGGTTCTCAACTTGGGGTCAGTGAACTCAGTGTTTTTTTTTAAATTTTAACTGTATTCCAATACAATTGGTTTTCTTTGTAAACCTATGTATTTTATTTTATGCATTTAAAAGTAGTGTTCTGAGAAGTGGTCCGTTGGCTTCATCAGACTGCCAGAGAGGTCCATGACACAAAAGAAGATTGAGAACCAGTCTTAAAGAGTTACCTTAGGTGCCGAGAAGTCACGTGACTTGCCTAGGATCACATAGGCAGTTTACGTCTGAGGTAGGACTTGATCTCAAGTCAACAATGCCTCTCAAGAGGATATATATAGCCTTTGTTAAATCTTTCTTAGACCTGCAGCCTGGTTTTATTTTGGTCCATTACCTAGTTTCTCTTAAAATTTGGGCATGGCCTATTTTTTTCATTTGTAGAACTATATTCCATGTTGCGTAAAGAGTCCATTGAGACCATAGTCTACTCTTGATTTTTGATGCAGATGCAACAAAAGGTAACAGAGGCCCAGTTAACCCCAAATGGTGGATAATCCAAAGGTCTTTTTGTCTGCATCATTCATTAATGATATGCCCTTGAACAGATTTTACTTCCTAATTAATTATTGTCTAGGATCACATCAATAGGAGATGGAAGCTGTCACACCCAACACACTTGGACTGGTAGATATGAAAGGTGGATGGCTCAGGTGGGCTGGATGATACAGGTTATATACCTAGGCAGGTGGGGACCCTCAAAAGATCTTTCAAAGTGGACACCTGACAGTCAGTTGAAACAAGAAGTCTGAGGTGGAGGCAGACTAATAAGAAGGAGACTCAGTATCTCACCTGGAGGTCCTTGGGGTCCTGTGAGGCCTAAAGAGAAGGAAAGACGAATGAGAGAGTTCTAAGGCATCTGGGAACTTCCTCAGGAGAGAGCAATTCTGAGCTGCAGGCTTAGCATCAGTGCAGACCAGAAACATTATCATAGGCACGCCAAAGGAGGCATACTTAATTGACATTTGGCAAACTGAATTTGATTGAATCAAATGAATTGATCTTTTCAAAAGAAAGCTCAGTAGCTGGAGAGCAGTCATTCGGTATCATAATAACGTGGGATAGAGACAGGACCTGTGATTTCATTAGTGTAAGGAACTCCTGGGTATGGAAACTCCCTCCACCAATGCAGGTCAGCATCTTCTCTATAGGTGTCTTAGAGAATTGTCGAGAGCACTGAGAGTTTCAGTGACTTGCACCTGGCCACTCAGTAAGGGGAAGGACCAGAGCATATGTTTTCCTGGTTTCAACGCCTCTTCTATATCCAATATGCCTTCTGCCTCTCCATACTCAAACTAAGACTAAGACTAAAAAGAGTGGTCTTTTAAAGTTTACGAAATATTTTTCTCATAATCCTTTCTAAATATTGTCACCGTTTTATAAATGAGGAAACTGAAGCTCAGACATGTTAAGTAACATTCCTAAGGTCAGATAATTAGTGTCAAGGCCCCAGAACTCAAACTCAGATCTTTTGAGTGCAAGAATAGAGTTCTTTCATTATATCATGCTGTGGTATAGCACACAAACTTTAGATCCTGGAGACATGCCTGAGCCAGTTTCCTCATCTATAAAATGGTTATTAAATTATTTGTAGTACTTGCCATACAAGGTTAATGTGGAGATTAAGCTCAGGTACAACCTCTATCTAAAAATCTTCTCAGATCTCTTCCAGTTACTACTGTTTTCCTTAATTTATCTTGTATCATTCTTAGAATATAAATTCCTTGAGGGCAGGAACTGTCATTTTTCATCTTTGATTTCCCAGGGTCCAGTAGAGTGTCATGCACATAGTATGTGCTTAATAAATGTTTGTGGAATTGAATTGAAATGTATTAGCTTTGTAAAATAATAAAACATTACATAAACACTAAATTGTTGTTTTTATTGTGTCATACATCTATGTTTCCCCAAATGTCATGGACCATGGAAGTCCAGACTAAACATCCTCCTTACCCACCGTTTTGTTGTTCTCTGCTAAGCCAGGACATGAGAAAGGGGAACTGATCCCAAACATAGCACTGGCAGCAGCTGCTTATCTTTGTTCTGTTACCTGGCTTTCCTCCTTCTCCTGTGGGTCCTGGTGGTCCACGGATTCCAGGCATCCCTGTCAGACCTTGTTCACCTAGAGAGATTAGGTGGTCAGTTTGTGAATGTTTCCCCTCAAAAAAAAAAGCAAGGTGACCATTATGTTCCTACCAAGTGACAATCAGCCCTGAGCTCATGACTTTGCATAGGATTTTCAAGATGCTAGGTGGAAGACAAGAAACAATTGGATACTAAGTGTAATGCCCCCCAAGGCATATTTCACCGATGACACTGTTTATTGTTAGTAATGGGCTTGTGTACTTTAGCTTGGAGTAACTAAAAGTGATTGTGAGTTTTTTGGGAGGAAAGCAGTGAAGAAAAGTGACCAACCTCTTGGGCCTTGGTGTCCATCTGGGCCAGCTGGACCTATTCAAATCAACCAAAGCCCATGTTAATTCCGGAGGTATCCCAGTTAATTTTACACTCTCCCTAAAAGGACCTGAAAGAATACTTGGCAGCAGCTGTTAAAGGAAAAAATAGTGATGCTACCACACATCTAGTCCAAGTGTTCCTGTAGCCCTTTTCTAGATAATCAAATGGATACAGTAAGATTCTCCATACCCCTTTCCCATCTTCTTGGGGTATAGCTATCCCCCAACACTCTGACTCTAAACTATCCCTTGTAAAACAGTAAAACAAAAAAAAATGGCTCTCCATTGCCAGCTCAAAAAAAAAGTACAAATTCCTTAGGCTATTATTGAAAATCCTTCTGAATTTAACCTTGACCTATCTTTCCACCTTGGTTTTTTGTACATTTTACACTTTGGCAAAAATGGATTAGTCACTATTTCTAAAACACAGGTTGACCTTTCCCACTTCCCTCATGGTATTTTCTCTCTCTCTCTCTCTCTCTCTCTCTCTCTCTCTCTCTCTCTCTCTTTCTCTCTCTTTCTTTCTCTGTCTCTCTTTCTCTATCCTCTTCTTTTTTTGCCTCTTCCCCCTCTCTGCCCATCAAAATTCTATTCTTCCTCCAAGCACCATCTCAAAAGCCATTTCCCCATGAGGTTTCCCATGGTCCTTCCTCATTCATTGCCACTCATTATCTTGCTCTGGTCCATTTCCCCAACCTGTTCCCAGCATTCCCTTCCATGCATTCCAGAACCTAGCCCAATGCACCGCCCACACTTTGATGCTTTAAAGATCTTGTGGATTTTCCCATGTAGATCACAAGGCTTCTGTAACTTGCTGCATGATCTTTGAGAGCTTCTATGGCCAAAAAATTCACTCCCTTACAATCATTGAGATGTGCACACACAAAGTACTTAATACATGTTGCCTTGAGCCCAGTATGATCTCTCCCTCTTCTGAACTCCTGTGGCACTCCATCTCTCATGACATTTATCACAGCCTTGTGTGTATTGTAGTTATTTGTGTGTCTGATCTCTGCCGTTAAACTGTGAACTCCCTAAAGGCAGGAGCCACATCTTATTTGCTTTCACGCCTTCCTCAGTGAAGCTGAGCACATTACTGGTATGCCCTCAGTAGATATTTGTTGCATGAATGAATATTCTATATCTCTTTCCTCCTTGGTCTTTTTATCATTCATCCACTCAAAGTACTATTAGGGTCTGCAGCTGAATGTTCCTGATGCTCAAGGGTTCTTGGCATCAGAACCCTGCCCCCTTGGTCAGCCAGGACAGCTCAGGAATGTAATGAAAAAGATTAAAGCTGGGGAAGCTGCTGAGGTTAGCTCAAGGGACCTTTCTTTACTGGATGGAGGCATCAAAAGCTCCATGGGTTTGCTCCATCTTCTCCTTTTTCTTCCAGAAGCAGGGAGCTTAGAGGCAAGATCTCAGTGGCTAGATAGGAACAATCAGGGCACAGAAGACTCCTAACTTTATGCCTAGTGTCCAGTGAGAAGCTCCCATAGGAACATCACCAGCATAATGAACTCTGGTCCATGAGAAAACAGACTCTTAAGGGACGGTCAAAAATAAACCATCTGTAACCTGGAACTAGGCCAGGAAATTCAGAGACAGAGATAAAGGTAGACCAGAGATTAAGGAGCTGAAATTCATTAAAGAAACATGAACATATGGCAGGAAACACAGCTCTATGTTCATGCAGGTATACACATGCATGCAGACATAGATACCAGGGAGAAATACTGCATCTCTCCTGACACTCACCCATTGCTCCTTTAGCACCAGGTTCACCTGTGGCACCAGGAAGACCTCTTAAGCCAGGTTCTCCTACAATGGAAATTTATAATGAAAAGGAAAGAGGATTAATTGGTCAGATACTTCTGAGACTCCTCCTCTGGTAGGATCATGCACTTTGCTTTCCCTAAGGGAGACCCAAGATGTCAGGCAACTTCCTGGAATGTCTATGGAAAGGCATTTTCAGAACTGGCTCCCTTGGTGAACAAATGAACTCAAACAGAACCTCCTTGGTCCTCTCTGAGCAGCAGGCCCCATCCTGATCCTCAGGTGCTCATCAGTGAGTTTTAGCTCCTTAGAAGGCAAGAGAAGCCATTTGTAGCCAAGGTAGCCACGATTCCTCTCCCTTTTTAATCAAAGACATTGCAAGATGCAAGTGACTGAGAGGCAGTGTGCAATGACTTGCATGCTTCCTGACACTCACGGCACTGCTGATCGGGTACCAAGCATTTATTAAGTGCTTACTGTGTGTCAAGCACTGGGGATACAATGAAAGGCAATATATGGCCTCTGCCCTGAAGGAGCTCCCACCATCATTCAAATAACTACGTATGTGGAAGGTATGTATGGAGTAGATGGAAGGTGCTCTCAGAGGGAATGCACTGGGAGGGGGTTGTTGTGGAGGTGGGAGGCGGGGGTGGGGGGCACCTGGACCACCCCTTAGATAGCTTAAGTCATAGGATGTTAGAATCAGGAAAGTAGCAGAGAGGATAGAGGAAAATTCTATACACAAGGATTGCCTTCAGGCTCTCTGTCTCTGTCTATTTGATTTTTTTTTGTCCCTTGGACGTTACTATGATAGCAGAGATCTCACACATTTGATAAATTCAATCGGATCCTCAAAGGAGCTACTGTCTTGGCATGCTCGCTAAGGAATTTGGGTATGGCAGCAAAATTAGAAACTCCCGAGGCAGAGATCTTGAAATATTATTTCAGGATCTCCTGTTGTTGAGTTGTTTCAGTTGTGTCTGACTCTTCATGACCCCATTTGGGGTTTTCTTGGCAAAGAGAATGAAGTGGTTTGTCATTTCCTTCTTCAGCTCATTTTACAGATGAGGAAATTGAGGCAAATAGGATTAAGTGACTTGTCTAGGGTCATATAGCTAGTAAGTGTTTGAGGTCAGATTTAAACTCAGGTTTTCCTGACTCCAGGGCTAGTACTCTATCCACTGCAGTAGCCTAGGTGTCCAATAAATTTATATAGCTTAGTAGGTGTTTAATTTAAGATTTATTGAAGTGAAGCTCATTTGCAGGCAGCACTGACCTGTGAGACCTCGAGATCCTTTCTCACCTGGATCACCTAAAATGGACATAAAGGAGAATAGAGCCAGTCTTTTGCAGAAAGAAATCCCATCAGACAGCAAGCCTAGGCTTCATTTAATGCTCAGGGCAGGGACAACACTGCAGCACGCTTCAGAGCCTCATTGTGGGCTCTTGCAGGTTATCTTAGAGTTGACAACAGCAAGGGACTAATTAGGCTGAAGTAGGTTTGGTTTCTTGTTGGCCTGTGAGCTTCTCAGAAATTGACCCCTAACCCTGGCCACTGATTGAATTCTAATCCCATCTGCAGATTGACCCCCTAACTCAGACCTCAAACTGACCATTAGCCCTGATGAAACATTGATTTTACCCCTTGCCTCATACCCACAGCCATACATTGACCCTTAACTCAACTATAAATTGATAAAGAGGTCGACTCTTTATCATGACCACAAACCAACCAGTAACCTTAGCCTCAAAATCACCCCTAACCTTGGCCACAGACAGCCCTAACTAATTGACCACAGATAGTCTCTAACTCTGACCATCTGTCTTCCTTATGTGTACCATGACCATACGGGGGATCAGATGAGCATTTGCTAGGCACATCTCATTCTCTCTGTACTTCCTCATCCTTTAAAAACTTCTCCAAGCCTGGCTTCAATAGGGAGTAACAATCTGTTATGCCTGGGTAGGGAAGATGACATATTTCATACAATGCAATGATCATTGAGCCACGTCATGGAGCAACATACCTTTGGGTCCTGGGGATCCCATTGGTCCTTTATCACCTAAGGAAGAAAAACACACTTTGGCATTGACAAGGCTGCAGAGAAGGTGCTGTTATTCTCCAAAAACATAACTGAAAGGATGTTAAAGAGACAAGATTGGCTCCTGCATCTGTGCAGACATTGTCTCTCTCCACCTTACCTCACCTCTTGATTCCCTGCAGGACCCACTCATTAACCTATTTGACTGGCTGATGGTCTCCACCACCACCCTTACCTGGACCACCTAGTCATACTCATAGGATCAAAGATTTAAAGTTAGCAGGGACCTGAGAATCAACTTGTTCAACTCCCTCATATGATGAAACTGAGTTCCGGAGAGGACTTGTCTATAGATACCCAGGTAAAGTGGCAAAACCAGAATTTGAACCCACATCATCTGAATGTAACTTAGCATATTTCCTATTATATAAGGATGCTTAACTCTAGGCCTAATGAATAGCTGCACTAGGCTTGCCCTCTCCCTTCTATAATTCTTCACCAACTTACCTTTGGGACCAGGGAGACCAACTTCGCCTCTGAAGCCTTGGAGGCCAGAAGGACCTGCAGAACCAAAGAAAATCAGACAGGTATATGATGGAAACAGATTGGATAAGCGGAGTAAGTGTGAGAGAGGAGTAGAGGATGACCCTAGAGCTGGGAGCATTGGTGACCGGGAGGATGGTGGTGCTCTCAACAGTAGCAGGAACTGGGAACTTTAGAAGAAGGGAACTATGTTTCAGACAAGTTGAATTTGAGATGTTCAGAGAACTTAGTTTGAGATGACCAGAAGGTAGCTGGTGGTGTGAACTGGCAGGTCAGAAGAGAATTTGGGGCTGTACGTGTAGATCTGGGAGTCATCTGCACAGAGATGATAATTGAACCCATGGGAACTGATATTATCACAAAGTGAGATGATATGGAGGGGGTTGAGAAGAGAGCCCAAGACAGAACTTTGGGGGATGGTTAATGGACTTGACCTGGACAGAGAGTTAGTAAAGGAGACTGAAAATTTATTACACTAAAAAAGCACTGTATAGGATGTCCCAAAAGTGACTTAGTGAAGATTTTAAGCTTTAGGAGCTTAAAAATCTGCATTAAGACTTTTGGGACACCTTGTATAAAGGAATGTTTTTATTTGTTGGCAGATGCTCTATTTGGATGGACAGATGAATAGTTTTCACAGTTGAAGATTTATAGAAGCAGATCATATATGAAGTACTCTGGGCTCCCAGTGAAATAAGGACAACTCAGAATGGAAAGAGGGATTTGAACAGATAAAGTCAGGGCTCACAAAAACAACTCAAGGCAAAAAAACAACAACATTGAAACTTGGGCTGAAAACTTCTAGAAATCTCTGCTATCAGTGCCTTTGCTGTTTTATTTGTGTGTGTTTTTAGTATTTTTTTTTCCCTCCTTAATTCAATTTCGTTTGCCTAAGGCTTGCCTTTTGTTTTCCAGAAACAACACTGGCAAAGACAGGTCTACTCACCTGAGGGGCCCTGAGGTCCTGGGGCACCAATGGAACCTGGGAAAAAGAGGGAGGGAAATGGTTGTTAGCAAGAAACTGGACCCTAACTTGGGCATCAGATACCACAGGAAACCCATGGGGGCTTTGGAGGAAGGCCTCCCAGTGCTTGATGGTATATATGTGTGTGTGTGTGTGTGTGTGTGTGTGTGTGTGTGTGTGTGTGTGTGTGTGTGTGTGTGTACACACTTCTGTGCACCACAAAGGCTCCAATTCTTCCTCAAACCTCTAAAGATAACAGGATATGAAGCTGAATTCCTTCTTTTCCCTGGAGAAGGAGCCTGACTGCTTGAGCAAGTTGTTCCGGGAAGTACAATTTGCCCATAGCACGTGCTGAATGAATGAATGGTCGAATGAATGAAGATTATCCCTCACTCTCATATACTGGAGGCAGAACAATTTGGGTTCAGGAGAGTGGAGAAGGAAAAAAAGGAGGTGGCATAGAATTTACCCCTTCTCTATCACTTTATCTGTAAGCAGGGCCTATGCCCGCTTGATTTGCCTGGGCAACCAGTTAAAGCTAGTATGTGTCCCACCATTAGCATGGGATTGATTGTTTTAACCTCACTGATTTCCTGAGTGATTCACCTATGAAAGGGACCAAAGACATGGCATCCACAGGCTCAGAAGGCCCCACATAGGTTGATAAGGAAGGGTCTCAGTCTGTGACTTTGGCCTAGGCACTATCTGGCCCTCTGTTTTTTCCTCTATAAAACAAGGTGATTGAACTAAATAATCTCTAAGGTCCCTTCCAGGCCTATAATTCTGTTGTAGTCTAGACAAAGACAAGGAAAACATTTGACAAAGCCTTTCCAATAATTATATCCAAAACACGACTATCGATTCTTCTAGTTTGGTGGCATTCTAGTTGGTTAATTCTTTTCTGTCCATGGTTCTCAGGATTATTGCTCTGCTCCCTAAGGACTGATAATGACACGGGCCCTGTGGCGTTATCCCCTGGACACTGCTGCTTTCTAGATAACCCAGACACAATCAGAGGTCCTGTGCTTACCTTTGGGACCAACAGAACCAGGGACACCAGGGGGGCCTTGAGGACCTGGATTACCAGCAACACCTGAGGAACAAATCAACCAAATGAATGGCTTGGTGATTTTTTACTTTGGCTTTTCCTGAGTCTAATTCTGTCATTTGGAAAATATATTTCTACCACCCAGAATCCCCCAGGGCCCATATGGTGGGGGAAGAGTGAAGATTCATTGGTTCAAAGAGTCCAGTGGTCTACAATGAGGGCACCCAGCAGAGAAGCCCAGCTCTGCTATTGCTGGATGGAGCCTCTTGCTGTGGGCCAACTGTCTATTTGGCAATAGTTGGAGCAGTGGATGAAGCATTAGACCTGGAGTTTGAAGACCTGACTTCAGATCCTGCTTCAGACTCTTTTAAGCTATGTGGTTCTGGACAAGTCATTTGGCCTCAGTTTCCTTATCCATAACATGGGGCTGATCGATAGGACCCTCTCCTAAAGGGTTGTTATAAGGCTCAAATGATATAACATGTAAAACACTTTACCAACCTTAAAGCAATCGATTGCTGGATATTATTAGTTAGCAGCTGGCCCTGTACACTCAAAGCTGTAGCCCAGGTTTCCTTTTCTGCTATATCTCTCTCCCCTACACAGAGGGGAAAAATAACTAAACTCCTTATAACTCCCTCCTTCCCTTCAAACCATGAAACATCTGAAGCTTTTTGTGGGGGACTGAAGTCTGGAATCCCTAAATGAGGAAGCAGCAGAGCCTTCTGGGCTCTGATTGGCTAGAACTGATCATTCACCGAGGCAGGGCATGGTCCTGAAACACTTCTCATCCTTCCCACAACCCCCACACCGTGAAGACACAATATGCAATCACCACTGAATTCTCCTCACTACCACAGACCTCTGAGGCATGGCAGCCAGGAAGTTTTTAGGTATTTTTTTTGTTTGTTATTTTCAACCCATCAATCAATCAGTCAGCATTAAGTGCCTACTAAATGCCAGGCACTGTGCTAAGCACTGGGAATATAAAGAAAGGTAAAAGATGGTATCTGCTCTCAAGAAATTCACAGCCAAACAAGGCTGGAGATGGCTAACTCCAATTCATGGAGTTTTCTCCAGAACTTCCAGTTCTCCCACGATGGAACAGCCTCAAAGTGGATGAACTGGTTTGCTTTTAATCAAGAAATATTGAAATCCTCCAGGGCTAGCTTTATGTGCCTGGAGGCCCAACGAGCTGCTTTTGCATCCTCTAGACAAATTCCAAGAACTGTGCCCGCTTTCGGTCTCCTGAGTCATGCCCTTACCCAGCTCTTCCCCCTACCACGTTGGCCTTTGACTCCGCTTTTTCCCCTTCACAAAAATCTTGTTTCCTGTTTCTCCTTTATTCCCCTCCCAGAGACCTTTCTTTATGGGGCTGGAGCAGAGGAAAATGTCTTGGAATTAGAATTTCTGGGCCTGGTTGGTGGGGAGGGTGATGGAGGAGAGTGAGAACATCTCCTCCTGCTCTTCATCCCACTGTAGTTGTACCACTGCATCCTCAACTTTCCTGGGGTAGGATGGCCTCCTCTTACCTCTATCTCCCTTTTCTCCAAAGCCAGGGGGTCCTGGTTCACCACGAGGCCCCGTTGGACCTTCTTGTCCTCTTTGACCTTGGTGTCCCTCCATGCCAGGTTCCCCTACAAACAACAAGAATACTCAGTCATAAAACCACCAACCCATAGCTACAAGAGGGATATATTTGAAGTCAGTAATTATAGATTTGGAGGACTGGAATGGATTTTGGCAGCCATGTTGTCCATCTTCCTGTACCCTGCCAACGAGTGGCCTTCTGTTTGAACGCCTCCAAGGAAGGGCACTCCTCCACTTCTTGACGTAGTCTATTCCAGTTTTGGATTCCTCAGCTTGTTAGGAAGTTTTTTTCCTAACACCAGGCCTAATTTGACTCTTTGCACCTTCTATTCAATGCTTCTGGTTCTGTCCTCTGGGGCCAAACAGAACAAATTGAATTCCTCTTCCATATCACAATCTTTCAAATACTGGAGGAGAGCTATTGTGTCCTCCTGAGTCTACTCTTCTCCAGGCTAAACGTCCCCAATTCCTCTACTGAGCCTCATTTGACAGACTCAAGGCCCTTGACCGTCCTGACTGCCCTCCTCTGGGAGCTCTCAAGTTGATCAATTTCCTTCTTAATCTGTGATGCTCAGAACTCCACACAGCACTCTAAATGAGGGCTGATTATGGAGGCATATATAAAGCTCTTTGTGGGAGAGGTCCTTAATATTATCTTTCCCTATTCTTGGAAACTGAGCATCTTCCAATTGGGCTAAGCCCAAGATTGCATTAGCTTTTTTGGCTACCACATCACACTGAAGACTCAAATTGAGACCTAGGTCCAACTCCTGTCTCCAAGGCTTAACTGGCTGTGTTACCCTAGGCAAGTTAATTAATCTCTGAGCTTCAGTTTCTTCATCTGTAAAATGGGGATAATACTTGTACTTACCTCACAGATTTGCACTGTAAGACAATGCATTTAAAATGCTTTGTAAAACTTTAAAACACTCTAGGTGTCAGGTTGTTTTATCAATTAGGACAAAGTTTCAGAGGGTGGGGTGCTTGGGAGGAAAAGAAAACCAGTTCTTACCTACACTGCCTTTCTGTCCCTTTGGTCCTTCTGGGCCTGGATGGCCCATAGCCCCTGGGACACCTGTGGATGCATAAGAATGGTTATCCCTCTACTTGTCCCACTAGTGGCTGGAAGCTGGGATTGAACTGGGCAAAATCCCAGACATAACATTACTGAGGCTTGGCAGGAAGGTGACCAATGTTTACACACCTGGAACTCCAGGAAGCCCTCGGTCTCCTATAAAAGCAGAGAGGAAAAAAAGAAAGTTATTAGTTGAAGATTAAGGCTCAGATTTCCTGACAGGAGAAAGAGAGTGTATTTTGAGCCTCATCTAAACACTTCTCCCTCTACATTTCTAGCTAGAATTTCTTTGATGGGCTCTTAGGTGCTGCCCTCCAGAAACCACAATTTCAGTTGGAACCAGTGTCCATAATGAAGGCCCTGGAGTGCAGAAAATTTCCACCTCATTGCCCTCAATCTGGGGATGACTAAGGATACTGAAAAAGGACTAGAGTCAAGGACAGTTTAGCAAGAGGAGATTACAGCTGTTCATCTCTTGCTCTGCTCCCTGCCTCCTCTCTAAGTACCAAGGCCTACCAGTAGTTGTCAATGATGGTTTAAGTCAGTGGGTCTCTGAAAGTGGTCTGGATACCCTAGGGGGTCCCTGAGGCCCTTTCTGAGGGGCCCAAGAGGCTAAAACTACTTTCATAATAATATTAAAGCATTTTAATTTCTTATATGGTAAATTTCAATAGATATAACCCATAAAAGCCAAAGCTCTTTGGGAGGGGGTAGAGGGGGAAGGGGTCCTTAATGAAAAGGATCCTGACACCAAAAACTGGGAATTTCTTTACTAAGCCAATGCTCCATCCTTCAGAAGGGCTTGATGTTGAATGATGGTGAATGAGTATGGTGTTATATAAATTTCCTAAGACTGACTGTCTGATTTTTCTAAGCCATCAGTTCCCATCAAAACAGGAGAAATTCTCCTTACTTACCTTTTGGGCCTTGAATTCCCATATCACCTAAAAGACATAAAAACACCAGCATTCTGAGATTAGGTCATATTAGAGTGATATCCATTTAATATGTTAATATCAAATCTCTTAGGTATAAAAATCTGATTTTAAAATGAAGAGATTTGATTTCTATTCTTAGTTCTACCATTGACCAGTTGGCAACTTTGAGCACCAGTCTAGGTCTCTCTTTCCTCATCTGTAAAATGAAGGGCCTAGATTATTTAGCCCTCCCAAACCTAATAGTTTAAGATTATATAACACAGATGTATTTAAACTGTTTTGCTCTCCAAACTTAGATCTGAAATGAGAAAAGAGATGAAAAAAAAGTAAAGGAGGGGAAAGGGGGTTGAGAAAGGAGGAGAAAGTAGGGGAAAGGGGAAAAAAACTTTCCCAAGCCACCCAGAAAACCAAGCACCAATCCCAGGTAGCATTTTCCGAGAAACAAGAGTCAAGGAGAAATGATCTGTTTGTGAAACCTTTCGGTCCAGGGTTTCCTCGAAGATTTCCTAAAATAGAAAGCAAAGCTTGAGTTAATATTACATCTTTTTTCTGCTTTGTTAGCCCTAGAATAAAAGGGAGACATTGGAATATAATGGAGAGACCACAAGACTAGATCTGGGGTCCAGTCGGATGCTGTCACTAATGAGCTATGTGATCTTGAGCAAATCATTTCCCTGCTGTCTTATTTTCCATATTTGTGAATATGTCCTACCTACCTGTAGAGGTGTTGTAAAGTTTAAATGAGTTAGTATGTGTATAGATATAGTTATAAAGCTCTGTATAAATGTGAATTGCCATCCAATAGAATATAAGATCCTTGAGGGCAGGGACTGCTTCATTTTTGGTTTTTGTATCTCTAGCACCTATTGGGGTGTCTAGTATATAGCAGTACATAAAAATTATTATTGGTTGATTGATAACTGTCAGAGTCATAACTAGCAAGGGCACCCTGGGTGCTGACACAGGGGTGGAAGGTAGTTATTGCACTCCCCTCAAGGTTTCCAGAGAATAGCATGAGGAGGCACTTGTTCCCAAATGCCAACCCTAAGGTTCCACTTCATGGGACCTTCTCTGATCTTCTAGAGACCTTAGTTCTTATAGAAGGGAAGGGCTGGGACTCTTTGGGAATGGATTATACACTCATGGTAGAACTGTCCTTTCTACTACCATCCGTCTTTACCACTCCCAATTTATCCTAGGTTCAATTTTGATTAATTAACAACTGTGATGACAATGATGCATTTTTGGCTCTGAGGGTCTTGACTCCTACCCCTGTTAGGTTCCCCACTGGATCTCCTCACCTTTGTCTTGTTCTGTTTGCAGCCTGTTTTTCACAAATGCCCAGAGAACCTCCTGATTGTGACTGTCCAGCTCACCAGTCCCCCAGCCAACGTTGGAGACAGCAGAGATTCGACCTTTGCTGATCTTGTCTTCATCACGTAACATACTAGTATTGATATTCTCCAGGTCATCCACACGAGCTTTCAGCTTCCTCACCTCCTCCGCTGCATAGGAGGCAGACAGAAAACAAGAATCATAGGAAGAAGAGTATAGGTGTATTTTACAGGGCTGTTGTGAATATTAAACCTATGTAAAGCATGTTTGAAGCATCCCATAGAAATGCAAGTTGGGCTATTATTACTAGACAAATGATCTTAGGATAAACTTTTACCAGTAAGAATTCTGCTCTAAGCAAGACCTGAACATGGCACTAAAATCCTGGAGACTTCAATTATGGTGGCAGGATCACTGGGCAGTAAATCTCCATGTTTTGCCGTAGCTCCTGTATTTTAGCGGTGATGGACTATGCCAAACCAGAGAGCAAACAAGGCATCATGGAAAGAGGACTGAGATGGAAGTCCAGGCCTGGACTCAGCGAATGAGATTTTACCTCTCTGGGTCTTGGTCTCCCTAGCTGATAAACGGATATTTGTCCAAAATTCAAAGGGTCCATTGAGATCATGGAAATGGAAACATTTTGGAAAGTCTTTTTTTAAAGGACTAAAAATGCCTGGCATTACTTACTACTATTATTATTGCTGCTACTACTATTACTACTTGTTATTCAGTCATTTGCAGTTGTGTCTGACTCTTCGTGGCCCCATCTGGGATTTTCTTGGCAAAGATACTAGAGTATTTGCCATTTCCTTCTCCCACTCATTATACAGATGAGGAAACTGAGGCACCCAGGGTGAAGTGACTTGCCCAGGGTCACACAGCTAGTAAGTATCTGAGGCTAGATTTGAACTCATAGAGATGAATCTTCCTGCTTCTAGGCCTGGCACTCTATCCGCTGTGCCACCTAGTTGTACTACTACTGCTACTGCTGCTGCTGCTGCTGCTGCTATGACTACTACCTTCTCCTTCTCTTCCAGCGCACTCTTTGCTGAATCCGCTTCCTCTTTGCCATCTGACACATTGCTCCCTTGTGAGTATCCTTTCTCCCCACCTCTATTTTCCACCACCCCATATGTGTTACCTTCCTCCTTTAGAATATAAACTTCTTGAGGGTGGGGACTATCTTGCTGTATTTTATTTGCATCCCCAGCCCTTAGCAGAGTGTCTGGCACACCATAAGCAAAGCTTAACACATGTTTTATCTACGTACCACCAACATCACAGGGCATGCTAGGGCCCATAGCAGTGGTCTAGGAGTTAGATTATAGACCCTGCTCTATCACTAATTCACCACATGACTTTGGGAAACCCCTGAGGTGCTTCCAGAGGCAGCTGAGTGACTTAGTGGATAGAGCGTCGGACCTGGAGTCAGGCAGACCTGAGTTCAAAGGTGGCCTCAGACTCTCACTAGTTGTGTGGCTCTGGGCAAGTCACTTAACCTCTGTTTGCCTTACTCCACTGGAGAAGGAAATGGCAAACCCCTCCAGTATCTTTGCCAACAAAACCCCATACATAGTATGGTCCACAGGGTCACAAAGAGTCAGATATGACTGAACAACAACAACAACAAGGTCCTTCCCAATCCTAAGATTTGATGTCTTTTGGGTTCTAGTTATAAGGGAGCAAGACATAAATACACACACACACACACACACACACACACACACATACATATATATATATCTGGAACCTGCCTTTGCTGTTGTCATCTCTTACCCAAAGCAATGAGTCCAAAAAGCAATCCAAGAAGCAACAGCCAGGCCAGGAGCAGGCCTAACAGCCACTTCCACCAGCTGCAGCAGGAACCGCAAGGACACCAGGCAGGGGCAGCCCCAAAACCTGCTCCACCGCCTCCTCCACCTCCTCCTGCACCACCAAAACCTCGGTCATCTCCCTGGATTTCTAGGGAAGAGAAGGTGAACCCAGATGGCTAATGTCCTATTATAAACCTTTAAGTGACCCGCTTTCCATGTGCCAAAAAAAATGAAACTAGGTGGATGGGGGGAAGGAAGAAGGACAGAGAGATATTCAGAGAGTTTCTGAACTGTTTAAAGATGTGTTGGCATATCTTTCAGAGAGGAAACTGGTGTAGTAGAAAGACTCTAAGATTGGAAATATGGAGGCCTAAATTTGGGTTCCAAGTTTCCATTTATTAGCTATTTAATCTTAGGTGAGACTTTTAACCCTTTTGGGACTTAAATTCCTCATCTGTAAAATGGGGCTAACCAAACCTTCCTTGCTTGCCTCATAGAGTTAGTGTGGGACTCAATGATAATGTACAATTCTATGGTGCCCTAAAGTTTATAGAGCACTTTCCCCACGGCAACCCTGTGAGGTAGACAAGGCAAATATTATCATTGCCATTTTATAGATGAGGAGACCAAGCCAGAAACAACATTAAGTGATGTGCTGAGGATCCAACAGGTAGTAAATGAACCTAGGCATCCTTACCCCAGGTCTAGTGCTCAGTCTACAATTCCACCATGTGTCCTTACATATGGCCGGAATGAGATAACTGACGTGCCAGTGCCTTGTAAACTGCAGATTACTTACAAATGTACTTTAAAGTTTTCATATATTTTCATTAATAGTAGTGGTTGGCATTTAGGTGGCATTTTAAAGTTTGCTGAACATTTTATATTCAGTATCTCATCTGATCCTTGTAACAACCACATAAAGTAGATGTCAGTATTATTTGTATTTTATGGATGAGAGAATAAAGGCTGCAAATATGACAAGCGACTTTTTGAATGCCATAGTTCTTCTGGCAAAGCTGGGACTGGCTGCCTTGCAAAGGGCCCTGAATCGCTAAAGACTGGGAGTTGTATGTCTTCCCACGTAGGCTCAGAATGCTTCTTTCTCTATGTAGGAAGAAATACAACTCCCAGAGTCTTTAGTGACTCAGGCCCCTTTGCAAGGCAGCCAGTCCCAGCCAAGACTCTACAGGAGCCTTGTACCAGCGGCTATTAAGCTGTACAGTGGATAGAGTTCTGGGCCTGGAGTCAGGAAAATTGAAATTCAAATCTTACTTAGACAGGTAGCAGCCATGTATGACCCCTGGCAAGACATTTCACCTCTATCTGCCTTAGTTTTCCACGACGGGAAAATGGATGCTAACAACTGTACCTAGTGAGAATCATGAGATTGTAAAAGCACTTAGCGTATTGCCTGGCACAGAGTAGATGCTAAATAAATGCTTATTATCTCACTCTCCATACTAGTAAATGACTGAGACTGAGGCCTTTCATATTCAGCTATTATTAATCACACACTGCTGCCAAGCAAATCCAATTCAACAAACACTGGAAAATAGGAAAGCACTAGACACAGGGGGAGGAGGAAAACAAAACCAAAAAGAAAGTGTTTGCCCTCATAGAGTTTACATTCTACATGCTTTAGATATCACTATTTCAAAATTCATGTCAGAAAATTTTTCAAGCCCCAGTACAAACAGGTTAGACACACAAATTACACTGTGATTTTTTTTCCTTAGAAAGGACTCACTGCTTGAGTTTACTATGGGAGGGTTGTCAGGTGGTCCCTCTGAAGAGTCATGGAGTAGACCACTCTCTGTCTGCTACCCCAGCTTGGTCAGCACTCCTATCACCTCTTTCCCTCAGGCTTAACCCTGGGATCTGTAGAGTATTCTCCATTTAAACCTGTGTCTTTGTTCAAGTAACTATCTAAAAACCCTGGTCATTTTCAGAGTGTTCAGTGACTATGAGGGTCATTATCTAGTCTCTTAACAATCAAGTGCTCCTCCCCACTATTGTGGACCGCTCTGTCAAGGAATGGGCATGAAAGCTGATCTCCCCACCTGCATAAGTGGCTTTGTCCTTGGTGGATGCAACCTTCAAGCCTCCTAAAAATGAAAAAACACCAAGAGTCCATCATGTCATTCTCTCACAGAACCAGAGAAATGCTCACAGGGAACAAACATAAGCAGATATATCAACAGTCAGTCAGGTGGACTTTGGAATTTACAAAAATATGAGCGAGATGGGCTGATTCATCCACCTTTATGCCACCACAACAGCAAGGAGTTTGTCAAACCAATGGATAGTGTGAAAAGAGGGAATGTTTAGCTTCTACCCAGGCATAAAAGCCCACACATTTCCCTAGTACCACTTTAAGCAGCAGTACTTGAACTCAGAAAATGAAAATTGCAAATGATGCTTATATATTGACTAAAATAGATGGAAGAGATTCTAAGACTTATAGCTCAGATCCTCTTCCCTGATCCCATCAGCAGTGCTATTATGGGTACTAAAAGAAGCTACACTATGCTTCTTTTGAAATGTTTCATAAATTGGACTTTTCAGTAACACATGATCCTTTTGGGTAATCAAGGCAACTTGGTGACATTTTATTCTATGGAGTTTTTTTTCCTTTCTTTCTTGGTTTTGATCTGTGATTTCTTCAGTCTGGGGGAAATCTTGTTGTAGTAACTTCCTCCACAATTCAGGTTAGAAATTCTTCTATAACTTAGATTCTTAAAGAGCTGCATGTATGTCTTGAGAGGTTACTAGTATGAGTCAGACCAGGACTTAAAATCTTGACCTCTCTTGATGCCAAGGCTGGACCTCTCTTCACCAGGCCATGCTTTTTCTCTACATAGTATATGTACGTTGTACACCTTATACATGCAGAAATTCAATTATCCAAATAGACACCAAAGTGGAAAGCAATTTGCTGCTGTGAAATTTACCAGTAGAAAATGTGTTTTGTTATCAGGTTTGAAAACTAGTGGTGATTCTTCCCTTTTTGCAAAGATGGAGGGCTATGGGTATGAAACATTGCATAAACTGTCAGACTCAGTTGATATGTTCATTGGTTTTGCTGAATTGCTTTTCTCTCCTCTTTCTTTTGTGTTGTTACACTGGATGGTTAACTGGGTGGGGAGGGAAGAGGAATAGATTTGGAAATGAAGGTGGTATAAAATCAAACGATATCAATAAGAAGTTTAAAAAAAAAAGATCAATCAGCAAATTAGGGACAGACTATTCCAGATTGGAGAAGAGGGAGCAAAGATACTTCTTGTAGTACAGCAGTAAGACCAGGGCACAGGTTAAGCAGGTAGAATGCCATCTGACCCAAGTAATGGCAGTCAACAAGCAGATCTGCTCTTACCATTAGCTTCAGACTTGAGACAGGAGTCAGAGATGTAGGAGGATGAGATTGCTTGCTTGTCTTTTTTCAGAGTGTCATCTAAGAATGAAGCTGAAGGAAGATAAAACAGTAAACATTAAATATGGGAATATTGGAAGTACCCGTGATTTTGGAGGCATGGGAAACTCCCTCCAATATGAGGGTGGCAGTTGGGCTGTGATTTCTGTGAGTCCTAGGGCACTGTTGGAGGCACTTACCAGGGCCCCAGAATAGAAGAGTCAGAGTCAGTATTTGAACTTAGAACTTGCTAATTTCTATATATAGAGCTCTGTCAGGCTGCTTCCACAATGGGCAAACAAATATGCTTCATTTTCTGTTCTCCAGGAACTGCCTTTCCTTTTGCTATTGTGTTTTGGCTTTGATCTTAGGAAGGCAGCAGCTACAGAGGTATGGTGAGTGCTTAAAGGTGGCCAGATGACTTAAGAGAGCTCAGGTATTTGCCTGTCCTTCTTTTCCCCTAAAAAAAAAAATGACCAAACTAAAGTTCAAGGATCCTATTCATTGGCTCTTAAAGTTATTGATTCTTCCTCTTGACTTCAAGCAGTGTTCTCCAATGGATCTCTGGGGAGATGTAGAGTTGTTTTTTTCAAGGGGTCAGTAAATTGATATATGAACCCATAAATAAGTAAACATAACCCCTGTAGATTGAATAAATAATATGCCATATATATTTATTTATTATGTCAAAGCATCAAGGACTCATTATTAGGGGGCAGCTAGATGGTAGAGTAGATAGAGTGCTGGGCCTGGAAGCAGGAAGAACTGAAATCTGACCTTAGACCTTTACTACCTGTATGACTCTGTGCAAGTCATTTAACCTCCATTTGCCTCAGCTTCCTTATCTGTAAAATGAAGATTATGATACCATCTACTCCCAGGGATATTGGGAGGATCAAAGGAGAAAATAATTGTAAAGCACTTAGCACAGTGCCTGGAACATAGTAAATGCTATATAAAAAATGTTAGCCATTATTATTATTATTATTATTATTTTATCAGTATAAAGAGTCTTCACACTGATTAGAAATTGTCTCTAATTTATAGCCATAAAGAAGTGCCTGAGGCTCAGAGAGCTTCCCAGGGTTATATTGCTAGTAAGGGTCAGAGGCAGAATTTGAACCCAGGTATTCCTGACTCCAAGTTCAACATTTTCTCCACTAGGTTACATTACTTCTCACATATTTGTATGTGCGTGTGTAACATATATACATATATATGTCTATTTATATTGGTAAATGTAATGTATGAAGATGCTATTTGATTATTATAAATTTATTTGAAAGTATTACTGAATTCATAGTAGCTTTGTATTATATATTTTCTTAATCAACAGATGCCAATATTGTTAGGTGATGGGTCCACAAAAATTTTTTTACATGAAAAAGAGATGCTCATATTTGAAAATGTTGAAAATAATAATAGCTCATATTTGTATAGCATTTTAAGGTTTCTTAAACATGTTATATACATGGATTCTTTTGATCCTCACAGCCATCCTGTGATATGAATGCCATTATTATCCTTATTTTAAAGATGAGGAAACTGAGGCTCAGAGAGGTTAAGAAATTTCCCCCAGAATCACACAGCCAGTATGTGTATGGGAAGGAACTGAAGCCAAGTCTCCCTGGCTCTGGGTCCAGCACGATATATGGTATGTCATACAGCTTCTAAGGATCCCCAAAGTCACACCGTTGGCCACACTAGGAACAGGAGCTAAAGTTTTTAATCTTGATTTTATCCAGTTTTTGTACTCAAGTTAAATCCTCTGACTGCCTCCAAGCTGACACTTTTCTGTTGAATGGGATCACGGCAGCTTTATTAGTAGAGTGCCCATGGTAGTCTGTATCTTTTTTATTTTTTTATTTTTATTTTTTTTTATTAGTTTAGTAGTCTGTATCTTTGGGATTCCTATCTCCTGGATTTCCCATTTCTTCCCCAAACGCCATCCTCAAGTGGTCTACACTTACTTGTACTGAGCCCGGTGGTGGAAGCAGTGAAGACCTTCCCGCTGTCTTTGGTCATGATCAGCAGCTCCATCTCTTTCTTGGCTGGAGCGTTGTCCTTCTCCAGCAGCAAGAACTTACAGTCCTTGCGTAGCAGGTCATCACTGTGGGAGCTTGTGGTACCGGCTGGAAAAAAGGCAGGTGTGGGTGATGATGAAGGGAGGGAAGAAGAGAGGTTAATGAATCAACAAGCACCTATTAAGTGCTTATTATATGCTGGGCTTACTACATGTGGGCTCTAATGTGTGTATGTGCATATACATGATACATACAAAGTAGATGCAAGGTAACTTTAGAAGGGAAAGCACTAGCAGCTGAGGGCCCAGTGAAAGGCCTCTTTCAAAAAGTTGAGTCTTGAAGGAACCAGGGGTTTTAAGAGGGCAAGGTGAAGAGGAAGAGTCTTCTAGGGATGCAGACAACCAATAGACAGGTGTGGAGATAGGAGATGGACCTTCTTCTACGAAGAAAAGCAAATATGCCAGTACGACTAGACTGTAGAGTGAGTGTAGGGGAGTGATAGGCAGGAAGTCCTGGATGATAGGAAAGGGCCAGATTGTGAACAGCTTTAAATACAAAACAAAAGAGTTTATATTTATCCTAGAGGTAATAGGGAGAAGAGAGAAGAGGGAGTAGAGAAAGAGAAACCAAAAAGGAGAAATAGAAGGGGAAAGGAGACAAGGGTATCAGAGAATAGGAAAGGTGAAGGTGGAAATGAAGGCCAGGAATGATAAAGGGGGAAAAGATATTAGCTCATGCGTATCTAGGAGTCCTCTACTGAGTAACAACAGCATGGATACTAACAACAATGAGAGTAATAATAATAAATGTAAGTTTACATAAAACTTTGCATTTATTTATAGTTGATCAATGTTAAATCACTTAGAGAACCAAACCCATGGCCAGCCTGGACATCAAATGGCCCAGTCATCTTTCTAAGACACTGGGCTGGTACACCACAGAGCTGGCTACTCTTCTCAATATTTAGGGCCTCTACCAACTGGGCAAATGATGCAAGACCCCCCCTCCATTTATGCAGATCTGGTTCAGGAATATATGGAAATAGTCACTGGTTAGGCATGTACTGAGGCAAATAAAGGTGAAGCTGAACACCTTCTGAGATGTGTTTGATTTCCTCCTCCCTGCCCAACACCTTCCCCGCCTTTATACTCCTGGAATGGATACCTGAGATTTGAGAAGGGTTCTGCAGTGTTAGAGCCTACCCCTCCAAAGCAGAGAGGCCAGGGAGAGGGCAGGCAGGATCTGTGAGTGCCTGAAAGCTGGCAGGTGAGCTTGGGGAAACCAGACTGACCCTCTAGAATAGGCCTCACCCTGTTTCTCTTTAACAGGGGGTCCTATCTAAAGCAAGACTTCTGCTTATCGACAGAGAGAGGATCGTTTAATGTCTTTTATATATTTGTAGTATGGCAATGTTTTGAGGGTGCTATGCACCTTTGGCCTTCAGACCATACCAACATATTAATTGACATATAATAAATACTTTAAAGTTTGTAAGTTAAGCAACCCAGTGAGGTAGGTACTTTGCTTTCTTTTTTTGTCCAGACCTATGATCTCTTCAGCGTAGGGAGCTCCCTGATAAGGAAGCTCTTCCTGCCAACGCAGATTGCTAATTGGTCTGCAATTTATTTTCTTAGAGATATATGGGGTCACTGAGAGGTTAAATGATCTGTTGAGGTCTGCACTACAGGTATTTTATTCCCATTTTATGGATGAGAAAACCAAGGCTGAGAAAAGTGAAATTACTAGCCTATGATTACAGAGCTAGTAAATTGGAGCCAGGATTTGAGCCCAGGTTTTCCTGACTGCAATATTAGCACTCTGTGCCCACTAACTTGCTTTCTACTCAGCCTACATGGAATTAGGTTAGGGGGTTAGGGAGTTAATATCCCTCTACTCAAGTGGAACCATTCTCTCCCACCATAAATCTGCCTTCTGGGGACACTCACCTGCAGAGGTGCTCACACCTGTACTTACAACAGTAGGAGACTGGGGCATGTTTTTCTTTATGCCATACACTAGAAGAAATGAACCAACAGAATAAAGGAGATCAGTGTGCAGGCAGGTGGCTATTCCAGTCCACCTGTACCTGAGTGAAGTCCAGCAGAGAGACTAGCTAGAAACAATCTCACTGGATGACAAAGTGTGTAAAGAAATCAACTTCTGAAATACATGCGGTTATGAGATGGGGCTAAAGACTGTATACTCAGGGGCCTCAACTTACTTTTTTTCCTTTCATCACAGTCCTTTAAACCCAGCTCAAGACCCTCCTCCTCCATGAAGCCTGCTCTGACTACTCCGTTCCCCTTTGATATACATATCATTTCTCTGAACTCATACAGCAAGACACTTCTTGTAACTCATAGTTTAACATTTCATCGGATGCTGTCTTGTATTCCTATATTTAATTGCTTCATACCTGCAAGTCTTGTCTTTCTGGCTAGACTATAAGCTCTCTGAGAGGAAGGATTCATTCTCCCACTTTTGTGTATTTCCCAGAGTGCCCAGTAAAGGGCTGAGTATCCAGTAAGTGTTCCACAAATTAATACTTTTTGATTTTGGCCATTGCTTAAATAAGGATCCTGGGCTGGTAAGACCACTGGTCTGACTTGTTTATTTGGGAATTTACGGGGCAGACCCAAGCTAGGCTGCTAGGCACTTTCATGCTGCTGGGTATAGACTGAAGGGCTGCTAGTTCTGCTTTGCACAGAACCCCTTTCTGAGCTCCTTACACATATCCTGGCATATGATTAGGTGGGCACCCTCAGAAGTGTTTCATCAATTGCTTTCAGGTACAGTGTTTATTGAGTTGGAGAAATGGAGAAATTTCAATGGACATTCGGGCCTGAAAGTGAAGGCACTGAAGCTGGGACACATATACGCACTCTGTATGAGTTGAATCTCCTGCCCCTGAACTCCATCTCATGGCAACTAACCTGTAGAGGTGGTGGTGGTGGATGTTCCATGAGCCAGGGTGGAAGAGCTGGGAGCCAAATTGTTTTGGACGCCAAACACTGTGAAAGGAATGTAGAAGAACAAGTAAAGGAGAGGCATGGTGAATAGGAGGGGATCTTTGCTATGTCCTGCCTCCTGGGAAGCTGAATGGAGAATCAGAGAAGGACAGATGTGATAAAAATTAGCAGGTGGTTGACAGGTAGGAAGAGAACAAAGCAGCTTGGAAGCAAAGGTGTTGGTGTGATTTCATCATCCCTTTATAGAGATCAAGAGTAAAAGTCATCTGGTTCAACCCCCTTATTTTGCAGATTAAGAAACTGAGGCCTGAGCTCACCCAAATAATAAATGGCCGAGCTGGCATGTGAACGCAGTTCCCCTGGCTCCAGGGCCATCCCTCTTCCTACTATGTTGTGATGCTTTTCACTGGAAGGTAATGCAGAGGTGGCCTTGAATATCCCTTTCCCAAGCTAGGGCCTTCAGAAACCAACAGGTTCTCTCTCAACAATGGTCTATACAGAAAACATGCTTTGCCTCGTTAGAATTGGAGAACTAGTTTCTCTTTCACCTTCTTGGAAGCAGATTCCTCTTGTGTCATCATATTTCCTTTATCTCTTCCTCCTAGACCGAGGTTAGGTTCAATACATGAAGGAATGACTGGCAGGGACCCTGCTTCTACTTGAGGATCAGAAGACCATAGATTTCGAACTGGCAGAGACCTTAGAGGTCATCCAATCCAACACCCTCATTTTTCTAATGAGCCATGAGAGGTTAATTGACAGCAAAGAGGAGTGTGTATGTGTGTGTGTGTGTGTGTGTGTGTGTGTAAGTGGGTTCAGTCTGGGCCAAGGAGAAATGACATACACTTTCTGGGAACCATGGATAGATCCCTGACAAGGAGAGAGTTCACTTATATGTTGAGCATTCTGCCTCTAAAAGTCATAGTTAGAAAAAGATGAGCACTGACCTGAGGAACAGGTGCTGAGCCCAGGGTGTAGAGTGGGTGAGCAGGAAGCCATATTGTTGGGAACACCAAATACTGAAAGAGGAGGCAATGATTAAGGTTATTAGCTGACCTATTTAGAGACTGGCCCAGCATGGGACAGGTGTCAAGTCTTAGAGGAACCAAGGGGAAGCTTCAGTTGCCTTATCTGTAAAATGGGAACAATAATAGTAGAGGTTGGATGATCATTTATCAAGGATTTTGCAGGGAGATGGTTCTGATGCTTCAGGTGAGGGATTGGATTAGAGGACCTCTAAGGCCTCTTCCAATCCCCCCAAATGGACTATGATTTCATCAGCCTGTAAGCTTATCATTATGGAAGAACAGGAGCAAATAATACTTGAGATTTTAAAAAAACACAACAAAAACCAGATGCTGTGTTTAAAATTACAGGGTCAAAACTTTGTTTGGTGGTCTTACTCTGGGACATAGCTACAGACCTGGAAGAGACATCAACAGAACATCTGGTCCAGGTCCCTGCCTTGGGCAGCCCCATTTTACAGATGAGGCAACTGAAGCTCAGAGAGGTTAGGGGGTTTGCCCAAGATCAGAAAGCTCAGAAGTAGTGGAGAGGGCATGAGGTGTCATCCTAGCTCTTTGGTTAGTTTTCATTCAGCTATATCTCTCTCCTCCAAGGTCTTTTCCAAATCTAGTAGAAATGTAATGGGTACTCAATGAGGACATCTTAAATAGAAATTAATCCATGTGCAGGAGCTAAGTTGCCTTTGGAAGTATCAAACAGGCACATTATGAGGCCGAGGGACTTGCAGAGTTGGGTAAAATGTGGGAAATTGATTAGGGAGCCAATCAATCTTCAAAATAAAAGAAACCCTAGAAGATGGTAGCAGAGAGTATGTATTGTTACTGTACCTGATCCTGTTGAATAAGCATTTGTATTGAGGAGGGAAGAGCTCTGGGCTGCCATGTTGTTGTGATAAGCTGCCATGGAGGAACCCGAAGGCAAGGTGGAGGACCACATGTAGGAGGGGAGGTTAGCATCTACGATAGTTGTATCATAAGTGCCTGATACTGGGAAGCACACAACAAACATACGTCAGTATTTTTAAAAAATTAAAAAAAATTTTTTTTTTGTTTTTAGGCAATTGGAGTTAAGTGACTTGCCCAGGGTCACACAGCTAGTGAGTGTCAAGTGTTTGGTCTGAGGCCGGCTTTGAACTCAGGTCCTCTTGACTTCAGGGCCAGTGCTCTATCCACTGTGCCACCTAACTGCCCCCAACATACATCAGCATTAAAAAAATCAAAATTTTCCTCTTAAATCTCTGCAATAGAATAACAAACCAGACTATTTTTCATTCTCTAGTACCTAACAAAGCACTCTGAGATTTTTTTGTTGTCTAGAGCACGGGTTCCTAACCTTTCCTGTGCTATGGATCCCTTTGGCAGTCTGGTAAGGCCTATGGACTTCTGAGAATAATGTCTTTAAACACATAGGTTTACAAAGGAAATCAATTATATTGAAATAAAGTTAACAAAATGTAATTTAAAAAAAAATCAGTTCAGGGACAGCTAGGTGACACAGTGGGTAGAGCACCAGCCCCGGAGTCAAGAGGACCTGAGTTCAAATATGGTCTCAGACACATAACACTCACTAGCTGTGTGACTGTAGGCAAATCGCTTAACCCCAATTGCCTCACCGAAACAAACAAAAAAACAAAAACAAAAAAGAGTTCATGGATTTCAAATTAAGAATCTCTGACCTAGACCTAAGATTTCATCACTGGGGGGAATTTTTGGTTTGAGAGCTCCCTCATCTGTAACTTACAGCATCAGAGATCTGTCTGAGGCAGAGGTTAAGTGACTTGCCCAAGGTCACAGAGTCAAGATGTTGTCTGAGGAAGAGCTTGAACCTTGGTCTTCTTGACTCCAAGGGTATTCTGTTCCCTACTTTACCACATTACCTCTCCAAAAGTAGGCATTTAATAAAAGTTTGCTAATCTGAAACTGCTTAAATAAATCGCTTTCCTTTCCTTCCCTTGTTTTCCCTTTCCTTGCCTTCCCTTCCCTGCTCTCCCTTCTGTGAGAGATGATGATCTCTCAGACGTGAAGCCTCCTCAAAGGGTTAATAGTTCTTGTTGGTGGTTCTCACAAAGGGCAGCAATTAAGAGATCATTGGTCATTTGGATAGAGAGAAGGTCAGAAGCCAGATAGTAAAAAGAGTGGGAGGAGAGAAATTGGAGGCACCTGTTGTAGATGGCCTTCTAATTGTATTGTTGAAACACTCCTTTCTGACCTTGTCAAAACTCCCTCAGACCCTGTTTTTAAGCACAGCAGAAAGAATAGAATAGCCCTACCCCCAACCTACCCTTGCAAGACTTCCCACCTTTTCTTGTCTTTGGGCAAACTTGCTTACTGTGTTGCTGGGGAAGATTTCTGTGAATAGATTGTGCCCCATGAAACTCAGCCAATGGGATAAAGGGGAAGGGGGTTTGGGAGGAGGAACTCGAGTTAGGGTATAAATAAGCCTTGCTTTCTGTAACCGACTTGTACCCATATGTGCCATTAGGGTGAGTAGGGGCAATATCCTTTTTAATGAGAAAGCAATAAACTCCTTTCTGCTTTCAAGGTAACTAAGTCTTTGTTTTGAATTTGAGTAGTGGTCTCTGTCCCACATACTTCCTCTCTGTCTCCTACTCTCATCTTCATTTGAAGTAATGCTGCCAGATTTGCCTGATAAGTTATCTGCACAGAATCACAAAAAGCAGTCCTTCATGATAGGTGGGACTTAACTAACAGCTGCTACTCCTGTAAGCAGGACACTGACACGTATTTAAGAGAAACAAAAAATCTTGTCAAAAAGTCCCACCAGCTCCCCTTGGCAGTCTGACTGCTTTCTCAAAAGCTAGAGCTGTCCCCACATGCCCAGTACAGCGTGGCGTCAAAAGGAAAACAAACCTAATCTTGTCTGGGGTAGTCTGTGATGAGGGAGTCTGGTGGATAATTCTTTCGAGAAACGAAATCTTTAGGTATTAGGAGATGGGCCAGTGATCTGGGGGGCTGTTTGGCCAAACATATTTACAAAAGACACTGCCTGTGTTTTTTGAACATTATAGAAAAGAAAAGGTACTTGATGCTCTTCAAGGTATGGACCACAGTTTGAAATTCATTTCAGGGCCCAGAGAGTTTTCCCGGGCTAAGATAAATCTGCTTCTCGTGCCGACAGCCCCTCCACCTCACCTTCTCCAGCACTTACCTGACTGAGAGCTTTCAGTCACCATCTTGGTTTCCACAGTAGCCTTCTTGGGGATGGGGAGGGTGTTGGAGGAGTTCCGAGTGGGACTTGCGCTTGCTGATCGGCTTCCCTTGAGCAAACGTTTCACATCATCCAATTCTGTCCCTGGCCAAGAACCAGAAACCTCCTCATTAGTCACGAGGTTCTTTCCTAACCCCAGCTGCCCTAGGAGTATTTGTTACTTGCTCTCTTGTTCTCTCTAGTAAGAAGCTAAACAACTCACATCGGGTAGATGGAGAAGCACTTTGCAAGCGAACACGAATTTCACTCTCTGCAAAACAGAAGAAAAGGACAAGGCCATGAAGGGAAGGAACATGATGAATCCGTCCTGCAAAGAAGGTGATGCTCTGGGAAGTCCAGTTTCCCATGCGGCAGGGGCATGAAACGGCCGTTAGAGGTAAGTAGTTCACAAAGCTCTTGATTCAGTAAGAAGAAGAGAAGCTCTATTGATTGGCATTCACAAAGGTTCAGGAGTTTCAGGAGATGCCCCAAGTGGCCAGGCTCAACTAAAATGCCCAATGGGCAAACCAGCTCTGGGACGGGGGATCTACAAGGACCCTATTTGAAAAGGATTGAGGATGAGCAAGCTTTTTAGGGCTTGAAGAAGAGCTTACTCTCCTGTCTCCTGACAGGAGAACCCTAAAATATGTTGGAGAACCCTAAAAATGGGCTTTTTCACATATCTGCCTTTATATGGAAACAGCAGGGAAACAAAGCTGTATAATTTCTTGTGATATTGTCAATTGTTATCAACAGGCTCATTACATTTGGTAAATTTAGATATCTGGAGCACCCACTCAAACTTTTGAACTTTACAAACCTCACAACATGTTTGGGTTACGAATGATAATCAAGACCCTACAACAAATTTGCCTTGGGTCTTTGGAGAACATTGGGAGAGTCAATGGTGTTAGCTTTGTTGAATGATAACTATGTTTATCTAGTGCTTTAAACTTTGCAAAGTGCTTTATACAATCTCATTTGAGACTCACAATAACTGTGTGATAATAGCAGATATCCCAATTTTACAGATGAGGAAACTGAGTCTCAAGAGGGGTGAAATGACATGCATGTGATCATACATCTGGTAAGTTTAAGAGGTGGGTTTCAAACTCAGGTTTTCCCAGCACTCTGTCTACTATACCATGCAGCTCCTTATTTAAAGCCTAAAAAGGACTGTATTTTTATCATTCTTTTCCTGCTGCTTGTCAAGAGCAGTTTTCTTCATCTGGTTTAAAGGATATGTTCCTGTCTGATGCACCTGCCTCTTAGGAGGTGGTGAGATTGATAAATTACCATAGAGAGTTCTTCTTGTCTGACTAATGAGAATAAAAAGGAAGTATTTTTCATCATCTGAACCATGAAAATACAATTAAAACAGATAGGAAAAAGAATAATCACAGCTCACATTTACATAGTCAATTACAGGTTATAAAAGGGAATTCTATGTATAACAGTAATCTTGGTTTGGAGTGCAATGTGGCAGCTGTGATTCTAAGTTCCTTGAAGACAGACCCTATATCTAATTTCTTTTTTATATCTTTTAGCTATACAGAAGGCATTGAACATAGTGCTAAACCGATGTTTGTTGAGTTGAATGGAATCTTGAGATTTTCCAAAGCAGAGCAAACCTTTTACATCTAGATTTTTGCTGTTCGCTTGAAGCCTGTCCCACAAGGCTTGCTGAATCACCATTAAATCTCAACTTATCGTGAAGGAACAGACAAAAATAAAAGATGGCCAGAAGATTGTAAACTTCTTGAAGACAGGGATTGCACCAACAATTTTAGCTCACCTCGAGTCTGGCTCCGTCCTCTGGTGGAGGAAGATCCTGTGGGGGAAAGGGAAAAAGTCTCATCCATGCCTAATAGAAGCCATGGTAAAAACTTAACAATGAGTACTAGGCACATTGCAGGGTGCTGGCTTGTCTAGGTAGGAGCCTCATGTAATGCAATGTATAGAGTGGACAATAATAGCTGTCATTTACACAGCTCTTTATGGATCACAAAACACTTCACATACATTTGGTATATACATATTCATTTAGTCCTCAGATGTTTGTCTATCACTTATAGTCTCAGGGAGATACTTGAATCTCAGAGAAGTTAAGTGACTGGCAAAATGATCACACCTCTAGCTAAGAGCCAGAATCAGGATTTTAAACCCCATTCTTCTTATCTTCAAGTCCTGTATTCTATCCACTGTAATATGCTATCTTGTGGTACTTAATAAATGCTGGCCATGTGCAAAAGTGATAGAGAAAGTTAGCATTTACTCAGTTAATTGAGTTTGTTTAGAAGAAGAACCAATGTTAATTATGGTTTTAAAAAGTCAATTAGGAGACTTGAATTGTACAGGTTAGCAGACTACAAGGATTGAATGAATTCAATAATAATAATAATTGCCAAGTTTTCCCTTTGTTTTTCTGTTATTTGGTTTTTTCCTAATGTAAGCAAAGAAATGTGAACCGTCAATCATTATCAGAGCATCATCAATTAATATATGAGGATGAAAACACAATGAAAGGTAGAAAGATATTTAAGATTGGGTTTACTTCTGGAAACAGTTCAGGACTTTACAAACCAGGAAAATGTGACAAACTTTGGAGCAAAGCCACTTAAAAGAAAAGCAGGGGTAAGTGATAGGATATGTATTGTTTGGGGTTTGGATGGTACAACCCACTACATTTCATTACTAGGACTGTCCTATTTATCCTGTTTTGGAAAAAAAAATCCCCACATTTTAGTTTGTTCTTGGGGATGCCCTTGTCTAAGCCTTTTGTAAGTGTCTGACTTCAAGATGGCAAGTGAATGTGATTGATTATCCATGAAGATGCTTCAGTGAGCATGGCATTTAGAATAGGTTACTGTATCTTCAGCAAACATCCGTGGTAGAGTAGGGTCAAGATGCTCAAAGAACAGCCATTTAACATATGATCTTTCCTCCTATGGCAACTTCCTATGACCTTAACCTCCCATTTCCAATAGAGGTAGTGAAAGAACATACCAAATTCCTTCCGAGGGTATTCTGGAGAAGAATTCCCACTGGAGCTCCCTAAGAAAGAATCAAACATTTAGCATAAATGTGAGTGTGGACAAGTGGGGCTTTTGAGAGACTTACTCAACATAGAATGGTACATTTTGAGAAGAAAATGAGGAACCCTTTTCACCATCATCTCCCAAAGGAAAGACAAATGATAGATAGACTTATAGAATAAATGGTTAATATCTCCCATTGGATTTGGTTGTAGCTCTTCATTCTAATTGCGAGTTGAAAATTGGTCCTGCCTTTGATGGGAGCTTCAGGCAAAGAGGTCTTTATATTTGTGATGGATTTCCAAGGAAGGAGTCATTCTTACCACCCCTCCCCCCATTCCCTTTCATGCAAGTTCCTTCTTTATTTCTCCTACTACAATCACATCAGCATGAGACCTTCATAAGAGATAAATGTGCCTCTGGCTGTAGGGATACCTATAACTTTGGTAGAGAATGGGAACTTTGTTGAAATGGAACTCTGAACCCTACTTTGTCCTAAAATACTGACTCAAGTAGCTATTATATCTCTCTTGTAGCTCAGACTTCCCATGTACCTCACCCCCTACATTGTATGTGGCTAGCACTGAATCTATTATGTGAGTTTTCTCTACATAAGGGATTAACATTCCTAATAAGCCATGAAATAGTATATAACCAATTGGATGTGAGTCCATAAAATATTTGAGAGAAGAAAGCAAAAGGGAAGAGGGAGAGAGGGGAACACAGACAATCAATGTTCCATATGTAACAAATGCACAAGGTTGACATCGCAAAAGAGACGGGCCAACTCTAAAGCCTATAGTACTGATACCTTCGTATGTTGCATTGCGGGTGGCATGACTTTTCCTTTCAAAGGTTGAGCCTGGTGAATTGGGGACTGTAGAGGCAGGAGACTGGGTCCTCCTGTAGCTGGAAGTAGAGGCATTTCCTCTTAAACTTCCACCTATGAATATAAAAAAGGTAGACTTTTATAGTATTCCTGCAGAAATGAATTTAGCAGTTAATGTGTTCCCAACCAGACTCAATAATCTCAGGCTATGTATAACAAGTAATCATAATAAAAACATAGAAAAGGGGCCAGTGAATGCCTTTGATTATTTCTTAAAGGAGGAATATCTTCTACATTTAGTGGTGAAATGACATTTTTACCCTTATAGAGTTGGTATCACTACACCACCCACTGGAGACCCATAAAAGGAGGGAGAGCCTGTACAGGATGCAAGACTATTAAATTTCTGGAGCCCACAATAACCCAAAGTATGGGCAGGGAAATCAAGATTTGGAAAAAAATTTGATGGAATTTAAGCTTAGGCCACTGTTCAATTGGACCCCAATACGTGTAGACGTGAATGTCATACTCATCAAGTAAATAGGGCTTCCTTCTCTCCACTAAAGGAAGAAGCATTTGGACTAGGTTATTTCTAGGGCACAGAATTTCTTAACAGTATTCTTGTGGCTTACTTTTTTGCCTGAAAAAGATTGTTTCCCTAGGAACCAAGGGAAGTAATTCTAGGGGAAGGTTGACCAGTGGAGTCTTGCACAACACTGTACTCTGATAACACATCATGAACCCAACATTGAAGGTTCTCTTGTGGTCTGTGACCATAGTTACTGCAGATGGTAAAATTGGAAATTAATTTTTAAAAATTTATAATTAATAGGTTTCAATATTAACTTGTATAAGATTTTGAGTTCTAAATTCTTTTTCTTTCTTTTTTTTCTTGGAGGCAATCAGGCAATCAGTGACTTTCCCAGGGCCACACAGCTAGTAAGTGTCTGAAGCTGGATTTGAACTGACTCCAGGGCTGGTGCTCTATCCACTGTGCTACCCAGCTGCCCCTGAGTTCTAAATTTTTCCCCATTCCTCTCCTCTTCCATCCCCAAGACAGCCTGAAATCTGATATAGGCTCTAAATGTACGATCATATTATACATATTAAATTGGAAATTATTTTTAAAAAGCACTGTACATACTTGAAAGGAGATGGCTTACAGTTGAGTGAGAAGAAGGGAGGTGAGTTAAGTGGGCAGGCAAACACTTTCTCCAGTAAGTCCTATTGATTAGTCATGTTTACATTGAGATTTTAATGTGAATGATCACAAATACTGTTAAGCTCCACTCACTTGGGGCTCTGTTTTGTCTTAATGTTCTTGGGAAGTTGGGTATGTGGTAGAAGCTGTTATCAATATCCCTGTACCCACTGCTTTGGTGTTCCCTATCTCCAGCTTCCCTTGCCTTTTTTTTTTTAAATGAGGCAATTGGGGTTAAGTGACTTGCCCAGAGTCACACGGTTAGTGAATGTTGTGTCTGAGGCCAGATTTGAACTCAGGTCTTCCTGACTTCAGGGTGGGTGCTCTATCCACTGCGACACCTAGCTGCCCCTCCTGCCTTGGATTTCTATCTCTGCTGCTTTAGCCCCTCTGCCAATACCATACTTACTGGAGTTTATATAGCCGCTGCTGCCGTGGGTTAAACTCTGCTTCTCCAGCCTACTCCCTCCACTGAGAGATGATGTTTTAGCATATCCATTGCTGGTCCCTCCTTCTGCCAGAAGCAAGAATCAGATTAGAATTTGTGGGTTAGGGTAAGGGAACGAGGTAGAACTCCTCTGCATTGAGGCCACCCCTGAAAAATCTTGACACTCTCCCCCATTCATCCTTCCCTTTGCTTTGATTTTCCTCATCTATGCTTTTGTCTTTGTACCTCTACTCCAGGGATTCTTAACTTTTTTTTAAGTCATGGACCCTTTCTGATGAAACCAATGGAATTGTTTATCCCAGAATAATGTTTTAAAATGTCTAAGATAAAATGCACATAATTAAAAAAGAAACCAATTATATTAAAATACAGTTGTATAAATATTAAAAAAAAAACCAAGTACTCAGGCCCCAGGTTAAGAAGTTCTGCTTTAATACTTAGTATATTGCTGGCATATATTGGATGCTTAACAAATAGTTTTTAAAAACAATAAATGAATTATAATTTATTTGTTATCATCATCTGATTACATAATAAAATTGTATAATCTTGTGATTTTAGAGCTTAGAGATACCTTGACAATCATTCAATCTCATGTTATAGATGGAGAAACTGAGGCCCAGAGAGGGGAGTAGCTGCTACTATTCTCTAGTTATTTCATGCCTCAATGCAAAATTTTCCTAACTTATATTGTAAGCCCTCTGTGCTGAGGAACTCATGTCACCTCCTTCTTGTGTCTCCCACGTCACAGACTGGAGCACTTTGTGAAAGCTCAAATAAATTAGTACTATCAGTAGTCCTGCCTTTAAAGAGTTAACTAGCCTACTGGGGTGAACTTTTTATTTTAAACCAATGTGCCTGAGGACCAACTATATCCATTTTAAGTCATTCACATTAAAATCATAATTCAACAAGCATTTTAAATATTGAATTTAGATGTGCCAAGCACCTTGGATTCTGGGTCAAAGTATCTGTTTTTGTGTGACCTTAAACAAGTCAGTTCACCTCTCTTGACCTCAGTTTCCTTAGTTCTAGAAAATGAAGAGGTAGGAGAACTAAATGGTCTGTAAAGTCTCTTTCACTTTTGAGTCTTAGGAGACCATGACTTTGCTTTAGCCAAAACCATGAAAATGGCGCAGTATGAGGCTGCCTGTAGGTCATTATAAAAATATGCATTAATATTGTATCCTTCCCCAAAGACAATTGATACCAGGGTGATTGTGGCTGTCTAGGCCATCGTAAAACTCTGAAGCACATTTCAGACATTGTCTGTTTCATGACTCAGCAGCCCTCAATTGCCAGCTTATTTCAAAACATCAGTGATTATGTCTTAATCATATTTGTATACCACACTGTGTTTGGCATAGGGTCTTCAATTAAATAAATGCTTAAAATTGAGTAAATGCTTGCTTAATTCAATGAAACTGAGTTGGATGCTTGTTGTTGTTGGAATCGTTGGTGGCTCCTTGCAGGAAAACCATCTGAGTCATTTTTACTATCTTTTCTACCCCACCCCAGCTCCTTTAACTGGAATAAACCCCTATTCTTCCTATGGCAGGCAAGTGAAGGACTGAGTGTAGAGTGATGTACTCAGCAGATGCTCACATATGTTAATAGCACCATGAAGCCTTACTTTTGAGGGTAAGAGTCTTATTGGAGTTATAAGTTTTTCATTTTAAATTGGTATGCTCTGGTGCTAAATGTATCCATTTTAAGTCATTATCACTAAAATTATCACGCAAGAAAGTGGGAGGGTGGCAAAGACTTCATTATGCAGATTTCTTTCTTACCACAGTTTAATCCCAAACACTGTGCTCTCAGACAAAAAGCTTGCCTCTGGGTGTATATAAATATACGTAAAAGTCATTCGGGACTTCCGTGATGGTGATGATTTTAAATATGCCAAATCAGGAATTATGTTCTCATAAAAATTGTGTGCCGGTAAACAGAAACACAATATGCCTTATTTCAAGTGGATAGTACACAGTAAAATAGCTACTTACTTGGTGGTAAGGATGTAAGTCTTGTGGTTACTGTTTCAGTGATGACTAGGGAAAGAAAAAGAAAGAGATAAAATGGCTTATCCCACAGATATCTCCTTGGGCAAGTTGGGGTGGGGAGTGGGGGGCAAGTAGGATTATCACCTGCCTTAGTCTAACTATAGTACAGCAGACTTTCACAGAACCATTTGCTATAGGTCAGAGATATAACTAGGAATTCTGGCACCTGGGACAAATGTTTGTGTGTGTGTGTGTGTATGTGTGCGTGTGTGTGTGTGCGCGCGCATGTGTGGTCTGTACCAGTTAGGTACATTTAGTCCTTCCATTTCAAGTCTCTGTTCTCTTCAATAGCCCAACCTCCTAGGATAAGGAGAAAGGGGCAAGATGGAGGAGGAAGCTAGCCTGTGAGTGAGGGATATCATGCTGATGACATCTTTTGGGCTGCTGGCTCAGTGGGGGACAGGGAGGCAGTAACCCTGTATTGTGCAGAACTGATAGACCAGAGTTCTGCTACAAGGAGGAAGTAGCCTCAGTGCCCTGAAAATAAAGCTGGTTAACCATTTTAGTAATGGCTCTGTGTGTAGCAGTTATGTTTGGGGAGAAGATATAATTTGAACTGTGGTGTAACTAAATCCGTGTTGTAACACATCATGTTACATTAGGGTCCTGCTATTTGGGATACCTGTGTTTTGTTCTCCTTGGATATTCCGTCAACGTGACTCAGAGCAGCTAGCAAAATAGAACATCTCTGAATGAAGCTTTTAAAGCCCCTTAATTCAACAATAGAATCCTATGCTATGCAGGTTTGGCATTAGAAAAGGCCTCACACCTCTTCCCATGACTCATTTTGCCTCTGCAGATTGCTCTGAGCTGCCTCAGCTGGGGCAAGAGGTTGGAACAAAACCTTTTGCTTCCTTGAGACTTGGAGGCATGAACAGGACACAGCATGTTTCAGCTACAGACAAGGGTGTCTTTAGGGCACATAAATCAGTGTTTGCCCTGCCTCCAACATCTATCCTGGGGAAATCAGGTCAAAATCAATAAACAGCACAACCTTTAAGGGGAAAAGGAGTCCCAAGAGGGGAATGTACAAAATGAGGAGGGGTCTTGGGAAGAGGACCTTTGGCAACTAAGCCTCAAACTCGCCTTTTTCAGTGATGGTTGGGTATGTGTGTGTGTGTGGGGGGGTGTCTATGGGCTAGTTGTACATATTAGGACTTTATAAAACTGCCAGTGATTAAAAGCTATGCCCTTCTCCATACAACTAACTATTGCTACTACTACTGCTGCTACTACTACTACTATCACTGTTATTGCTGCTGCTGCTGCTGCTGCTGCAGCTGCTACTACTACTATTATTATTACTGCTGCTGCTACTACTAAATAGCTAACATTTATACATCACTTTAAGGCTTGCGAAACTCCATACATATATAATCTCATTTGATTCTCATAACAGCCTTGTGACATAGATATTATCTATAGGTGACAAAACAGAGGTTGATAGAGGTTATAAACCTTGCCCAGGGTCCCACAGCTGGTAACTAGCAGAGACATGCTACCTCAGTTGTGCTAGCAGGAGCATGAGATTAGATGAGTAATAGAAGCAGCTTTTAAAGCTCAGCAAGACAGCTCTCACAAATGGTGACTAAATTTGAGACAGGGTTTGAATGCTGTCCAGAAGCCTCTCATTGTAGAGCTCCTGGGATTCCCTGATGTACATTGTACTTCAACTTAAAGAATCCAGTTACGAAGCAGAGTGATAGATCTGCAATGAGGAAGACCTGAGTTCAAATGCTGTCTTAGACATTTAATTATCTGGGCACCCCGGGTAAGTCATTTAAATTCTTTCGATCTCAGTTTTCTTGTCTATAAATTAATATCATCCACTTCATAGCTCTGTTGTGAGGATCAAATGGGATAACATGCACAAAACACTTTGTAAATTTTAAAACATTATATAAATTTAAGTTATTTTTTATTATGCTTTCATCTAGAGATATTAGAAGATCACAGAAAAAAAGTTAGTTTTCTATCTGAGTTGCTAAAGGAGACCAGTTAAAAATAACCCAGAGCATTTCATTTGTTCGGTTTCATGGCATTTCTACAGTCCGATCAGTGTTTTCTCTGCAGGACTTTGGCCATTAGAGGACAAGTTCAGAATCTGCTGGTCTTGCCTCTTTCTGTGACTTCGGAGCCTTCTCCCCTGCTTTTCTTGGTTCCATCCATATCATAGCCACCTGAGAGAGAAACAGAGAAACCAGGAAAAGTCATTCCTTTTATTGTTACTTTCCTCCTCAAAAACTGATAGACGCTTCCTATTGCTTCTAGGATAAATTTCAAACTCTTTAGGTAGGTGGTGAAAACCCTCCACCATTCAGCTCCCACCTCAGGCTAATTTCACATTATTCACTTTCTTGTACACTATGTTCCAGCCAAATTGGTCTGCTTGTTTCTTGAATTCAGAATTCCTTCCCCCATCTCTCTAACTCTGTACAGGCTACCCTCCCCCATGCCTGGCATGGCTCCCTCCCCACTTCCTCTTAGAACCTCCATCATCTTTCGGGGTTTATTCATATGCCACCCCTTGTGGGAAACCTTTCCTGCACCTCCAGGTTGCTAGTGACCTTTCATTCTTCAAATTATCACATCTACATTTACCTGTTTACATTTTGTATATTATATCCTTCCCTCCCTTCACCCCACTACCAATGTGAGGTCCTGCATGGAAAGGAGTGATTTTTGTTTTGTCTTTGTGCCTGGCACATAATAGGCACTTTAGAGATGCTTGTTGCTTGGATAGTACAGGATCCCTCGAAGAGAGGAGAATCACAAAGCCTTTACGATGTCATCTTTTCTCCATCTCCCGACTCTGTACATTTTTATTGATTGTCCTTCATTCTTGGAATGTGCTTCCTCCCAATCTCCCCCACTTGGTTTCCCTCATGTTTTAGCTAAAGTCCTGCCTTTTTCAAGAAGGCTTTTTTGGTCTTCCTTAATACTAATGCCTTCCCTCAGAGATTCCCTCTAACTACCTTGTCTATGTCTTATGCCTATCTAGTAGTTTGCATGTTGTCCCTCCATTAGAATGTGAGCTCCTTGAGGCAAGGGCTGTTTTTGCTTTCTATCCCTACCACATGGCACAGTTCATGACACAAAGTAAACACTTAATGAATGCTTGTGGGCTGACATAGCATGAGGGATTTTCAACCACCATGTGCAGCTCCTAGAAGAGAAAAGAAGATTCTCAACTTTAGAGCCTTGATAGGATTCCAAGGATTGCATCCAGGGTGATATTCATGCTATGCAAAAAGATGAGAATAATACAACACAGCATAATAGCACTTGGGATTCTGGTCCAAAGGACCAGAGCTTTTAATTCTGAGAGTGGGGAGCTTCACAGTGCTTATTACTCCTATGGTACAGAAACGAATCCTGCCAGAGAAGATGTGGTTTTTGGAATGGAAACATATCTGCCAATGACCTTTGAATGACTATAAGAGATATTCATCAAAGTGATCACTCAGAGATCCTTTTTAGATGGACCATGATTAATACTGACTGGGCCCAAACAGCTCAAAATATAATATACGGACCTAGGCAGAGCATAGGGATCAAGGATTCATTAATCAGAGTTAATGGCCCAGTTTTATTTACCACCACAGTATCTCTTTCATCCTTCTCTTCCTTTTCACTCCCTCTGCCACCAGCCTAGATCAAGACCTCATTATTCTTCATCTGAACTCCTCTAGCAGCCTTCTAAGTGGTCTATCTGCCTCCAGTATCTTCCCCACTCCAATCCATCCCATCTTCTCAACTTGATGTGGGTATTCCTTCCAGTGATGCAGGTCACAACTCATCCATACCTGCCCCTACTGCGTGGCTCTTGTCTATTTCCTCACATTTTATTAAGTTAATCTGCTCAATGCTCATCTCTAATTATGTCACTCCTCAAAAAACCTTAATAACTCTTCATTGCCTACTGAATCAGGTCCCAATGCCTTAGTCTGACATACAGATCTCCTCCTGCCCACCCCTTCAGCCTTATCCCATGCTGCTTCCTTTTTAAGGAATAGCAGTCAAACAGTAAATACAGATAAACTCTTCGTCCTCTGCTCACACTTTGAGGAAAACCCTTTACTGATGCTATTTTCCCTACCTGGAGAGAATGCTGCTCTTCAACTCCCTCTGTGCATCTACACTTGTCGAAATCCTACCTTTCCTTCAAGTCTAGCTCAAATGCCACTGCTTAGAGACTTCTCTGACCTCCAGCCCCAACTGTGATCTCTCATTCTTCTGTGAACACTCAGAGCACTTTGCTCTTCCTGGGCACTAATCACCATCTACCCTGTTTTGCAGGATGTCTTATCTCCCCTACTATAGTGCAAGTTCCTTGAGGACAGAGACTATTTATTTTATTTATCTCTGTATCCTCCATAGTTTGGAGTCAGAAAGCCCAGTATGAACTGAATTTTGTAACAATAGGTACATAAAATAAAAAACGATAAATTATGTCAAATTATGCTATGATTGATTTTATAAATAAGATCGAGGAAAAGATAAGATTCATATATAGCAAGGATGGAAAGATGGCATTTTGCCACCTGTTTTCTATATTCAGATTGAGAAAAACAGAATGAAAATGGTTAAACAGGAATTGCCACCCAAGATAAGTTAGGAGATGTTTAAAGAGCACCCAGATGCCCTCACCTAGTTCAAGTCACTTGGTCTGAAGGAATTCTATCTAACAATACTGAAAGAACTTATAGACGTCCTTAAACTTTTATCGATTATTTTTGAGGAGTCATGGTGAATGAGAGAGGTGTTATGGGTTTGAAGGGGGGCAAATATTGCCTCATTTTCCAAAAAAGTTAAGAAGCTTTGCACTTGAAACAAGTTTAATGTGGATTCTTGGGGAAATTCCAGAACAGGTTATTAAAGGGATACTTTGTCAGCACTTAATGAAGAGGTGATTGCAAAAGAATTAATATGGATTCATTAAGAATAAATCATGTCTGAATAAGCTCAATAACTGTTTTGATAAGGTTACTAGATGGGTAGGTTGTAGAAATGCTCTGGAAATACTAAATCTCAGTTTTAGAAAGGCGGCTAAGGAAGTCTCACATGATTTCTTTGTGGACAATATGGAGAGACATTGGACTGAATACAGTTAAGTGGGTTCAGGACTGATTGGTTGACTGGCTCCAGAGTGTTGATTAAGGAGGGAGTTCTCCAGTGGAATGTTACAGGCCTATCTAGCTATCTTTCCCCTGTCCTACTGTATGAAGTCATGGTTGGCATTCTAATCCATTTTGGAGAGGGTAGGAAGCCTAGATGGATGCTAAAGAAATGAATGACAGTACTGGGATTTGGAAAGAGTTCAACAGGTTCAAATGACAGGCTTTAGCTAGCAAGATGAAATTTAACTTTATAGTCCTATAGTCCAGCAGAAGTATAAGATTGGGGAGTCATGGCCAAAAGGCATATGAAGAAACAAACAAAAGAGCCTACTTTGAGTATTTTAGGGTAATGTGAGGTCAGTATGTCAACAGTGACTTGTGGAAAAGAGCCAGCATTGATAGGGTCCACAGTGAACAACAGAGATGATAGTTCTGTTATATTCTGCCCTAATCAGAACCCAGCTGGAATGATAGGTTTCAGTTCAGGGTACCATGTTTAATTTTTGTTTTCTTTCTTTCTTTTTTTTTTTGGCAATTGGGGTTAAGTGACTTGCCCAGGGTCACACAGCTAGTAAGTGTCAAGTGTTTGGTCTGAGGCTGGATTTGAACTCAGGTCCTCCTGACTTCAGGGCTGGCACTCTATCCACTGTGCCATCTAGCTGCCCCAGGGTACCATGTTTTAAAAGATTCATTGACAAGGGAGAGTGCAGAATGGATGCCAACAAGCAAGGTAAGAGAACTCAAAACTGTCACATGAGATTGGTTGAAAGAATTGCAGCTGGGTGGTACAGTGGCTAGAGCGCTGGACCCAGAGTCGAGAAGACCTGAGTTCAAACATGACTTCAGACACTTGTTAGCTGTGTTACTCAGGGCAAGTTATTTACTCTTTATTTGTTTCAGTTTGCTCATCTGTAAAGTGGAGATAATAATAGCATTTAATTCGAAGGGCTGTTGTGAGGATAAGTTAAGATAATATTTGTAAAGCACTTGGCAAACCAGAACGTGCTATATAAAAACTAGCTATTATTATATTTGTGGGCTCTAGGTGGCGCAGTGGAGAGAGTGCTGGACCTAAAGTCAGAAAGACTCATCTTCCTGAGTTCAAATCTGGCCTTGGACACTTACTAGCTGTGTCATTCTGGGCAAGTCATTTAAGCTTTGTTTGCCTCAGTTTCCTCATCTGTAAAATGAGCTGCGGAAGGAAATGGCAAATCACATCCATATCTTTGCCAAGAAAAGCCCCCAAAATGGGGTCATGAAGAGTCAGACACAATTGAAAGACTGAACAACAACAACAACAACATTATTATGTTTAACTGGAAGGAATGTTATGTGGAAGAGAGATAATATTTGTTACTAGAGGTAATCAAGAGGATATTAAATCACCCAATATGCTGGGGATGTTCAGGACCAGATTTCTCAATGCTTAGAGTAGGATTTAGACAGGCTTCTGAGGTTCCTTTCGGTCCCAGGATTCCATGATTCTAGAATATTCTCCCTTTACTCAGTTCAGTGTCTATCTTGGCCCTTGCACAGTGGAATACGTTCCACTGCTGAAGCCCTTTCCTTAGAAGAATCTTTGGCTCACTTTATTGCCCTTTCTCACCTAAAATCAGGCCCATGGAAAAATAGCCATCAGAAGAATTCCATTCAGCCCATGGAAAAGTAGACCCTGGTTAACTAATTGTACCAACCGTCCTCATTGTGTTTTCTCGGAGACAGCCTAGCTGCAGGCTGGGAATGAGGCTCCACAGAACAAATTCTGGCTGAATCTGAAATGCCACAGAAAGTATGTATCCCAGGGCCAAAAGGAGGAGCTCAATAAACAGAATAATGGACTCTAGTCTAATTAAAAAGCCATCCTTGACTTGTGAGTTGAACTGATTTCCAGAAATCCCATGTATACTTTATACCATGCAAACTTATATGGAACTTAACACCTTTCCTAGAATCCTTCATGTGGGCACTAACTGAGGGCCCTTCTTTAATAAACTGACCTTTAGCTATGGACTAATGGCCGTTTTCCAGAAGTAGGCATTTCATTGCCCTTAGAGGCTATT